AAACACTCTCACTTTCCGCGCAAATGTGATTCCTTTCTAAACATGAGCAATTGCAGTTGGCACGCGCGCGCGTTCTCGATTCGACGAGAGTACGCGTCTCTCCTTCTCCCGTTGTCCGTTGCAGGTGTGCAAGCGCGCGGCACACCCTCGAATCCCCGCGAGCGGTGCAGCCGAAACTCGCGTCCCAAACGACCGAGCGATCTAGAAAAAAATAAATACGATGCGCGCGCGCAAACACACACGCACACGCGCGTCCACGACCGATCGATCTTACGAGAGTTGACTTTCAGCTCATCAATCGTGAATTTTTGCGCGGGCTTCCTTATTTTGCATAACGGCGTTCGTTCGTTCGCGCGCGCGCGCGCGCGCACGTCAATCACGCGGCCCATTTGCCGGCATTGTTTTGAAAGTCAACGCGTGAAAGCTGCGCGCGCAACTGCCACCAACACATGTATATCCTTTGCGTATCGATCCACTTGAGATTTAGCGCGTAAATATTCAGATTGCGAGGGCCGTAATCGCGAATTTGTCTTCCGCGTGTACGTGGCTGAGGAGAAATCTACCGGCCACTCCGACTCCTGATGTATGCACTAGCGCGCACATATATTGCGCCCAAAGCGGGATTCACGCGCATTCCTAACCTCTCTATTTATCCCGGGCGCGAGGTTACGACTGTCGGAAACGTTATGAATTTCAATGAGACTCGGCCATTTTAACGGGCAATCTCGGAACATCGGCTGCCCGGTCCGTTTACGACTCTCTCTCGCTCGTGCAGTGTCATCCAGTCTCGTGAATCGGTCGGTCGAGATCCGCACGCGCGATGGCAAAAAATTCATTATCATCGGGCCCAAGCCGATCGAAGCGAAGGTTCGAGCGCGGAGCTCGCGGATCACGTTGCGGTGGCTCTCGAATTCGATCGCGGCGCGGAGGCGCGAGCTTCTCCGGCTTCTCCGTCGGCGCCGCCGCGCCGCTACCATTGTGAAAATTTTCTCGGCACGGGTTTTCTTCCCTTAATTGCTCGTTGGCCCGCGCGCGCGCGCGCGCGCCGCCCGTGCCTTTGTTCCCCGTTTCATACGATAGCCTCGCAAACTATATTAAACTTTTGCTTAATTACTCCCGCATCGCTCCAAACAAAAGGAAGTCGCGATGTTACGAAAAAGAAGAACCGAGTGTTCGCGCGATGAAACTGAATGGCTTTGAAGAGAGAGAGAGAGAGAGAGAGAGAGAGAGAGGGAGAGAGAGAGAGAGAGAGAGAAGAAGAAAGAGGTTAAAACTCAGTTGGTGCTGCTTATAATGCAAACAGGATGACAAAAGACGCGAGAAACGGTGTCACGTTGTCGCTCAATCGTGTGCCACGAGTCGACGTCGTCGCCTAATTTATTCACCTCACAATGCCCATTATCATGATAATTCCATTTCATTCGTCACCAACTTCTTCTTTCATTCCTTTCAATATACCTTTCACGAAATTTCAGAGTCTACGATCGCTGGAATCGATTCTTCTAATTAATGTACAAAAGACCATTCCCCGCCCCTTTTCCCATTAAAATCTAGATCAAATACGTCGATATTTCAGCGCGATTTTCTCTTCTGCTTGCTCGCGTCTTTGCGACCGTGTATAAGTCTCGTGCGGCCAGGCCTTTTCTCTCTTCTGCACGCGATAAGAAAATCATATCGCACGAACTTCGTGCAAGTGCCTACTTCACATTTTTCTCATGCGAACCCACACGGAGCTGCATTTTTCATCGCGAATTATACATCCACTGGCTCTGCCGGATAGAGACCAGAATAAATCGAAGCTGCTCGAGTTGACGAATTGTAAAATGAATTATGCAAAACAGGCAGTTTACCGACACGCCAAAACGTCAAAAATTGCCTTGCCAATGTCGAAGAACTCAATCGAACGTTGAAATATGACCGGCAGTTATCAACAATCGTGAGACGTACATCTCATCGAATATTTAAATCACTCGTTGGAAATTGCATCAGCTAGAAACTTGCATACCGAATTCATCGGGGAAAAAAAACTAGGGCGCGAAAATCGATATGCCCGCCGTTACATCAAGAGAACTTGCCCCGTTAAGCGAATTCTCCTCTCGTACAACAACGAAAAAAGAAAGGGAATTCAAAAGTGCGCGTAACGAGAAACTGCCACAGGGCAACAATCTTCCGCGCGCCTTAATTAACAAAAACAACTTTGACAATGAAACTCGGCGCGCGCGATTATCGTAATATTTTTAGCATACTTTTTTCACGCGCGCGTCTCATTAGAGTCGACTGCGTTTACGGCGAAAAAAGAAAAACGAAAAAAATTAAATGTTTACGCTGTTGGCCCCTTCATCTTCTATTTTCACCTTTCTTCTCTATTTTTCTTTTTAATTAACTTCTCGGACGATCATTTATCGAGTTCGTCTTCGTTTCTTTTCGAAAAAATAATTTCTCATTTTTGCGATTAGCGCGTGGTTTTTTAATCACGAAAATTCTCATCTCTCTCTCTCTCTCTCTCTCTCGCTCTCTTTCTGCACTACGAGCGCAAAGAAGAGGGAAGGGAAAGTAGAAAAAGAAGAAAAAACGACATAGACGCAGCACATCGCGTATTAAAAAAACTGCGCGACGACGTATTTTCGCGTGCACACGCCCCCGAACTTGTAAAAAAACGTACAGTCACTGCGAAAAAAATACGGTACGCGGTAACGCTTCGTTTCCAAGATGCAAGGAGCACGAACTTTTATGAAAAAAAAAAAGACTGTTGCCGTATGATATATTACATTGTCGCTGCTTAGGTCATTCCGCTAGTCATCGACTGAATTCCCAATCTGCGTAGCGCTATCTGTCAAAGCAATGATCGCCAAGGCCCGGTCCGTTTCTCCATTCACAGCGCCCAAAAGCCTTATCAAAAATGAAACGGCCACCTTCCAAATGTACGGGGCGCTCCTCGTCGACTGCACAGCGAAGGAGAAAAGAGGCAATGAAACGGCAAGCGTCCGGCAGTGGTTTCGACGTCGACGGGGGTTCGTTCAACCCTCGCTCGCGCAGCCACTAGGCAAGACAGAGGGACGGGAAAGCGCCGTCGTCGCACCCCGAAATTTTAGACTTCTCCTTCGGGCGTGCGTAGCCCTCACATGCATCGCCTACACGTCGCCAGCTCAATAATGCAGATGTTGAGTTATTAATGCCCAGTGTGTGCCTAAGAGGGAAAGCTTCTTTCCGGCGGCGGGTATGTAAGTTTATCTTTCCGAAAAAGTAGTCCCCTGGGAGTTCCGAAAAGAAAGAAAGAAAAAGAGAAAAAAAGTACAGCTGAGTCTGGGAAAAATGGATAGGAAATGGACCGAATATAATATACACCGGAACGGCAGGAAAAAAGAGCGGGGCACTCGTAAAAAACTATCCTAGGATTTAGTTGTCGTCGTCGCGCGGCCTCTATGGGAATAGTTAAAATTTGTGCTGTGCGGATTACGTTGGAGGGCCGAGTTGTAAATCTAAGTCTATACGGCTGCGACGATTGATCCTTACCTTGTCAGAGCACGAGGAAACGATTGTCTAAATTTATCGTCCCGGCGGGCATCGCGAGAGCGGCAAGTTCTTTCCGAAAATAAGAAATCGATTCGCTCGTATTTTTTTCCCCGCGCCCTCTGTAGGTTAAGCTCCCTCGCGCGCGCCCGAGTCGATGCCTCCTCGCGAGAAGCGGATGGCTCCTCTTCTGCCGCGAAATTCGCGAAGAAGCTGCCCGGCATCTCTCTCCCTACTGCGGCCGATATACCATACGCGTAAATCGCGTTGCGAGTCGTGTTCGCCATCAATCCAGCCCCTCGCAGCTACGAAATTCTCCTCCTACCCCCGGCTAACGGATAATCGCTATCCTCCTCCCCCTTCTCCCTCACTTTTATTTCCGCTCGCAAAGATGATAAGACGTGCGGCGAATTTTTCGCGAAGGCAATTTACGGCAGAGGATTTTCTTCGCCATTGAAACGATTTCTCCTAGAAATTAAAATTTCATATCGTGCTTTTGAGCTGACGAAACAGAAAACAATTCGGTGTAGCTGTTCGCGTAGAGCGAGAGTTGCTTGCGCGTGCTCTCTCTCTCTTTCTCTCTCTCGCTCTCTCTCTCTCTCGCTCTCTCTCTCGCTCTCTCTCACTCTCTCCCTCTTCGCGGATCAATATTGCACAGGTAGCTAGTGCAGGCGAAAGGAGAAGGGTGGTGCTTTTCGCACTTGGCGTTTGTGTTTGTATGTATATCTATATGTGTGTGTGTGTATATATATATATATATATATATATATATTACTGAAGTGCATTTGCACCAGTGGGAGGGCTTGCGGATTTGAAGCTTGATTGCCTTGTCGTAAGAGAGAGAGAGAGAGAGAGAGAGAGAGGCGTGAAGTGTAGTTTTAAAAAGAAAATTACCTGGATAGGATGGATTTATTGATTAAGGGTTGATTGGAAAATTCAAGTTGTTTGGATAGCGATGTAGAATTTTGGAGTATGATAATTACTTTTTCGTCGATCAGAGGGAACAATTATTAACTGTGAAAATACAAGTTTCTGAAATCGATTTCGCGTAAAAGCTACCTGCAGAGGGCGTAACGAAACTGCGGCATTGATTTCTTCAGTGAAGAAAACTCGTTTTCATATTGATTCGTAAATGGCGTAATTCGAGGCTGTACAAACACCAAAATATACACGCGAATATTTCAATAGATTGCTCAAATATATAAAGGCACTTCACTCGATTGATAGCCATACGAAACAGACATCTGGCGGATATACACAAACCATCCCCGTCAGAATCACGATGTTTGCATTGGAGTCGCGCTCGAGCACACGGACAGGAAAGAACACACGATCTGGAACTGGACATGTGTGCGCACGTGCCCATGAAACTATTAACCGTAATTGTAATTTAATAGGACTAGTTTGTATATCGAGAGAAAGGGCCATTTTCAAAGTTTCATTTTGATTAGAGTTATTAGATCAAAATTTGTTTGTTCTTTCTGTTGCAGGTACGTTTCCACAACATACCAATGTTTCTCGACACACCTACAATAAGAAACACAATCGTGAGTAACTATCACAATACTCGTTTACACCGCAAAAAAGTGGATTTACGTTTATATTTATATATACATTATTGGATCACACGTTCGTCATAAAATTCATCCTCATCACGTTTGTAATCGTCCTCGCGAAAGCTTCCTTTGTTTCGCCTCGTTTTTTCCTTTGAAGCAATTCTCTTATCAACCCCCCCCCCCCCCCAATAAAAACTCCCTTCGCTTCCAAATCCTAGATAAGAAAGTTCTTACTCTTCCAAGCTAAAGTTAATCTCGCGCGAAACTCGTGCGCGGAATTGCCGCGCAAATGTTGAAAGCGGATTTCAGTCGTCCATATAAATCCTATCCTATGGCTTATTCTCGTTGCGAATGAGTAATGGACGATTTTCGTTTGTTTAATTGTTAGGTAGGAAGATTATGACTCTTGCAAAAGATCAGTTTGTAATTGTATTGCATTTTCAAAATAATTTTCTTGAAAATCAGACAAGTTTCTTAATCTGAGAGAGAACGACTCTCTAAAGGAAATTTCACTGATTTGAGAAACATCTCTAAAGAGTGCAACTAATAGATAAATATTGATGATTAACATTAAAATTATCACACTTAATTCCGACGTAATCGATATAAAATATTTTTTCTAGTGCTGATAAAATTTATTGCAAATATATTCCAATATCATTTTTCCCAATAAAATAAAAAATTATCTTGTACACCACGAACCCAACCCTTCATCACTAACTTGAGAATTTATACCTTTCAGTCCAAAGCCTCAACTACGAATAAGAAAAAAAAAATAAAACATTAGCAACTTTCAGTGTCTCAGTTGATAACCACAGCAGAACCGATAGTGCATCGCAGGGTCGTTAAAAGGGGGTGGGCATAGCAGCCCAGCAACGTAAAAAAGAAAGATTGATCGATATGCCGTGGTTCTCGATTAATCACCCTGTCCTTCGCGGTGTGTCTTCGATCCTTCTTACCCCCTCCTTTTTTTTTATTCTCGCGTGTGGCGGGAGGGAGGAAAAGAAGGATTAAAGTGAAAGCTCCCTCTTATATATTTTCCCTTCACCGATGAAAATGCGAGAGTGATGTAAATGCGCGGCTGGATTTCAATTTTTCTCTTTTTCTTAATTCTCATTGACAAGATGGAGGGTTTCTTTAACGCTGGATCACGAGCGGAAGTGTCTTCCGAGAGATGAAAAAAAAAACCCGATTACAAGATCGAAGGGACTTATGTTGACAGTTATACTCCAGTACTTTTTATAAAGTTTGAAATTGAAAAAAAATATGTAATGGTCGAACGCGCATTTTCGAATGGAAGTGAACGAAGGAGAAAACCCTGCCGCGGACGCCGCGCACACGTAGCGATTCCTCCTAATCTCATAATAGCCGTGCGCGTTTCGGATAATGAGTTCTAGATTATTATGCAACGCAGCCAGATCTACGCAAAGTCCGCGAGCAATTAGCCGGGATAAACGTAACCATTTCTTATCTAATTGACGCTAAGCAGTCGCGTCAACTGCGCGTGCAGCTCGTTCGGCTTATTGGCTTTTCTCGTTGGGAAATTCTTTTTTTTCCTCGATAAATTCACGCGACGTTTACTTGAAACACTCGCAATTATAAGACTTGCATAATCAGCGCAACGCTCATAATGTTATTTACGCTTTGAAAAACTGATCGCTCGCAGTTAATTAGACAGCATAGTTCCAAGTGACCGCGCCCCAATTTTTCGCGCTCGCGCGCCCTCATTAATTTATATCGAAGCCACGAGGTGTCCGCTTCGTTACCGCTGAATTATCCCAGCGCCAAAGCTGGATTTGCTCGACGCCCGAATAGTTTTACATTTTGTATTTTTCTTTTCCTCGAGTCGCGTTTCCGAGTTTTTACGGAACGAAATTAATCGTGTGGACCACTCGAAGCGCGTTATAAACATGTTTTGTAAAAGTTTGATTTCAGCTGGGAAAAGTTTTCATTGTTTTTTTATTAACTTTCTGCGATAGAACTAAACTTTCGTCGTTACCGAAAAAAAATTCAACAATTCTCCGTAACTTTCCCAACTCCGTCGACAACCCAACATTTAGCCTCAAACGAAAACTCTAGTGTTAGTCAAACGTTAAATCGCCCCCCGCCTCCCCAGCTTCCAACAAATACATAAATAACCTTCTAACCTTCTTTCTCTCTCCAAGAGTGTCCTTCGTCATATCATAGCGATCTCATCACAAGGATATGGCCGTTAATCTGGAAACACAAGGGAAGACTTCGGAAAAACTGATAAGCGCCGATCAAGAAAGAGAAGAACGCTATAACTTGTTATTCTCTTCTTCGTCGACGCTATATTGACTCTCATAAAAAAAATCTAATTAAAGTTTGATATGACTCGCGAGTTTTACCTTTTTCGTTTGTTCTTCACATTCCCTTTCGTTATATCTCAGCGAAAATACTGCTGCGCACATATTGGTGATTGGATCTAGCTGAATTAGTGAACAAATCAGTTATTCTCGACTTTTATTACAAATGAAAGTGTGGCACAGTGTGCGTTAAGATTCAAATCGTTAATTTATCACGTCATCGTTAGTATCAAATTTATTCATAATCGTGTATAGCTTTACTTGTTATTAATTATTGCGCGTACTTAAATTAATAAACGTCGTCCTAAATAACGCCGCTTTCAATTATTCTTAGTTCTTGTTACGATCTAGGAAAGTGCAGCACAACGTACAGTAAAATTTAAATTGTTAATGTACCATGACACCGTTAGCAACTAATTTATTCATAATCGTGCATAGATTCGCTTATCATCATTTATTTCGTTCATTAAACAATCCACTTCCTTTGAATTGCCTCGAGCCGCACCAATTCCCATCCGCTAGCAACCTGCAAAGCTTCCCGTCGAACCGAGAGTCTATATACAATAAACTGGCATTATCTCCTTCACAAAAATCATCCCAGCAATTTCAATAAATAACGTAAAAGCCCTTTCCCAATCTGGGTTAAACGTCTTATCTCCATCCGATTGCACAGACACACACGCTTACAACTGAGTTAAAAGCCCCTCGTGGACAAACACACATCGCCCATCATCGAAGGGGTGGGGGGAGTTTTCGGAAACCCGTGCGCCGTTCGGAAAAACCACTCGGGCGCTCGCGTTGGCTCTCCGCTTGAGTGCCAGAAAAAAAGGAAAGCATGGCGGGAGGGGGGGGGGGTCGAGGCAGCACGAGGGGGGTCGTCGACCCCGAGTGACGTAACGTAAATGCCGGCGAGCAGCAAATGGGGGGAGTTCCTAACGCGTGTGCGTATGGAAATCGATCTGCCGCTGCCGCGCCGGCTGCAGCAAAGGCTACAGTTCGGGCCTGGCGCCGGCCGAACGAGCACGCGCACTTTCGTTCGCGGTCTTCTACCTCGCGCTCGTCGCAGTTGGCAGTGTGGCGAGCGTTCGACCGCTTGTGCCTCGTTCAGGATGAACTTGCTGGACATCGCGCAGTTTCTGGAGAAGGAGTTCGGAGGTAATTGCGGACTTAGCCCGAGGCGCGTCGACGTGCGCGCGGCTCGAGGCGATCCGGAGCCCTCTTCCGATGAGTCAACAACTTTGCGCCTCGTAATCTCGGGGCGTCGCTCGGTCAATGAGAATCCCGGCAGGGCGATCCGACGAGGAAAAGAAACGCTCGGCGCGCCTTCTCCCGAGCCGACTGTGAATTCGATCGACGGCGCGTCGACTTCTTCGAGTGAATTCGGCTGGCGCTCCGAATTCTATGAATCGCCGGAGAGTGCGGGCTGTACGTCACGTGACAACGCGCGCCCTCTCTCGAGTGCCGGGACGTAGCGCGCGCACGGGGGATGAATATTAGTACTTGTTCGTTGCCGATACCTCGTCTTTTACTTTGACGCGAGTGACCGGAACGATTGGTCGCCCAAACGAACGAGTCTTTCAACGGTTTCTTAATGCAGCGATTAACTCGGCGTCGCAGTAAATTCATTTCGATTGCTCTCGCGTGGAGTTCGTCTGAAGTGAGCTGTACACGAATTTCATTTATCTCACTGTTATAATCAAACGATTCCGCATCGAATAACACCAAAAACGATTACAAGCCATCGGGCACGCCACGTTTTGATTGATGTGTCCATACATGTAATCTCTTTGAAAGGGGAAAAGAAAAAGAAAACATCATCGACGGAGTAAACTCTCGCATTCATACTACTCGCCGCTAAATGACTTTTCAATTTTCCCTACACCTTTTTTGTCGTCGCCCTAACCCTGCCCAAGAAGAAACGGTAGTATCCCACAAAAATTCTCCGCGCACATGCACGAGGCGAGCCTTCCCCTCTATCTTTCTATCTGCAGCACGCGACGTTGAGTGCCAGTACGTGAGCGGCCGAGGAATAAAAAAAAGGCCGGTTTTCCGTGCATGCAGCGCGCGAGGAGAGCGACGAGTCATTTTTCTTGGCGAGGGGGCGAACTTTCATGTACCGTGCACGCGGAATGAGGATGGTCGTTTCTCTTGAATTAACTCGTTAGTGATGCGACTGATTTGTCGAGGCAACTGTATTTCTGGAGGTATTTTTTGTCGTGTGTGCAATTGTAAGTTTGCAGCTTATGAAATTCAACCAATAATTTTTTTTTAATAAACCTGAAATTCATGTCAAGAAATTATTCAGAATAATTCACTTATCACTTGAGAATAAGCAAGCAGCTCGCTGCAGTAAAATTTTATGAAATTTCATTCGTTTTATTCCATTTCCGAAATAGCATAAACCAATGTTGCTATATTGGATACAATCAGTTATTAAGTGTCAATTTGATTAAAAGCGAAATCGTTGGATTTTACATTGTGTTTGTAAACCCACTCCCATTTTTAATCAAGCTCAAAACAATAATTTTGTGTCGCGTTTCATTAGCAAATGAAAAAGAAAATTAAGTGATAACTTGTCCTGTCCTTCCCACCCTACTTCCGTCGAAACTAATTCCACCTTTTTTTCCGGCGACTTTTAGCGCCTTAATTTCGCACGAAACTGCAAGGCTCCATTTGCCTTGATGAAAAAAAGAACCCTTGAATTAGAAAAGGCAGAGGGAGAAACGTTCATTAGAGTTATCTGTCACCGATGTAATCTGATTACGGTAAGGCAGTTTGATCGTGCAACATTAGTTTTTTGAATAATATCGCGTCCGTCTAACCAGGCATACCATGTCATAAGCAGTCGCATAGAAATAACAACTAAATTCAAAGAAAAACTCTGGTCGTTTGAATTCCTCATTTCGCGCAAAAACTCGACTGCCCAACTCTCCAGCGTACTAGGAAATTTTTCTCTTACCTTTTCGTTGATCGCGAGAGCACAAAAATCTAACCTCTTAAAACAATCCGCGTACGTGACGCGATTTGTGATGTACATTTTAAACATTTCATAGCTATAATATTCACAACTCTTATTTAACAAATTCAATATCAATGTCAGCAAGGTGGAATAAAAAAAGAAATTACCTGATAATCGATATCACCCTTGCGGCGTACGCACATGACGCGAAAAAAAGGGAAAGAACGAGAGAAGTGCATATATACTAACATAGTCCGCTGTAGAGGGGATCATACATAGAAGAACGAGAGAGAGAGAGAGAAAGAGAGAGAGAGAGAGAGACCAACTCGAGGGCTCGTATGCGGTGGCAGCGGTCACGTGTCACGCGATACAAACATACACACGCGCGCCTGCTTCCTATATATGTATTCTATATATATATATATATACACACACACACACACACACACTATGTTCTTCCGCCTTCGTATACGGGTCGTTGACCTTTTCTTCTCTTATCTTGACTTCCCGAGAACCTGGAAATAAAAAAACTATTCTTTTTTAAGTGTAGAGTACAATTTGCGAGGGAAGATCATTAGAATCGTAAATCTTGCTTTATCCTTGTATAAATCATGATTCGTGTACTCATTTCCAGAAGTGAGGAGATTTCGGGAGATTCGCAGGACGTTTTGTGCTGTTGCTTCAAAACAAGGGCAATTTTACGCGACAGGATTCGCGTACATCGCAAAATTGTTTTTCGCCGTTTCACCACAATTACCATCGAAACGCAGAGAAATCGAAATCACTGTACGTGATTCGTATTGTTATTTTTTCTCGTTTTTTCACTGGTAAAAGACTTTACCATTTAAACTGTCCCACAATTGCATCATTTTTTATAAACAAGTAAATATTGATCGCGAGCATTGCATCGGAAAAAAAACACCACAATATAAACGTGCTAATACATGCACACAGCAGCTCATTGCGAAAGTGAGAAAGAAACAAAATAAGCGAGACGTCAGGCCAGTGCACTTCTGGGAAGGAATTTGCAAAAACTCTTCCCCCCCCCCCTTCCCCATCCGTAAGTACGTGTGTATATGCGCGGGCGTGTTCATGTGTTACTGTTCTCCCGGGAAATGCGCTCCGAAAAAAAGAGTTGAAACAGGAGACGATCCTTGACGTCGGACGTTAGCTACGCAGACTGTCGCATTTTTCCTTAGTCCACCAAGCTGTGTAGACGTGCTCTCTCTATCTCTCCGTGCTCCGCTGTCTTTTTCCTCTTCTCTCGCGCGTTTCGTTTTCGACTCCGATTTTTCGTGCTCGCTGGGATATACACAATGGCAACATTACGCGAGAGGAGAGCACCGTTCAAACGTCCGTTCTTTAGTGAGTTGCTTAAAAATACGCATCATGCTCATCATCTACAGCGCGAGTTTTCATCAATTCACACACAAAATACCACGCTATTCTTAAGCAGTGAAATCAAATTCTAATGGTTGTGTTGTGTCTGTGTTTGTTTTTTTAAACACGATTTAGGCAAATCTCCGTTCTTCCCGGGACTCGACGAGCCGGGCGGCAATTTGTTGGAAGAGCCATCAAACGCCGGACCACCACAACTCGATGGTGTCAGTTGCGGTGTGCTCACTGCTCCACAGCAAGCACCATTATCATCGCCAAGCCGTAGCAGTCCACATAGCCAAGGCAGCGAGACTGGCGAGAGATTCTCGAGGAAGGTGTTCGTTGGTGGCTTGCCGCCCGACATCGACGAAGGTTAATGCAACGTTTTCTTTTTCTCTCTTTTTCTCTCTTTTTTTTTATCGTTTCTCGCGAGTGGCTTCAAATAAAATTGTTTTCGTATGCACACAGATGAGATCACAGCGAGTTTCCGACGCTTCGGCCCCTTGGTCGTCGACTGGCCGCATAAAGCCGAGAGTAAATCGTACTTTCCACCTAAGGGCTATGCTTTCCTACTTTTTCAAGTAAGTCTTGTTCATTGATTTACTTTCCGAATCTCTCGGAAATCGAAGTTGTATTCTAAATCGACGCCATGTGCTTTGAAAATAAGGACGAAAGCTCAGTGCAACAGTTGATCGACGCATGTATCCAAGACGACGACAAGCTGTATTTGTGCGTCTCGTCACCAACCATCAAGGATAAACCAGTGCAGATACGGCCATGGCGATTGAGTGATGCCGATTTCGTGCTCGACGCCTCGATGCCATTGGATCCACGTAAAACTGTGTTTGTTGGCGGTGTACCACGACCACTGAAAGCCGTCGAATTGGCTATGATCATGGATCGATTGTATGGTGGTGTCTGCTATGCTGGTATTGACACGGATCCTGAATTAAAATATCCGAAGGGAGCTGGTAGGGTTGCATTCAGTAACCAGCAGAGTTACATCGCTGCCATCTCCGCGAGATTTGTTCAGCTTCAACACAGCGATATTGATAAAAGGGTTAGTGATTTTAAATAATATTCTTGCACTGAATGACAAAGTAGATTAATAATAAGTGTCCAGTATAAACGAATTTAATAATGGTTCATTTTTCATTCAGGTCGAGGTGAAGCCATATGTCCTCGACGATCAGATGTGCGACGAGTGCCAGGGTCAGCGTTGCGGTGGCAAATTTGCCCCATTCTTCTGCGCCAACGTCACTTGCCTACAGGTAAAAGAAAAATATCATCCTTCGCGTGATTCGTTGTACGTATGTGTGTTTTTTTTTGTTTCCTCATGAAATGCTTTTACAGTACTATTGCGAGCACTGCTGGGCAACGATCCACTCGCGGCCTGGTCGCGAGTTCCACAAGCCGTTGGTAAAGGAGGGCGCGGACAGGCCACGTACTGTGCCCTTCCGTTGGTGTTAACAAGGAGGAAGCCGGGCCGCGCCGCGACGCTCGTTACCTGATCACCACAACCAACATCACCAACAGCAACACAACAACTACAACTGAGCAAGAAGGATAAAAAATGGAAATTTAAATAACCACCTCCCCCAACGCCCCTTTTTGAACAACAACATCAACAACAGCAATCTTCACTTTTAAGAAAAACGATCAATAGAGGCTCGTCTCGCTCCTCTCTCTCTCTCGATGTTCGCTTTGACTTTATCCCCATCCGCCCCTCACCCCTTTAAAGAAAACTCACCTTCACTGTGTAACGCTCTTTATCTTTAGCGCTTAAGGACACTTCTACACAACACACGTACACGCACGATTGTAAGGGGAGGAGCTTTTTCTCGACTTCTCGATTTATTATTGATGATGGACACGTACACATTCGTCTTGTTTTTTTTTTTTTTTTTTTTTGTAATGCGTTTCGTAGTTTGTAATTTGTAAGAGACAATAACACGCGCACACGTATATTTATACACGAACATTTATTACATTTACTGCGTGCCTCGCTTAGATTGATGGATAACACGATACAATACGAAGAGTCGACTTTTATTTCTTGTTTTTTTTTTAATATAATGACGCGCGTTCGATTAATTTTATTATTTTCAATCTCTATCTCCATTTTTTTGTATGAGCCTTGTTTCTTTATTATGATCTTTATTATTTTGTACGTTGACCGACAAACAATACCAGCAACATGATGATGATGATGATGATATTTGCGATATATGATTGTTATATCCGACTTTGACCACTAATGTCGGTTGTTTGTAATTTTTCTTATTTTATGAACAGTTGAAGAGTTTTTTTCAATAAATAATTTGATTTTTTATAAGATCACGGCCTTGTTTATTATTATTATTTTTGCTGAAGGACTGTATAATGACGATGACGACTGATAAGACGACGATGATGATGACGAAGTCGAGCAAGGATTCGCTCCTCCTCTCATATAGAGAAAGAGACAAATAATCAGAGTGTGTACGAGTATAAAAAGTTAAAGGGCCCGCGCGCCGGCAGCGCAAAATTACATTTTTTCTCTATAGCATAATGTATTATAGAGGAATGATACACACACTCATACACACACACACATACACACAAGCTCTTATTATATATCTCTCTCGGTGTATATAATCAAATGAGCGAACAAAAAAGTACCATTGTGCGCGAGAGAAGACGTGGTGAGAGCGAAATATATTGTTTATATTTATATGATCGCCAGGCGTAATAAGAAAATCAGATGTGTTCTGTATTACTGATCCAAGAAAGAGGTAACAATATATATATTTAAGATGCGAGTGTATATATATTTTTACGAATTCGGGATTGGATTATCAGTAATATACGAGCTATACGACAAATGCGCAAGTTATATATAGGTGATATTGGTATATTACTGAATGTACATGTATGACGAATACCAAAATGGATATAGAGAAATTTTTTCGCGAATCTTCCCGCGACTCGACTTTTGTAATCTACAATGCATACATACGCATTGTAGATTACAAACATACAAATACATACTGTCATTATTACACATGCTAAAGAGAAAAATTTACAGAAACAATTCACAACACGGTAATATTATTCAACCAACAAAAAAGTATGTTAAAGTACCTACACGCAGAATAATGAAGTATAAACAATATTAATGATAGCTAAGGCAAGTAAACGAGCGTTTTTTGAAATAGTGGGATAAAAAGCAAACACTTTTCGTGACGTAATCCAAATATTTTTTAAGGAATAGACGAGTTGTCTCGGCGGTCAGACAGTTTTTTTATTTTTATATCGATTTTTTGAATTTTATTATTATCGATACTCTTTGTTTTTATTAAAAAAGTAAAAAAAGCAAACTAAACGAGTAAACGAAAGAGAGATAAAATACACGTAGGTGATATGTAAAACGAAAAAATATAGATAGAGATGATTGTGCGATTAAAAGTCGAAAAGCTGATTTTACCGTCGAATAAAGTAAAAGTGGGACAAGCGAGAGAAATCGGGAATAAAAAAATAAGTAATCTCCACGTCTATATATATAAATATACATATATATATATATATATATTTATTTTTTTGGTCTCCTTTTTGTATATACAACTTTGCCGCCGGTAGGATTTTGGTGGCATTTAAACCGGGGGGTGTGTGTGGAAATCGCGCGAAAGTCTCTTAGCTGAATTAAAAAGAAAAAGAAACGATCGACCATAATTATTAATTAATTATTGTAGATTCTCCTTCGTCCCGCTCGTACGGAGAGATTCGATGAGGAACGACGACCAAGCAAAAATTTTAAATTTTCAAAATGTGTGACACCCACGCGATGATTCATAAACACGCCGACAAAGCAAAGCAAATAAAAGTCGAGTCATTGACATAAAAACACAAAACGAGCATTAGTTAGTGCAATTTGAAAAAAATAAAATAAAAAAGGCGGCGCTGCCTTAAACGATAATGGAGAAAAAAAATTCTAATTAGAAGCATCAAAGAGAGACAAACGCGCGCGCCGCTCGCAGTCAAATTTATATATATAAATATAAATAAAATATATATATATAAAGTTCACGATTATATATATATATATATATATATATGCAAGAAAACTTTGTAGCGCGCATTATCTCTGTTTTTGCTCGTAAGAAAGAAACTTTGACGTGTTTTAAAAACGGGAGCGCGCGAGCATCGATATAATAGTAGCGAAATGATTAATGATTAAACAAAAAAAAATAAAATTATACCTAGGTACCAATTCTCCTAAAAACAAAAAATCAACCGATAATTTATATAAATATTATATATGTATTATATATAGAGAGTAGCGTTATTTCAATACCTGATCGACACGGGAGAAAAGCGACACGGCTGCCTAATTTTCTTTCGCGTTTACACTTTTCTGTTATACGCGAGCGGCCAGTCCACTAATTAATAAACCAATTATCAGTAACAAACAATATTTAATGGATAGGCTATTATCCGTTCTACTCTCAACACACTTATATGCATAGGAAAATAAAACGCGAATGCACTTGCATTTCTTTGTCCTTTTTCGACGAACACACACAAACACTTGCACACGCAGATTAACACTTACACAAGAGAATAAATAAACAACGTACGTTGATATGCTTGGGGGTAGAAAAATGATGTATAATGCGTTTGTTTCTCGTAGCGTGAAAATTTTTCGAGTTCTCTTTCTGTGAACAAGATTTATCGCGAGGACCTTTTGCGAGTAGCGACGAAATTCTTAACATATCGGGTAGTCAACTTGAAAAATTATTAGTCGCACTTGCGACGGTCGCTCGATGAATAGAACAATCAAAGGTAGAGTCGTAACGCATAATAAAGTTGTTTATTCTTTTTAGTTCGATGTGGGCTATGGAGAACAGACATTTTCTCGAGGCGAGAAAGCGAACGGGAATAAGTTAGTCACAATTTACAAACGAATAGATTTGTATTTTTCAGTGTTGATAAAGTTTTTTATACCGCTGTTACGTCCTTCGGTCCGACAAACACGACCAACACATACGCAACGACCTAATCGTGTATTACTAATAATTTTGTTTTTCTTTGTTATAAATTCTGGCGAGTGCGCGACTAGATGAAGTAACTGTGAAACAGACATGGACAAAATTTTAATCGTTAAGTTGCGTAGATTTTAATTGTGTGATGTTTATTAATCTGGAAATTTCTTGTTTTTTGCATATCGCGATAAAAGTGTCAAGAGGCACTGTAAACATATTGGTGAGATTTTTTAGAAAAAATATTATGAAGAAAAAAATTTGTACTTTTGTAGCTTTGTAGGTTAATTGTTTAATTATAAGCGTGGAGTTGTCACAAGAAAAGCTCGTCGCGCGCCGCAAACTTCCTATACATATTGTGTGTGTATAATAACACAATACACATCATGGAGTTCTTTTTCGTTCATCTAACGTTTGTTTGTCAAGTGAGCGATCGTCCTATATAACTAAAGCCGTGTTCTTTATTATTAATTAATTTTCTTTTTTTGCTCGCGAGAAACAGAAAAATCTAAATGGATTTTTATTTTTTTATACGATAACGTTATTAATTATAATAACACATTGCGCGAAGACGCGCTCGAGCTGAATATATTTGTATAGAGTTTTATTTTATTTTGATTTTTTTCTTTTTTGCTAGCTAATGAAAAAAACAAATATTAACATAAATATATATATGTTTTTTCCTATATACACACAAACACACAAGAAAATCGCGCGTGTCCTAATATTTTCAAGCTCTTTTATATATGAATATAATATATATTGTACCGCGTAAGTTTGTGAAGCGATCGCTAAAAAGGAACATCCTCGTCTGGGAAAAACCCGTCGCGACGATCTCCACGTACCAAAGAACACACACCAACACAACAGATGAGAGAGACATTTATTACTTGTACACGGGCAGACGATAGCGAAGCAAAATGGTATAATATTAATTGTAATTCTTCACATTAATTCTTTTCATCCTTTACGATATCTATTTTTTTTGTTTTTTGGATTAATCGTGTATAACTCGCTTAATCGCAACACGCTGGGCGCAGTGCAATTGTAGTATAATGAATACGTGCGTCCCCCCTCCCTTTGCTTGATTATTCTAGCCCAATTATTGTGTAATGTATGGATAAAAAGGGGGAGGGGAAGAAGACGTAATCGAGGCGAGTCGCCGCCTTCAGGGCATTGGATTCTACTATTTTTCTTTGTTTTCTATGTTAACAATTAAGAGGCGCCACTCATGGTATTCTTTTTTTTTTGCGCATGTGTATTGTATAAGTAGAGAAAGAAGAAATTTTGTTATGCGAGACCGTTTTGTGGCTTGTTTATCACGATTTTTTTTATCCTTTTTCGAAGATTATTTTTTTTATTATTATATATTATTCGTCACCTAAATTTTTTATATAGCGTGGATTTTTTCTATATTAATGTAGCTTTTCCTCGGCTGATTTGTGATTCATCTATTTTCTTCTTTTCTTTTAAATATATGTGTATGTTGAGATAGGCGGAACCTAGGCCGAGAGAGTTGAAATATGCAAAAAACGGGGCGAAAGAAACTAGTCAAACTCGCAATGGAGCTCCTGTTATAGAGCGATGATAATGATAATGAAAGCAGCTCGCTGTAGTGAAGCACTCGGTTAGGTGAAATACCAGAGAATAAAAAATTTTAATATATTAATTATAGTGAACATGATAATATATATGTTTGTTTCTAGATATAATGATTGACTCGATGATGTTCTTATCAAATTTCATCGAGTGCCAGCGAGCTTTGCTTCGAATATATAATCAGCATCTCATCGAGCCTTGAGATTCCCCACTCTGGTGTAGGTAAAGAAGAGAAAACAGTTCTTAAACGATAGTAAAAATGGTATGGAAAAAGTAAAGAATTTGTAATGGCGAGGAAAGGAAAATAACGATAGACAAAAAAAAATATTACTGTGTGTTTTGTCGTAAACTATGTTTTGTTTGTAAAAGCGAACGAGTGTTTTTTCCAGTGTCGTGTCCCGAAAAACGTCTGTTTTTTTCTGCACCGAGAATCTTTGTTTATTACAATTAATTATGCGTTTTTACCCGCTACCGTTGTTTTTTCTTTGTTAGTTTTTTTCAGAAAAACTAAAACTGCATATCTCCGGAAAAAAACAGTAGAGAAAGCATTACACGCATCTCTTTTATATATATATGCTATATTTTTTTGTCCTTAGTGTGTAGTGAAAAAAAAATATGGAAAAATTTTTTTGATCGTCTTTTTTTTTTTATTAACGGCTAGTAATAATAATTTTTATTATAATCTACTTAAGTGAAATAAAATATAACGAAATTTTTTATTTTTTTCTATTAAATAAAAACAAATATTTGAAAAAACATTAAACATAGAGGGTGACGTTCTTTTTTTTCATTTTTTCACGGTCCTCATATATATTCATCATTTCTTTATATTTGTACGCTCATTTTTCAGCCGCAAGAGAAAAGCAAGTGCTAGCTTCAGATATTGCTGTTTTTTTGCTTTGACGATTGAACAAAAGACACGAAGTCGAGAATAAATAATAATTAAATAAACAAAAAAAAGAACAGAAAAATTTAGAAAAAATTGTAAAGAAGGATAATGGATAGTAAAAGATTTAATTTTTCGATTGTCGTTGGTCATAGTAGATATTTGTATTAAATCAATAGTTATATATACTATATATATAAACTTTTGACGTTGTTGTCGCTAGCCAATTTACTCCTACACTTTTTTACTTATAGTTTTTCTAAAGAATAAAAAATGAGAGAGAAATGAAATCATAGCGAATGAGACACTCTCAGTGTTACACATACATCATGTATTTTTCTGCATACGCTTAATGAATTAGCAAAAAAGAAAAGAATAAAAAACGAATTTTAGCGATTGAGAGAAAAAAAGCGTAGATCTCAAAGTGGAAAGAAAACAAGAGAACGGGATTTCTCGATATCGACTTATCGAAATGTACTTTTCGATTGTGCATCGATTTGATGATCGATTTGACGTAAAAATGCTTGGAAAAAAAATTTTTGCAAGAGCGGACATTCAAAACGAAGATACCTGTTTACTCGTACTTATACAATTAAGTGTTTCTCGCGTGTACCTTGAAAAAAACATATTCATAATACAATAATTCTAGATAATTAAAAGTTCTGCTGCATGTAAAAATAAAATCCATTTCTGGAGAACAAATAAGAGATGAAAACGTAAAAAAGGGATGAGCAGGTCGCAAAATTACATTGAGAGAACGAGGGTAAAAAGCATAATAGGTGTAAAGAAAAAAAATTTTTTACCTTTTTCTAAAAAAAAATGTGAACGCGACGTGATAGAGCAATTCGGCGGGTTTTTTCTATAATTATTCGCGTTCGATATATGATTGAGCTGTAATTAAGGGATGCGTGAAACGACAGGGACACGTTCGATAGTCTTATCGATTTTTCATTATTTGTTCATTTCGATGCTTTAGCGTATAGCCAGATAAAACTTTCAAATCAGTCTTTCAAAACGGATAACAATAACATTTTCATCTCTGATATTAAATGTACGCCAGATATAATATCGCATAAAAAAAAAATTAAAAAAAAAAGACTTGTTCGAACAGGATCAAATTTTTCCATTGCTACGCGTAACGACGATCGTTTCGCAGCTTTTGTTTATTTTTACCGAAAAAAAAAATAAAATAAAATAATAAATCCCGTCCGTTGTTTTGCGCGCGCCATCCCCCGACACGAGAATTTGATAATCGTTTTATCTCGGCTCTAGTGTTTTTAGCGTACGACGCAGTATTAGACAAAAAGAAACATTCTCCTTCGATTGTTGAGCGCGTTGACGCGGCTAAATTTGATACGAAACTACTTTGTACATTAGTTGTTGACGAGAAAGAGAGATTAAGAAAAAGATCCCCTCGTGAGAGATTAGACGGAACAGGGAAAATTCGAGTTTGCTGAATAATGAATAGAAGGTACATCATCATCCCTAAAAAAAAAGAAAAAAAGAGAGAGAGAATCGTAAGCGGAAGCAATTTTACCGCACCGACTTTTTAAATGTAGAACGTGTTTTTTAAATCTTACAAAAAAAAGCAGGTACTCGAAGCCGCAAACAGGAGATGTGTAGTGTTATAAACTATAACATTTTATTCTGTGTAAAAGCTAATAATACTTCGAACACTTTGCTCCGCTTATGGATGACAATGACAACTTTTAATTCCAAGATTAAATAATTACATAAACATAAAGAAGTTAGCGTATTTTCGATGCTTCTACTATTAAAAGGATGGGAAAATAATTGATAATATGAAAAAAAATGACAGAAAAATAATAATAATAATAATAATGAAAGACATAAATGAATACAAAAAGATCTACCACGAAAGGCCGAGAGAATCAATTGGATGTGAGACGATGAACAGCATTAAATGAATGGTTTTTTATATAAGAAATTTAATGAAGAAATCAATAATAATGATATGTCCCTTTTTTAGAATTGTCGATCGTTAGTTAAGTAAGAATTTTACGGATTCTTGATGAAAATTTTTGTACGAGTTATCGTTAGCGATGAACTTTTTGCATATTATACATATATATTATACGTAATTACGAACTTTTGATTGTCGAGAATGATGAATCAATGTGTAAAAATTTTTCACGTCTTTTCATAATAGGCGATTTTATCGTATATTCGTGTACGAAGTAACGTTTTTTGATGTCGTTCGTTCGTTCATTTGTTTCTCTATTCGAATCGTGTAGCCTGCATCTGTTCGTATATTATTCAAAGAAAATGTTCATCAAACATTTTTTTTTCCTCTCGTGCTTTAAAATATAAGATACCAACCGAGTAAATGTAAAGGAAAACTGAATCTCCAACGAAGCTCTTCTATGTCTGTTTTGCCATTTTTTGCAGTTTTTTAATAAATAAGTAAAATAAAAAAAATTGTTCATTGGTTTTTCACCGTAGCAATTTAACTGTGATATTTTTGCAGCTACTTAGAATCCGTGTACGTTGCTTTTTCCATCTCGAATTCAGCGTGTATACGTTTTTCTTTTTTATACTTTCTTACATTTATATATACGTGTGTTCTTGCAAACAAAACAACGACGAGAGAGCGATTCGTTGGAAATTCAATTTGTAAAAAACGACACCAAAACATATATGTGCGTATGCGCTCCTCTGAGACAGTTAGAAAAGGATCCTCGAGGCAATTGTATAAAAATTATTGAACGATCGTCGCATGAAAATGTTGTAACAGCCGATTTCTTTCGCGCGTGATCTAGCTTAAAAAGTGACAGGAGAATAAAAAAATAAAACTCGCGAGGTGGCGCTACGACGACCTCGTGAAAGTAGCTTAATTTCGAAAAAAAAAGTGTATACATAGAGTTTATTTTTTTGCTCGCATAGTATTGTTATTCACTGTAATAGGCAAAGGTTAGGAATGAAAAATCGTTGATGCATTGGGCACAGATCGGAAGTGACGCTGTTGAAAGAAAATCGGTGATGAAACATTAACGTGCAATTACGAAACAAAACAAAAATCACTACAGAAATGAAAAATATGATCGACTTACAAGTGATCAAAAGCTTTCGCTTCCATCTGTTTGACGCATCAACGTGACGCTGATTGGTGCGTGACGATGACACCAAGCACTGTTTATTCAATTTCTTAGGAAAATAAATGAATATAATAATATTGATATAGAATAATAGATAGAGAAAAAAATATCTCATAGCCGTGTAAATGGATATAAATACGATATATAGTGATATATATGTATATGTAACGCTTGAAAGTTACGCGATTGTTGTTAAAAAAACTAGCTCTGAGTTACCGGAACGCTACAAAGTAAATCGACGATTTTTCATGAGACGGTTATCACGAGGCATTAAACAATTGACACACGAGGTCAGTAAAGTTCTGTGTAAGGTCAAAAGCAAAGTTTTACGTTAAATGGCACTCGAGAAAAAGGCGTTTATCGTTGGTCTCAAGATGAACTAAACATATTAGCGTATCTACAGTGAAATTGCACTATTTTTAACAGCATTCTTTCATAATAAAAAAACTTTCAGTATACTCTGCTTGACGAGGAATTATGTACGTTTTACTTTTTCAAATTCGTTAAATAAATCGTACATAATGGTATAAAAAAACGTAATTATTATACATACTTGTAAATAAGGATAGAGAATTGTAAACGAGCAAGAAAGAAAAAGGAATTAATACACGATTTTTTCTTATGATTCACCTTTTTATAAAAAACGTTCTATACATAAATATAAATAATAGATGGATTAATATTCCGAATTTTTATAAACTTTAAATGCTATTTTATGCTTAGATGATTTAGTATGCGTTGATGACTACATTTTTAGCATTTTTCTCATATAATAAGACAATTTTCACGAGAGAAATACTTTTTATAAATAATTAGAAAAGTAGAAAAGGATTTCTATACGGCTGCTTTGTTTTATTTGTAATTTATTTTCGTATTAGTAGACTAACGATAATTCCACAAAATATACGTATAATAACGTTAATACTTTCTTGTGATAACTTTAGCATAGATTTTCAATGAAGTTTTTCTACAATTTTTAATAATTTTTTATTCGAAATAATATCTAGACGTTTGCTTTCTCTCTGACATATATCTTAAACATTAAAGATAACTAAGTTACAAAGTTCTAATGATGTTCAACAAAACTCGATTTTTAACTTGAATATTCTAACGTTTGTATAACAAGAAAAAACAATGCAATATCAAATTTTGTATATTTATGATAGACGATAAACGTTTAGTCAATTTAGAAAATCAGAAGCTATTTTCGAATACGATTGAAAAGAAAAACAAATCTATGGCCTTCGAGTAGATGCAACGTTTCTCGGGCGCAAACGCCAAAAATTAACTTGGATCATTTTTTGTCGCTTTTTTATAATAACTATTCGAATAGAATTTAAAGTGCGTATACAATCATGAAATCTAACGTAAATTTTTGCTTTTCTCAAAGACCAATCGATCCTTCTGCAGAGCTTAAGCGAGGTATCCCATAATTGATTGCCCGTACAATTTGGTTTTTAATATTTTGATGATTTACGATTATCGGATACCTCTCTCCATGTCTATTATAGAGGGCGCAAACAAAGCACATACGTGACTTGAAATATCAGAGACCGATTAAAATGACCCGTTAGTAAGAAGTCGTGTACACAGACACTTTGGAACCCTCAACACGAATTAATAATTTTCAATATTCGGACATTCTCGTCTTTTTGTTATATTTTCTACTTACCGTAAAAAGTAATGAATAAGGGCAAACAAGAAGAGAAAATAAAAAGAAAATGTCAGGCGTAATTTTGTGTGTTGAAACGTGCGCCCATTTTCTCAGTCCCAAGTCCCATTACATAAAATTAAGGTATTCTCGTTTCTCTCTGTTATTTATTATATTCTTGATAATATTATTAAAAGTATAATGTACGGATCATGGCGAGTGAATTTTGCGATTTAAAAAATTTTCTATAATGATATTACGGCGAAACATGAACGGGCAATGATGATTGAACAATTTGGAAATAACAAGGATTGAAAGTGCATTCGATAACCAAAGAGATAAATATCGATAATTAATTATAACGTTACAATTACTAACTTTATAGTTATGAATTCCCTTTTTTAATAAAAAACCACACACAGTACACAAAATACACTGGCATCACAACCTACCATCCCCTATCTCGCTTGAGCAAAAGGTTCTCGGGTGGCGTCTGTTCTATCGGCGCAGCAATGGCGAACAAAATATTGCTCAACCGATAAAACAATCGAAATCTATCGGGGACCAAAAAGCAAAATGTGTGTCGGCAATAATGGAAGCACGACGGCTGCACGATTATAGCAAGCCAAAGATTACCCAACTTCTCTGTGTACGCATACTTGTAATGTATATGTATGTACATGTGAATGTAAAAAATAAATAAATAAATAAACGCGCCGTTTCTTGAAGGTTTAGATGAAAAAAAAAGTAATAAAAGTAAATGGTACCATTTGTCATTTCTACGATCTCTCGTCGGTCGAACGACGAAACATTTCGATATTGCCAAGGAACACTAGGAAAAGAAAGAAAAAAATACTCGAGAATTTTACTCGTTCGACTGTCGTGAATCAACTGGTCAGTAATCAATAAACCAATGTTAATACTTAGTCCGCAACTATAATGAACAGTCGAAAAGTGCGAAATCTCTGATGTTGGTTAAATAACCTTGTGTAAGGTCGTCTTGTATCGACGTTATATTAGTAGAGAAGAAATCTGACCCGCGAAGGTTTTCAGTACACATATACGCGCATTATATGCGATACACACACGTCCACATACACGTAGAACACGTGGAGACTTATATGTCCACACGCGCGCGCGCGCGCGCACACACACACCCACACTCGCGCAGACACACACTACGAGATACAAAAGAATAAAAAAAGTAACGTTATTATAATTACCTAACAGAAGTAATTTGTACTATGTAACTATTACTATTTTTATGAATTTTTGTACATTTTTCTAATTATTTTGTATAATAATCCTTAGCGGAAATGAATGGCATATTAAAAACATGCCCGGCATCCCTACCTGTTTACCCGTATTACGTAATGCATAAAGAAATATCGATAAACGATAATCCTTGGACTCCCTGTCTTTTTCGTCGCTCGACTGCCTCTCCCTCTTCCTTTTCATCTCTGTCAATCGTCGTTGAGTATAGAAACACACATAATAATACACACGAGATAGCTGAACAAATGAAGTACTGTTCGAAGACTCTCTCAACGGCCGTTCCGACAAACTTTTCAATGTGAAGGGAAAGCCACTTTGTTGTTCTAATATGCACTTTAAAATAAAAAAAAATAAAAAAACAAACCGTTCGAGTGACGGATTCGCGCGTCTTTCGGAAACTTCATCGCGACGTCTCGAGCGTTGCACTCAATGTTCGATGCGACGAAACATTTTATCATTGGAGCTGAGGTTTTCCGTTTTAATTCAAAATAAATCGCTGCTGCGACGTTGCAGCAGCTCGTTTCAGTTGCGCTGCGATGAAGGTTCCGGCGATGCGCGAACGAATCACTTTTCTCTTATACGATAATCTCGATTACAAACGAAATATCTCAGCTAAATAAACGAGTTTCATTCAAGACGCGACTCTCTCTCTTACTAAAGGGAATTTTTAAATCGATTATAGACGAAAATAAGAAATAAAGTATAACAAATCAATAGTCTTTGGATTTGTAAGCCACGGTGTTTTTACGACACTTGGGCCCGCGAGTCTCGTATACATATACAATTATACATTTCTCTTGTGAAACGCCGTTTTTCGCATTTTGTATAAAAAACAAATAAAAAAACATTGACAAGCGCTTAGCTGTAGCTGAATTTTTCTCGCTTCCGCGCGCAACTCTCCGAGTTTTTTGTAGTTGAGACAACTTTTGAACGAAAAAAAAAAATATATTTAAAATAATAATGATAAATATGACGACGAGGTAACCGACATATGTGTATGCATTGCGAGGCGCAATATCATTGCGCGCGATGAACGACGAAAAAGGGAGAGAGAGATAAAGAGTTATGTCGAATGGATGATAATGATGATAATGATAATGATGAAGAAACCTCCTTCGTAATTTGAAACGTGTTTGTTATTAATTATAAGAGTCACTTTTTCCTTTTTCTTGGAACAAAATGCTATTAAATAGATCGATTCTTTCATGGACGAGTGTGTGGAATATCATTTAAAAACAAAATCCCATCTGTAATAAGCGCACCGAGAAGAACATTTATTGAATCGCAATGGCATGATTTTCCAAAGTTTTTCTAAAGATTCAATAAGTATTTTTCAGCGTGATTTTTTCCTATTTCCTCATACTTATTTCCTGTCTCTTTCTTCTCCAATACTATATTTTAGAGTTAATTTCGTTATTTAGTGTGTAGATTATTTTTGTCATTTATACAAGATATAACATTTTTATATTGTTTTACTATTCACTGTTAGAATATTTATTATTTGTATTTGTAGAATATTTTTTATTTCTTATAAATTTTTAAGTATGTACTTCAATAAACATGCTTTCCTTAATGATATAAGAACGTTATCGTTATTTTTTTGGGTCATATTAAATAAATCATATTAAACTGGCCAACTACGGAGAAAATGCTGATCGAGCTTTACTTTGTTACAATTTTTCTACCGAGTACAATATTAAATGCAACTATAACGCGTGAAATTTTCTTTGAAAAATTATCAAACCAACAGACAAAAAAGTAAGCATTTATTGGATTGTATGATCATTATTAATTAAATCTAGCTTGTTCCTAATGTTTCAACGGAATGCCGTAACGTCTATTGTAAGAAAATAACCATAAGATAATGTGGACGAACCCACATTTTATAAGATTGACCCATTAGCCTGTCTTATTCATGAGAAAAACACTTTGATGCTTGTGTAGATATTTAAATTTGTCCATAGTGACTCGTAGTCCTTTACATTGCGTAACGTATAAGTGAAGTGTCAATTATCTTTTATTCGAACGATTTCGATTTAAGTGGTGAACGATTGCATCTGCAATTATTTTGACACCGAAAATTTCTGCAAAACGTACAGGTGCCCTTGAAACACTCTCTAAGTATACGCAACTACTCTAATTATAGAAAAGGCATTTTCATTTTTAATAGATGCATTTGTTTTTATTTACATAGAATATATCGTACATCTAATTAAAATCAGCTGATATGTTACACTGGATTATCTACAATTATTTTTCAAATTGTAAGCTATTCTTAGGATTTTGTATTTTACGGTACAAACTATATAAAAAAAAATCATCGTCAGAGCATAATTGTAAACCTCGCGTAATGAAATACAAAAAATACAAATGGCATTCGAACTATCGTATGATAAAACACATTATCCATCGGACGTTGTGTGTGAAGAGTCTCAGTGGTAAAGAGACCGCGATCTACCGAAACAGGAAGTACGAATTCAGGAAAAAAAAGAAGATACATATATATAATTAACAGTCAATGGCAAACCTCGACGTATCGGTTAGGAAATGAGCTGAGGCTCCTCCTTCCAGAACAAGAAATTCACGTCGTGGATCTTGTAGAGCGAGCAGTTCTCCATGTTATTTCTATAAAAGAAAGACAGCAAATTATCCATAAAAATTCCCTCACCCGAACAATGACAATCTGTCAACATTGCACATAACTTACAGGAACCTGTCTTTGAGGAGGAAGGCACGTGGCTGAACTTGTTTCAATCTGTCGCCGTTGTCACAAAGTATCCTCGCCATGGTCGTCTTGCGAATTTCTTTCAGCTGTTCCGGCGTGAAAGGACCTGGCGACTTTCCATTTTCATACCAGTACCTGTCGCCTGTTAATCAACGGCAACATCTCAGCATTGGACGTGAAACTAGTATATTTTCTTATCGAATGTTGCTTACCAACACGAGCATTTCTGAAGGTTCTGCCTATCAGGCAGATGAAAGTTGGTCCTAAAACTGATCCAGCAACTGGCACTTCCGAAAGAGCACCGGTGACAAGATCGATCTCGTCCACTTTGCTGAAAACCGGTAAAATCATCAGTCGCCAAACGAAAATGACAATTGACATCCCTCTCTTTCGAAAGTACCTGTATATTCCTCTCAATTTCTCGATCACCTCCCTCGGAATAGTAGCCTCGAGGTCATCGAAAGACTGCACTTGAGGTAAGTCACATATCGATCTCCAATTGACATAACTCGGCAAGCCATGATCACGACCTTGCTGAATCGTTTGGGCAGCGTAGTCGACAGGCGCGTCGCTCGTTTTACCGTCGTGGAAGTAACGCTCTACCAGTATCTCGTTCAGACTCGCTGGCAGCGGTTTTCTCGAGTGGCCGGCTGTACAGATCGGAGTTTTCAAGGACACACTCCGTGTGGTTCTCGCGGCGATACTCACCAGTTGCGCCGGCGATGAGCCTGTCGATAGCCCCGGCCTCGTAAAGCTCTTGCGGCGCGTAAAAAGCCGAGAGCAGCGACCTCTCGCCGCTCTTCTCGTCGGACTTAGTGTCGACGAGGTCTACGGTTTTGGGCATCAGTGCGGCTACGAAGAACAGGCCCGCCGACGCCGCGGCGTTGTCCATCGTCGCGTCGACGCGCGAGTCGTAAGCCAAAAAGTAGCCGCGTTGAGTCAGGCGCAGATCGTAGCTGTGCGCAAGCGGTCAAGCGGGCGAGTGAGTACGGTAGGGGGGGGGGGGCGTAACGGGAGCGACTTACTCATCGAGGGCAGTTTCGCCGAGCACAACGGGCAGGAACTCGTTGTAAGTCACGTGCTGCATCTCGGCAATGTTGATTTTGCGGGCCTCCTGGTAGAGGCGGTCGTCGTCCCAGTGCGGGTTCAGGTGCTGCAGGTTGTCGGCGATGCGGTTGTGTTCCCTGCGAGCGAAAGTTCGATTACCGACACGCTCCGGCGCGTCGCTTTTTCCATGCGCGACGGAAGAGTGGAGGGGAGGGGAGACAATCACCTGAGGAACAACAGGTGCATCAGCGCGAGTCCCGGGTGCTCGTTGACCCTCTCGTCACCGCTGAGGAAGCACGGGAACGCCTTGCTCTGCAACCGACAGTTGCGCGAGTCCAAGTCCGGCATCGGCAGGTTTTTGCCCTGCGTGTTCATCGAGCCGCCCTTGCCCGAGCGCAGCACCCGCGCTCGCTCGTCCGAGCTGCCGTACAGCGTCGACAAGTCCAGGTAGGACGTGGCCTGGTTGATCTGCTGACGCGCGCCCAGCTTGCAGCCCTGCTCGGCGCAATGGTAAACGGAACCTTGAAAGCGGCATGGCAGCACGCGGCTAGCCGAGGGATTACGAGAGGACTCGCGGCCCGAGAGAGAGAGAGAGAGAGAGAGAGAGAGAGAGAGAGAGAGAGAGAGAGCATGCGATAGCCGTCCAAGTGATTTATCCACTTGGCGCGAGAAACGAGCGACGATAATTGCCCGCCAGCCGTTTTCTCTTCCTCCTGCGCGGCCGAGGATCTGTATCAGTGGGTCAATGACGAGAGAGGATTACTGGCGGCTTCAATCTTCTCTCTGCCGTCGTCTTGGCAATTATCCGGCGAGATTAGCGCCCTCGTGGCGCGCGCAACGAGAGGGCGGCGCGAGGCATTGTTCGAAAATTGGCGCGCGAAAAGGATACGACCAATAACCCAAAAGGAAAGAGGCTGCTTGCGATATGGGAAAATGAACAATCGCGCTGACGCCCGGTGCATTTGCATGTCGCGCTCGATAATCGTGGATAGATAAAGCGTGCGTATACATACGTCGCCGGAAGCGACTCCATTCCAGAAATAACTCTCTCTCTCTCTCTTGTTTGAACATTCGGTAGAGACGCGGGTGGAAAGGAAACGCCTTCGCGTGCCGATTAAATGCTTTTGTTTTTTTTCTCTCTTTTCAACGTTCCTTTTGATTTCGCAATGTCGCGCGCAGAAGCGAATAAGCGTGAAGAGGCCATCGAAGACTCGCCTGGTGAGCATTGCCGGGGTGGGGCGCCGATCTTGCGTACTCCATGCACCCGCCAGCCTCTTTCTCCGCGGCAATAGGGAAGCACTCGGGATGAAAGTTTTCGTAGCTCACGGCGCAGCAGCGCAGGCGCTCGCCGTTCGGCAGTCGCATGCGCGGCGTGTGCGCGAGATCGTGCGCCACGAACTCGCCGAACAGCGCCGTCAGCGCCATCAAGTAAGGATGCCTTGCGGAATAAGCACACGATGGCAGAGCTTTCCCTCACGGCGCCACTCGGAGCGTCAAATCGGACTTGTGCTATACCTGAGATCTGGGCCGCGAGAGTGCATAGCCACGCTCACGGCTCTGGCACTTGGCAAAGTGGAAACGGGCAGAGAGACGCCGTCGGCGTACTCGGCTGGCATCAGGCGCTGGTAAGCTTCCAGCGCGGCACCGCGGGCCGGATACAGTGGATTATTGCAACGGCCGCTGATGGTTCGGTAGCGAGATTCGACCTTTTTGCACTCGTTTATTATCCGCAGGTAATCGCCGGTGCATATGCTGACCTGGATGTCAAAAGCGTTAGCGCCGTAGGCTTTTCATAATACGATCAGCGCAACGGAAGTGTTCGTTTTATTTCTTCACTTTTGGCGAAAGTTCCCTAATTTTCAATACTGTTATCGAGACATTATTAGCTTTTTAGAAATTTTGGAAAACTCATTGAATTTTAGAGAGTCTTAAGGAGATTTACAAATGAAATTTTACAATCAGTCTTGATGATTTTCAGATTTGCAATAATAATGTTATTCACTACTCGAGGAACTTAATTTATCGAACTATCGATCAAATTTTAATCAATTCAGTGAAGCAGGATATTTTTCATTCATGACTGAATAATAGCAATCTCTTTATGCAAAAGCAGAAATCAATAAAACTTCTTTTATTGACTCAATTTGCGGTAGTAAGAAAACAATGCTATTGTAATAAATTTCAAGGTTTTCTTTTCCAAAGTTGCCACGTGGTGTAACGTGGGCTGACTCCTTGACTATAATATTGCGTAATATGTCATTATCGATTCTGCCAAAAAAAAAAGAACGAAATTCACTGCTGGCAACTTGTATATTAATGACTGACCATAAATCAGGATATTGTTAATTTTGAAGTTTTGTATTTATAAGCAGTTGCTAATCTTATTATTTTTATTATTGGTGATTAGAATTCAATGAAAAAGAAGTTGAAAGAACGTAAATAAAGTTTACATATGAGTTAAGATTTGAAATTATTTAAAAATTGCTGTCGTTAATTGGTGGCTTTTAATTAATTGAGAAGTTTTTCAAGCACTAATAAGTTTCTCCAACGCTGGCACGTGTACATATGCATTTAGACTTGTAATTTTTCTATCAAGAAAGAATACAAAAAAATTAAACGTCATTTCCAGATAAGAAGGGATTTTTTTGGCAAATGCAAAGGAAAGGCATTTTTTTGCTGTCTCTAATACTGTCATTTCGTACACAAGAGGAAATTCATTGAATTGACTTCTGTGTTTCAGGTAACAATTTACTGTTGATATTAAATTGTGAAACAAATGTACTAATTGCTGCCATTGTCGAAAAATTATCTATTTCACTAAATTACATTGGGCAATTAATCAATAACTACTTTGACTCGAATAATAGAGATTGATTAACATACATTTATCTTAATCATCTCTCTGCAAAAAATTAAAAGTTTTTTAATATGCCATACGATCAGAGCCTATGAGAGGGCAGTTGTTAATTTATTAAATTGTTCGATTATAATAGTAATAGCATGCATGGATTGACATTTTTCCGAAGACTTTTCAATGGCTTTCGATCGTCGAAAAATGTAGCAGAAAAAATCTTACCAAACTCGTACCGACAGCCGGTAAAAGCGAAGTAGCCTCCTTAGGCGACATGTTTAACGCCTCAACAAGCATGACCGCCATAGTTTCGCGCCTCAAAGCTTTCTCGGTCAAATTGGCAGCAGTCGGCGTCATTTCGTGCGAAGCAGCCAAAAACCATGCAGGTGAGTTTCTGTTCAATCGTACTCCCGACTTCATTATCGCAAGCTCCTGCTTGTGGTAACGTTCCATCGACGAATTCGTTCGGCGTTTGAGGTCGTGCAACATTCGCAGTGGCAAAACTGTCGAGCTAGCCAATGCTGACAGCCTGCATTGGAGACATAAAAAAGTAAATTCTCCTCGCGAGCGATGAAAAGTTTTCGTAACCGTACGCAAATTGATATATGTGCCGCGCGCGCTTCACCGCCTACGCTTGGTTCAACGGCAGCCGAAGCTCCGCTGTTGTTCGCTCTGTTGTTTGCGTAAACACGACGTTCGAAAGATATGGTCCCCGGGTCCCCGCAGCATTCCAGTGGCTATAGCCGAATGATCGAGTGCTCGAATGCGGCTTTTGCCGGCGCGTTACCAGCGAGCGCGTGGGCAGATGATAAATTGAATTGTTGTTGATCATCGAATTGTCGCCGGTGGGAAGGATCGCGTCGCTTTTTATTATTTAACGCTGAGTGCCCGGACGAGTTTGTGGTCGATTGAAATTAATAATTGTGGGCTGCGGCTGAGAGATCAAGCGTGAAAGTACCGTCCGCCCGAAAAGGTCGCTTCTTCAAAATACGCAGCAATGCCACGCAGTCGGATCGGTTGATTATCGGCAAAATCTCGGCTTGGTTGATCCCCGCGCGATTTCTAATTGCCAAGCCGCAATTAAGAACGTAGGAAAAAAAAATTTTGTTGGCAAGCGCTTCGTAGCCAAGGCCGCGCATTGTACGGCCGAGCATCTTCAACCGATTTCACGTGCGTTAAAGCTTAGACTTCTTTGGATTGTATCTCCGAAAGGAGATAATATTGATGCGGCTGAAGATCGATCGCTGGCAATTAAACGTTCGCCGCGCGGCGAGCGAGGAGGAGGCGAAAGAGAGACGCGAAAAAGGAGAATGCCGTTGAGAGAGCTCGAATGCTTGTGTTACGTAACGGAGACACGAGATGTGTTATCGGTGGCGCGCAGCGCTCGCCGATTTAGAAATAACGATCTCCGCGCGAGTGCACGTCCTTTTCGGCTTCGGCGCGCCGCATAGAGAGCCTCTCGACGGGCGCTCCGAAGGATCCCATTTGTCCTCCAGTCAAACGCTCAGAAATACGGTCCTTCGGAATTCCAGCAAACGCGACGATAGGCCGAACGCGAACGAGAGCGAAAAGAAAAGAGGAAGAAAAAAAATTGCAATCGAGCAACGCGAAGATAACAATTCGAAAGAGCATGTCCCGAGTGGCATCTCCGCCGCTCGTCGATTCGCTCGCTTTAAGCGCATCTCCTCGCCGCGGCGAGACACAATCGTCCGCCCGCTCGACTTTCCAATTCCCGACGTCGCGAGAAAAGCGAACGAGACGCACGTGACTGTTCGCGCTGGCGCTCGAGCGAAAATCAACGGGGCTCGAGTGCGCGGCCAATCATTTATCGAGGAAAGAAACCGTTCCCCGCGCGCGCGCTCGCCGGATGAAAATGCGATGGCAAGTCGTCTCACGACAGTCATTGTTGCCGCTAATCATCTCTTTCATCTTTTACGACAGTTCGCTCGCTTCGATTGCTATTTCTTTTTCTCTCTCTTTCTTTGTACACCGTCGTCCGTATGATTTATGAATATACTTCGTAACGCGGCAGTCGCGGTGATTTAACGTCGCTCTGAACGTTTTCTTTGCTCCCGACTGCCTTTCGTCATTTCGTCGAATTCACGCACGATTGCCGATATCCATAAGGTACTTACCCGATGAAAATTCCCAGTGTCTTCAGCATTTTGACGTCGAAGAAAAAGTTAGTTCGAAAATTAAGCCCGAACCCCTTCGAATTTCCACTTGGACGCCGACAGAGTCCATAAGAGCATAACGTCGCACTCGCGAAACTACAAGATCAAGAGTCCTCCTTTTCAATAAATGTTTGCGTGCGAGCGCGCGATCGATCGCACCCAACCTTCTCGATTGCACCAGTCGCTCTACATAAAAAGCGAACCTCTTTTACATAATGATCGTCGCGGGACGAACGAGAACGCAAGCGAGCGGAAACAAAAGCATGCGCGTCGAACTCACGTCGGAGCGGAGGCAAAGAGAAAGGGACTACCGATCGCGAGGTACGACGGCGACGACGGCGACGACGAGGACGCCGAGGACGCCGAGGACGCCGAGGACGACGAGGACGGCGACGAAGAAGAAAAAAAGGTACGAGACAATGGGAAAGGAAGTTCTCTCTCGCGAGCTCGCGTGAAGTAACAGCGAGGCGATGTATCAGGATCGGAAGCGCGAGATGCACTGAGAAAGCCGCGCGAGTCTCGTGTATGTTACGGGGGGACTTGCTACTCCTTTGGGGCCTCACTTTACCGAGTAATAGAGGTGGGGGCTGCAAGAAGAGAGCGAGAGCGTTTTAGATTATCATCGGTAAGAACGCGAGCCTGGTAATTACGCTTGACTCTTCTTTTCCTTTTCTTTTTTGCTGTATGGCGAAGGCATGACATTGATAACTTTTCTGATGGGGAAATTCGACGCGATGAGGCAGAGAGATCCGAAGGAGAGTTTCGGCAATGCGTTCGGGGAGAATCTGCTGTTGCGTGCAGGAAGAGGAATGGGAGTTTTTCAGTGCGGTTGTTGAAAGCATCGAAGAATAATAATCTTCTCTTCAGACTCAAGGTTTCCCGTCGAAATCTAATCCCATTAGTTTTCAGCATTTTTTGCGTCCTTTCAATGCTGCAGCTTTCGAATACGCCAATCTGAACATCCCCGGAAGATCATTTTCTCATACCTCTTAATAGCCTACTGTTTGAGAGAAAAAAGGATCCATCGCCCTATTAGTCAATTCGACCATTTCGATTGAAGCACAAGAGTAATAATACGTCGAAGAGACAATTTTCAAACTAACCCCGCAAATGTATTTTTTAAACACAACAAAAAAAGAGCGACCGTATTTTCTTGGTTATTTTATGATCCTCTCGATTTTATAAAAAGTATCTTCACTTCCGTTATTAAAACAAGCCTCAATTTTTCCACACTAAACTATGAATATCGAGAAAAAAAATAAATAGCTGCACCCATTTCCGCATACACATACACACGCGCGCACGCACACACACATGGAACACCTCGTGACATAGGCAGCTCGACTTTCGCAAAAGTAACGCGCCCACGACGATCTTTATACGTGCAACGCGAGGAGGGATTCCGCGATCGGGATCAAGGCTGCACCTTTGCACCTTCACCTTTGCTCGCTTACATACCGCATTATGCGAGAGATGCTTGTAGAAATTGCAAGACTTTTCATTACACGCAGCTGCTATTATATTACGCTGTTATGCGTGCCGTATATTATTTTTTTTTTCTATATGATTGCTTACGTATTTGGATATAGTGTTGGATTAAAAAGGTGCCGTTGTACGTGGACGTGTCAATTAAATAACTCCGATGATCGTTCGATTATATCAGTTTGGTCACCGTAATTGGCTGTGTGGGTAATCAAGTTAAATTATTAAGTAGATAAAAACATTGCATTTCATCTTTGTGTAAGTAATGTCTAAATTCTCAATCGCATACTAACAATTTGGTGACTTGTAATAAAAAATATAAATAATACATTTATATTGATATCTCATCAATATAAACACATGTAAACGAATATTTTTTATTGATTATCTCATTCAGTTGGCAGGTCAAATTTATATTCAAAATGTGGGAATAAATACAACGATTATTAACTACAGCTCGCAAGGATTTTCGAAAATCACAACTCAGGGAATATTGTGTATCATTAAAAAACTGATTTCAAGCGACGAAGGAAAGAAAAGAGTAGGAATCTCGAATTTCCACATATAATCTTTCTCGCGTCCTCGTTGCTCGAGGTCCGTCGCGCACTGCACGTATTTCCGCGAGAAACAGGAATTTACACTTTTGTTCTTCTCGATATTTTTCATTGTATTGTCTTCTTAGAACTTTTTTTTCGCTTTGTTCCGTCCATCTCTCTATTTTAACGCTTCTCTCTTCTTGCAACACGAGCTTACTACATTCAAGGTTTTCGTGAATGAAAAGACCTTTTTTTTTGGATGAAAAACAAGTTATACGTAATTCGATTAATCAAGTGCTTCTTGCTGTAAGGTTGGGAATTGAATTATTTTGTTGTTCCGCTGTGAAAGTTTCTAAAAGCCAAAATAATTATATAGACTTCATTTTGCTTTCGAATTTGTAATTGAATATCGTGGCTTGAGTAGTATTTTATTAATGCTTATTATTTCGAATAGATGAGTAATGGGTACCGTACTTTTTTACATTGAATGTTTAATTAAAATGCTTTCATTATATTGCATATAGTTTCACAATATTTACTGTCTAAAATTTTATGTAACAATCAGTCTTCGATGTTCGATATTTGTTTGCTAAATTTCTTTGAAATTTATCACTCGTTAATAATAGACATTGTATAAGTTGCACTCGTATTATCACCGAGGGCATTGCTATTGGTGAAACGCAAACTATAACCCCAAATAATTTCTATTTTCAAATGGAATGTACCGAAGAAAAGTTATTCAGATGAGAATAACTTTTCATAGGAATATGAACAGTTAAAAAAAAAAATTCAAATGTTAGATATTTCAAAATATCTTTATTAACTCAATAATTCACTCAGTAAGTAAACTTTGTACAATACCAGATAAAAATCTTATCCCTGATACGCCTCTCGTACTGATTTCTCTCCTTGTTCTTGCTCATCTTTAATAAATAAAAGGTGCAAGAAACAAGCATCAAACCATCGCTATCATTGGTAATCAATTCATCATTATTATCATTATCATATATGTACAGAAGCCAGTGTCCTTGGCGTAAGAAAGTCATTGCTCAGACCGCAGTATCATCAGTGTTATCGAGTACAGCACCACTGTAAGCTAGATCCCAGTAATGTTCGACTTGGTGTTTTTTGAAATGCTCGCGAGCTTGTTTCTCAATCGGGCAAACCTTGAATTTGATGTCGCCAAAGTGACGGTGTTTGCTTGTTCCTTCCCACACGAGAACGCATTTATTTGGAACGTCTTTGCCTTCGGTGTCTTTTGTTGTGTCTTCTTCCCACTTAATACGGTGAAGCATCAGACGTTTATATTTGCTGATTTGTTTCAAACCACCCTCGACTACTACTACGTTGCAGTCACGGTATAACATCACGCAACCAGTTAAGTACAACTGTTTTGCGTTCGTCTCCACTTTAAACTTTTTGGATGCGTTGTTCACCAAGTCGCGTATTCTGTAACATTTTATTTTTTTAGATTTAATTTTATATGACATAATCGATTATACAGTTTGAAATTTATTTTCGAATTTTATTTTGAAAGTTAAAGCAAATGTCGGAAAAACCTTTGAAAAGCAGAATAGTAATCTGGTCTAAGTTATGTATTAAGCTCGTATTAATCCAAGATTTACGAATTCCTATTTAATGTATCCTGACTTTTAGCAAAATAATCCTTTAATCCTTATATTGGATTTAAAATTTAAATTGCTTAAATAAAAAAAAAATAAAAAAAGGAAAAATATACCCTAACTAGAATTTGCAGAGCTTTTTGAAATTTTAGAAGAATCTCATATAGATTTTATATAATAAATATAACTAACCTAAATACAGCTACATGAACTCCAAGAGAAGTATCCTCCTTGAGTTTTCTCGCTTTTTTCTCACGTCGCTGATCAGCAGTTAAACGTCTAGCAGCATTTGCATCTTCATGAGCTTTTAGTCTCTTAGCCATTTGTTGACGCACGTGAGCTTCGATCTTTGTTGGATCTTGTACAGCTTCAGTTCCAAGAACTCGCATCAAATTAGAAATACGAAGTTTTGGTTCTGGTGGAGGCTCCAAACCCAAACGAATTTTCTCCTGCTCTTCCTTCCAAGCTTCGCGACGATTTTGACGACGAAGTTTCTTACGTTCTTTTTTTGTAAGAAAGATTGGCATGCATATAGGTTTCGTCGGTTCCGCTGAAAATAATAGAAATAATGATTAAAATTTTACAATAATATTTTTTTTGCTAAATTAAAACATTTCGTATGAAAATATGAAATAAAAAACATTGTATACTCACTGGGTGGCCTCATCTGTGCAGGATGTTCAACTAAATTAGTAATAGTGGAAAAGTCAATCATGGAGTTAATATCTTTTGAATTGAGATCACAATCTTTCGTCAAAATCACAGAATCCCACCAATCAACATTAGGTACATCCTCATTTAGTGCTTCAGTCTTTGGAGCAATTAATGCTAATTTCGTTGCAGAGCTGATGCCAGTTTTCCTAGCAATTTGACTGATCTCACTTTGTAACTTTTCCAACTGAGCCTTCATACGAATTCTCTCTGCCATCTGCATGAATTTACCTGGTTCGTGAAATTTAAGAGCTCTTTTGTTCCTCACTGCCGGCTTTATACCTAAAAATATCAAGTAACAACACATGAAACTAATATACATAAGAAAATGTCATTTATAAAAATGGTGATTAATTTACCTATACGACTGTCAAAAAAGTGAGTTTCCTGGAAATCTTCAGGAACTTTGGATTCTTGCATCTGAGCCTTGAATTCCTCCCTCTTCTTGGCGCGAATGTTAGCTTTGAGCGTCGGGACGACATGAGTTAGATGTACTTCTTTGCCAGTGTGATCCACAGTTCTTCCAGACTCATCCAGAATCAAAGGTTTTGGTTTGTCTACATTAGCATTTAAATTCAATATACCGGCCTTCAATTTATTCTGAATGGCTGCTTGTAGGGCAGCAAGTTTCTGTGCTTTCGCAGCATCTGGTTTAGTAAGAAGGCCATGACTGTAGGTAGAACCAACTGTGTTCACTAAAAGACTCTCATTAAGTAGAGGCTTGATTGCCTCAAGTTCTTGTCGTGGCACTTTATGACCCATGGCCATTTGTCTTTCTTTGATTGCCTTTTGTGCATTTTCCATAAATGCCTTAGCCTAAAATAAAATGGCTACATGTAATGAATAGATTAATGTGGAAAAATGAGATGTGCGTAAGTTTGAAAATTAGATTACTTACTTTTTCTTTATCCTTTTGTTCCTCGGTAAGGGATACATGATTTGAGCGACTTGATTTCTTTGAGTCGTTCTCTTTGGTTCTTGGTCTTTTAGCATCCCTTTCTCTTTCTCTTTCCCTTTCTTTTTCTCTGATCCTTTCCCTTTCCTTATCTTTCTCCTTATCTCTTTCATCATGTGTACGTTTTTTGGATTTGTGTGAGGCTTTGACATCGTCATAAACTACAAAGATTTTCTCAGCTACTTTCGCAGCTTTCTTATCATCAAGCAAAGCTGACAATTTAGCTAAAAGTAAAATTATTAAATATTATTAAAAGAATATTAACACTAACAAATAGTAATAATAAATTATATCTACGTTGAATAAGCACCTGAATTCACATCAAAGAAAAATAATACAACACCAGCTTACCAGTGAATATATTTTTATATTTCTAATTAATAAGAATATGAGACACAATTATTACTAAATTTATTTAAAACAAGAACATTGATTGCTTTGATAAAATATATTTCTATGAAGAATTCTTCAAATATGGGTGTGATAAGCAATGAAATGAATAAATAAATAAAGGAAGCTTTATTTAAAATCTAATTTCTTTTATAAATAAAGCTTATTCTGCAATCATTTTGATCTAATTCTTGTAATATCCTCATCATGACATACTGACAGAATAAGTGGTAAAAATTAAAATACGATGTATTGATTAGTATTAATCAACATTACTATGTGATTATTGCCATATAGACTAATAAAAATAGAACAACAAATGTTTACCACATATATCAATATATACACATCAAACAAGTGATGATGCATTAACATTGAAATAGTAAGTAACATTGTAATCAACGTTCCTATCTACATAAACAATACAAACTCCAAATCACGCTGAAGCTTAAACATCAAATAAATTATTGATGAAACATTAGAAAGCAATAACAAACCTGCTGTTTTACGTTTGTCATAGCCAGCTTCGAGACAGTGAAGGGCGGTAGAAGTGATGGAAGGCTCGCTAATCCCGAGGAACCTGCTGATGCTGCGATCAATCAATGGTCGAAGCTCATCCACTTCCCTGCGCGACAAGTGCGTGGACGACATACTTATCGCGCGCAGATCTCTGATTCAATCAAAAAAATGCAAAGTATAACAAAATTCACAAACAACGCACACCTCACTTAGAGGTTAGGTTTTGTTTTGTTTTTTGCTTGGACACCTACAGGCGACGATCCGCTGCGATATCTTGATTATCACGTCATACGTGATATACTCGTCTGCATTTTCCACCGATGAGCGACGAATTACGAGCGACGAGAGAATTACTTTGAATTGATTAAATAAAAATACTCAATGCATGTACACTGCTACGTGAACTGTGGATAAAACACGATGATGCTCACATACTAGTATACTACTTAAACTCATGAGTACTACTACCGTGCCAATGAATATATAGAATATATAGATAGACTACATGCGCAGGATATGTTGTCGTTTACGACTTTACCGACCGCGAGCTTTACGCTCGTACGCGCATGCGCGGGTTTTGTTTTGAAATTTTAATTTTTTTTCCAACTCTCAAGAACCAGTATCAATGGTATTCGTCAATTAATTAAAATCAGCACTTTTTGTTAAAACTGCCATGCTCTTTCGCTCAGATAAAGTCTAGAAATCGATCGCGTTGGGTGCAGCGCAATTTACGTCTCACTTAATTCACATGGAGTTGTCGACGCGTGCTAAAAAGTTGTTGGTAATTGGCGATCCATTGTCGACTAATGAGTACTTTCGACACATAAATCACAAATTATTTGACGTTGCAGCGCTTCACGATAGTGTTACTTGCCTCATCGAGCTATTTATAATGTTTCCCGTAGGGCATTTATAAATAACTTAAGTCTGTGTGCATCTTTTATTTTCGACTTTGCAAGAGTAGGTTGCATTTGCCATACGGTCTCATTCAACAGATTTTTCAACATTTAATATGTAACCGTCTTTTCCGAATGTTATACTTATGGTGAGTTTTTTTTCTATTCTAAAATGTCATCGCTGAGCATTCCTGGTCTTAAATGTTCAGTAAATATGAAACATTTATTGATTAGATTTTCCCGAGAAAAAGTTAGCATGCCATATTTTATTAACTATAGGATTTGCTCGCACGTGTCAAGCATTGTTGAAAAAGACATATATGAATATTACTATTAATTATATATTCTAAATATGCATAATAAATATAAAAAAATATGTAATACGTTTTATTATAATAATTTAATGTTAGAAGAGTCATTTTATTATTTGAATAAATCCACTAAGTATACATCTATCATTAGAATAAATTAACTAATTTTATAATACATTTACTTTTCATGGAAAAACCCGCGACGTTTCAACACATACGAGAAACTGCGTTTTACATAAAAGTCTGCTGGCGTCACTTAAAATTAAATTTTTCCAATGTAATTGCTTTATTATTCAAATAGAACTGGCATTTCCCCCAACTTAATTCTAATGCGGTAATAGTATAAAGACGTATCACTCGTAGCTGCATGCAATCGATTCTAAATGTGATTTTAATTATCCATAGTATTCAACAATCCGATCTGTGTCGAGAAGAGAAGGCTAAGAAGTGCCCAGCTTTCATTTTCCAAAGTTATTCGTTCTTTCCCAATGAATTCGTTAAAATTATCATAGGCTATTTTATATTTATATATTGCAATGTTTATTTATGTCTTTTCTAGAAAAATTTGAGAAGTCTGGCAGAGTGTAGTCGGCAAAATGTCGCAAGCTAATTCGTTTATCTTCCTTTATTGGAATCATCTATTATTTATCCAAATCGACTTATTAATGCTACAAAACAATTATATTTATATTACATTAAAGTTACTGGACAATTGCTGCAACATGAAATACGTTTATTTTTCTTTTCATTTAGAAAATGCTTCTTAGCACTTCGCAGATCGCTATTTCTAAATAACATATAATCAATGTTGGTACAAACTGCAATTAAAATGAACATTTAATGCATTTAATTTTCTAGAGCATAATTTTTAATCCAGTTTTTTTTTACTTTGAGATTCAAAATTAAAAGAAAAAAAATAGTTTTAGAGCAAACTTATTTAGCCAAATAATTATAATTATTGATTATAAAATAATGATAATTATTTTATAATCCAGCTGGAAATATTTTGTAAACACCCCAGATAAGCTTCAGTGAAGACATTTTATTCCAAAAGGAAACTGTCTATATTCGTTAAGTTTTATGCGAAATAGTATAATATAGCCACATGTGTTTCAAGCTTGATGCAAGATATTCTATGCAAGATAGAAAGATTCTATGCAAGATAGAAAGCGTTTGCCGAATTTTTTCACGTGGGATGTTTCAAAATACTATACACAATCTAATCTACAGTCAAATAATTTGATATGCTTTATTGCTGCTGATAAGCGAGTTTAAGCGACGCTGTGTGTACATTTTTATAAGGCACGTTACTTTTGTGTAATCTTGATGAATTAGCGTTCTGAATGAAATAACATCATAGACAGTCAGTGATGAATATTAAAAATGTCACTGCGATATACTGAAATCAGCAATAAATTTTATAGTTATAGAAGTTCGAGTGTGCGTGAAAAAAATCGTAAATTTCGTTGCTAATTTTACGTTGTTGATAAATTAAACTTGGTGTGAATGTTTGTTGATTAAGCAATTTCTTTCTAGTTGTGGAAATAAGAAGGGTTTATTTCACTTTTTAAACGAAGAGTATTAATGCCATTCTGATATATTGTTAAAATGTCGTCTACCTGGAAGTCTTGTTGTAGGTGAAAAACTATTAAAATTATTGATTCTATTTGTCTTAACGTAATCGTGTGATACGTTAGTACAATGTCAATCACATTTCAGGTTCTTGTGTTTCGCAAAAATGGCTATTCACTATATTAGCGAGTATAGGGCTTTGCCTAACAAGCATTTATGGAGGTTTCCTGTCAATAATTATTATCGAAATGGTAATAAAAACTGGACGCTGCGAGAAGCAGAGTGATGTAACTTGTGAAAGTTCTAATAACATCAATCCATTAAATAAGACTTTTCTTGCTAACCAAGATGAAGCGTTAATTCAACGTTACCCATGGGATGAGTATACGCAGGTATGCACATTATTATACTTGTTTAAATTTGTGATTTCAAATTGTTAAAACCGTTTTCAGGGAATAATACTTTCATCATTTTTTTGGAGTGCAACGATATACCATTTTTTTTCTGGCCCTCTGGCTGAGCGATATGGAGGCAAACATCTTTTAGGCTTCGGGATCTTCTCACAAGCTGTACTCACCTGTGTCACGCCCTTCTTAATAAATTGGGGTGGTTCTACAGCCCTTATAATCACGCGTGTCTTGGCAGGAATAGCATTTGGTGGAATGTATCCGATATCCAGTAAAATGATATCGCATTGGACAACTTCAGAAGACAGAACCAAAGTTGGCAATGCAGTTTATTCTGGATCCGTACTAGGCTTATTCTTTGGAAACATTTTACCTGCCCTAATAATCAAATGTTCGGGTATGGGATGGCCGTCTGTCTTTTATTTCATGGGTATTTTGGGAATTATTTGGTTTCCATTTTGGCTGGTACTAGTTTATGAAAATCCACAAGTGCATCCTTTTATATCTGACGAGGAATTGGAATATTTTGAAAACAGTTCAGAAACAAAGAAAGATAAAACACCTCCACCACCGTGGAAACACATACTCATGTGTCGAGAATTTTGGGCTTTTACTGTCGATCTGGTTGGGGCCAATTGGTCCTTTTATGTAATGGTCAGCGATTTGCCCAAGTACATGGACAGCGTCATCAAATTTTCGCTTGAAAGTAATGGTTATTTCTCTTCGTTGCCGTATATTTTCATGTGGCTCATCTCAGTCGCGAGCGCTTGGGTCAACGACAAAATACTCGAAAACCAGTGGATGAGCCTCACCAATGTTAGGAAACTCTTAACCACATTATCTAATTTGGGTCCAGCAATTTTTTTACTTCTGGCATCTTACGCGGGACAAGACAAAACTATGGTTGTTATTATGTTTATCATTGGAGTAGCATTGATTGGTTGCTCCTATCCAAGTTTGATGATGAATCCTTTGGATTTAAGCCCAAAGTATGCTGGTTCAATAATGTCTATTGGAACTGGTATCGGATCAATCGTGGGCATAATAACTCCGTATCTCGTAGGTGTCTTAGTACCTAATTCAACGCTCACTGAATGGAGATTAGTATTTTGGATAGTATTTTTATTTGCTGCTGTATCTAATATTATCTATCTCTATTGGTTTCGAGCAGAAGTTCAACCTTGGAACAATACCGATTTTATAACCAATAGTGAAGAGGAAAAAAACATTGAGTTGCATAAACGTTTGATGGTTTTCTCTTGAAAGAGTTATCAAAATTGTATTTTCGTATAATGCTTTTCAGTTTTTTATTACTATTGTTACTTATGAAAATAGGAAGTTAAGATTTTTTTATTGTATGGTAAACGTCCAATAATTACGTGCGTAAGTTAATCATTAGACCTCAAGAAAATCAATACATTTAATTGTCTTTATACTTTACGAGCTAGAAATATTTAGATTTAAAACCTCAAAGCAATTAAGCTTAGTCATCGCAAGGTTATTTCTAAAATGGAATATGAATTTAAATATTTTGAATAAATTACTTTTATAAATTATTTTTTGTTAATAACTGAAAGTCACCTCACTATGTTTTTAATAAATGAAAAATGATGAACCCAATGATTGTTGAAAGTTGAATAAAAGATAACATAAGAGGTCAACATTCTCGTTAAATATATTTATTAAATATTTTGCGATGTAATTAAATAACATACGTCGGTAGACGTTTACGGTTGTAATTAATGCATTTTCAGGAAAATTTTCTAATATTGTATATAATTGAATAAAGTCGAAATCACTGTTCAATATTTTATCTTGATATTAATTTACATCTTTTATTGTCTACACTTTGTTTATTTGAAGCTAAACTTTTCCGTAGAGTAAAATTCAATTAACTTCTCTATCGAAGATATCAGTTGATTATTATTTTCAGGTTAGTAGATCAATCAATTCCTATTAAATTTATGTCAACTATACTGCTATACTTTTCTAACGTTTAGTCAACTATGAAAATTTGTAATCTATATGAGCGTGTACGACACATACATTTGTACCATTGCATAACAGTTGATCACGTGATTATCTTTGAACCAATCAGATTAGGAAGATACTGACTTAACTTTGTTAGAATTTTTTTATAAGAAGGGAAAGATTACACATATAAAGAGTGTATATATGTTATTATAAATACAAATACTTAGAATAGCCATAAATAAATTAAAGAAAATAAGAAATTAAATACTTTCATTTTAAGCCCACGATCGCGAAAATTGATCGATAATCACAAGAGAAAATTGACGTTTCATCGATGGAATATATCGATTTTCATAAATTTCCTATCACAATTATTGGAAAAAAGAAAAATTGGCTCTAATGTCAAAAACAACCTAGGCGATCAATGACGCTATTTAAAAATTGTGCCGCAATTTAGTTTTAGAAATTAAACTTTGTCTTTCGTAATTTACAATCTTTTGAATCGATTAAAAATGGCGCACAAGTTACATATCGGTTTGTTTACAGAAAGCTCACCAAGCAAAACAAAACAAGACGCGAGATCAGTCGCTTTTATTTCATGAGAATTTGAATGTTATTATTGTATCATTAGTTATACGTGTATATTAGAAGTGGCTTATATTCTTATACGTTAATATTGAATTATCGTAATATTAAATCAAGACAGTTTCTTATTTTACATTGCATGTGCATGTTGCTGGTTGTAATTTCTACCAGGTTATTAACATTTGTTATAGTTGACTGTTCGACTTTGTCGATCATTATAATCTCTAACTTTTTATTTTTCAGTAAGATTACCAATGTGTGTGCCTTTGATTGTCTATTGAATAATTCAAAACTTCTTTCATCTTTGCTAGTATTTCAATTTTGCATGGGAAAATCTTGTTCTTGGAGTCAGATAAGATTTGCATATCTTCAAAGTTCTTAGGTAAATTTGGATAAATATTTATTTGTTTTGTTATTTTATATTTTTAAGTAGATATATGCAAATAATATGACGGTTTCTAAATATTTTTGATGAATCTGAACGTGTTATTTGTCTTACATATACCATATGTAAAAATGCAAATATGAACTTTGTTATGCTGATAGTCAGTCCATATTATATGCTCAATAATATTTTTTAAACAGTTTAATTTTAATTAATTAATTTATTTTTTGATAAATAGCAATAAATCTATCATTTTTTTAGTTTAGTGAACTTATAATTAATGGAATGGACAAACTTTTTTGAATATGTAAGCTTCTTCAATTTTATTGTGTAGTACAAAATCAAGTTAATTTACATTATACATTGAAGTTATTTGTATTTTTTAAAATATTTTTTAACTTAATAAATCTTATTAAAGGTGGTAATTTTTGTAATTGAAAGTATCGTCTATATATTCTATAAAATGATTATCCTTGTGAAGTATAAATGGTATAGATTACAGGATTGCTTTCAGTTTACAACAATGAATATCCCAAATATTAACTGGGGAGAGTACAATGATGATGACACCGGTAGTTATAGTGATAGCTCAGATTCTTTTGATAATGAATCTTCAACATCAGGTATTAGTAATGATTTTGAAACAAATGAAAATTTAGAAAACTGTAAAAAGGAATTGCAAAGATTATTGGATAGTAGTAAGCCAAGTGACAAAGAAACTCTAAAAGTCAAAGTTATAGATATAGTGAAAAATGATTCGAGAGTGTTATATATGTATTTGATTGCAAATAACTACAAATTAGAAGTCTTGAACAACAAAGGTCAAACAGCACTACATCTTGCAATGTATTATGGATATGACGTTTTGAAGTTAATTGTAGAATTTCCAAATTATGTTACTGATAATCATACTGATTGTAATGGACTTAATTACTTACATATTGCAAGCTCTCTGTCTCATGCAAAATTAGTAAGTAGATGTTTGAAAGCAGGTGTTGATGTCAATGCTCAGTTTCACACTGATCCAAAAAAGGTGAGAAGTAAATTTACACCCCTTCATTTTGCTGCAAGTGTTATGTTAGATGAGTCAAGAAAAGTAATCAAATTGCTTTTGAAGAATGGAGCAGATATAAATGCTGTAGATCAAAAAGGTAGAACACCACTGCACATTGCATGTCAAGTGTACGAAGAACTTTTTTTTTTTTCTGAAACACTGGGTAGCTGTAGTAGCTTCAAGATTGTAAAACTTCTTTCAGAAAATGGAAGTGATTTAAATGCAAGAGATAGCAATGGTAACACACCTTTGCTTAGTATTGTACCTGATAATTACAATTATTTTGGGTTTTGTTTGGATGAAGATTCAAATTCTCTGCCATACATTGAAATTCAAAAGAAACTTAAGTATTTTTTGAAAAAGGATGTTGATTTCATAGCAGTTAACAATGATGGCAATAATATTTTACATTGCATAATTGAAAATTTGAAACTATCACGGTATCTACAGAAAGATTCAGTTGATTTTTCATATGACATTGAGTTTGCTAAAATGATCAAGCAAATTCTTAAAGCTAAGAAAGGAATCAATGTCAATGCTAAAAATTGTTTCGGTGACACTCCGTTGCAATTAGCAGTAGCATTAATGAGCCTTGATGTCATTGAAGTTCTCCTACAGCACAATGCTGATGTAAACAGTTTGACTTTTAGTTACAGTGATCAATATTGCTTCTGTTGTCCTACTTATATTCCCAGTCTAGATGTAGTTAAGCAAGTAATAAGCATTATCAAGATACTTATGAAGAATGGATGGAAACTTACTTTTCAAGATAACTTAATACTTATTAAATTTCTGGTACATGATGTTACGGATTGTGAGTGTGGAAACACTTTGTCGAATAAGTATGAAATGAATATAAATATATTGAACCTTATGGATTTTGCTTGTGCTAAGCATTTTGAAGAATATTTTGATAAAGCTATGAATGCTTTGTTATATTATAACTATACTGCCAAACAGTATTTAGTTAAAAAAGTTTCCAAAGCATTATATTACAGAAAAAGATATAACTTGTATATGGATGAAAGAATAACTGATATTATAAAGAAGCATCTGTTTAGACGTTCCATTTCTAAAGAATCAGATCCCAATTCCATAATTGATGACATAGTGCGTATGAAATATATCAAACTGGAAGGTAATATGACATTATACAATGTGATGGTAAGACATCCTCACACAATTTATAGATATATTAAAAATCACAACTTTAATAAAATCACAGAACACTTTACATACTTAGAAATCTTACTTATGGTGAAGGGACATGTAGCCAAGTCTTTGGTCAGACACCACATTGAAAAGGTGGCTGTTCAATATTTAAGAATCTTGTTCATGCCATTTATTCCAGTTCTATGTTGTAGACAGATTTTGAGTTTCTTGAGCAATACAGATATTGTAAATATGTGTTCTGCTGCAGTTCTTGAGGAATAGAGGAATGATTTTGCATGCTATGTTAACAAAACCAATACTAAATTTACATGTTTACTATAAATTATTTAATAATTTGAAATTGCTTTTTAATTAATGTGTGCGTTTAAATGTTTGATTTCTTTAGTTTTGTATAAAATACAATCTTGAGGTAATCCTTTTTTTAAGCTTAAAATTATTCTATTTAGGTATAGTTTTCAGTGAATGCATTAGCAAACTTATTTTAATGAAATCTTGTTAAATGTGTTTTGTTTGTATGAGGTCCATATGTCATAAAAAATTCAGATAAATATTTGTGTACGTTTGAGAAAAAGATAAATATATATATCTTTGTAAAACAATCATTAAACTTAATAAGTATGCATGAAACTTTATAAAGACTTTTAACTTCCTTCCTAAATATTTGCACTTTATTTAAAACATTAGTAATCTTGATTATCTTAATGATTTAAATGATTTTTAATATTGCATTATGCCGTAACGCGATTTTTTCCAACACAAAATAACGTGAAAAATCATATATCAGTTTTCAACGTAGTATGAAGCTATTCATTTCTTGCTTTCATTTTCTTGCTTATTAGTTTTAAAATCTCATTTAGAGGTTCTAAAAAGTTCTCTTAATCGTAACATCTTTATTAAAAAAAATTGACTTTACGATGCCTATCTGAACATTAGAGTGAACGGAAATCATTTTGAGAGAACTCATTGTCTTTGTTAGGATTTGTATTAAGGAACGAGTTGAGCTGATTTTCAAAGAAATTACTTTCTCACGTTTTTCGATCCGCTTTTGAATTTTATTTAGAAAAAAACCATTTACAATTTTGGGAAAACTGGTTGATAAACATCAAAAAATAATTTTTTTGAAAATTGGTTCCACTCGTTCTACAGCACAGATCCTAACGAAGACAAGACTTTTCAAAATAATTTTCGTTGGTTCTAATATTTAGAAACGTGTGATAAAGTCCATTTTTTCAACAAATAAGATATTACGATTAAGAGAACTTGCTAAGATCTTTAAATAAGATTTTGGTACTCATGAGCTAGAAAATGAAAGCTCTTACTAAGTCCATTAAGATGAAAAAGATTTCGTGACGATATATTTATTAGGACAATTTTTATATGTCAATAAAGAAAATGTTCGATATTCACTATTTAACACCGGATGGCCCGTTTAATTTATAAATAATTCTTTTTCTCTTTTGTCATAACATTAATTAAATTATTGCGTGATAAGAAATTATGTATTATGTATTCTTTTGATCAGTGGTCGAAAAGTAGCATTTTCATAGACCGCGGCTCGGTTGGTAACATGCCAATTTCAGCCTCACTGGGCAAAAATTAGTAGATTACATATTAAGACCGAGAAAGTATTGGCAAGTCCATAGCACATGAAAATTGACAACCTCGTCTTTGCCTTGGTTGTGGAATACGTAACGTGGGCTATTACCAATTTCCCGGTCTTGGGACGTATACTCCGCTGTCACTATAATTTACACGTGCTATAGACTTGCCAAATCCCTTCGCAATTTAATAATAACGCAAACTCACTAACAATTTATTTGTGATAGCCGTCCAATCATGACATTGTATGTATTTATTTTCTTTCTGCATTATCCTAATTACAACGAGGTTTAGTAAATGTTCAAGTGTACCTATAACATATTATAATCGCGCTATCTACATTTGTCGTTACGTAAACAAGATATTATTGCCAAATAGGCATAACGATAACTCGTCCGTCCAAGTGTCTCGTTGAATCTTCCATACGTTAATTGCGTCGAAAGCTTTGCCCATGTGTCTGTCAAAGCTACGTCCTAAGTTACATGCCTATATATGTAGCTGTGCGCGCGCATGATCCCTGCGAGGTGACGGGCGTGCTTCCGTTAATTAATTTGCCAAATGACAATAGTCACGCACACGAAGAATAATTGAGCTTAGGTGCTCGTCGATCGATCTTTGGGCTGGTTCGGTTCAATGTAAATACCATTCACACTGTTTGGTCGCGAGTGTAAAGAAAAATCTAAGCTCCCGCCGGAGCTAAGGCAGATGAGGGAGAGAGGGAGAGAGAGAGAGTGACCTCGTTCGGGAAAACGTACGAAGTAGGGGTTGATTCGTTTGTGCGCGACGCGGTACACGTGCTTTCTCTTTCGATTTTTCGGGCTACACGCGCGTAGAACGACAAAGGTAGGTATTTTTTTTTCACGCTCCACGATTATGACGACTCCCCGACGTTCGCGGATGCGAAAGGCCAAGGAGAGGTATACACACATATATAAACGGTATCTCGTCATCGCGCACGAGCGTACTAAGAAATCCCCTGCGCAGCTGGACGCAATCGCTTATGACGGGCTGGCTCCCTTATTCTTCCTCTTTCGACCTCGTCGGAGTGTTTTCGAACACGCTGTTTGATCACGCATCGATCGATTCCACATTGAAACCATGTCGACGGTCCATTTCATCCTGGCCATGCGTAATCCACATCGCGGCGTTTGTCATGCCCCCAACAAGGCGCTGATTCGTCGGTTACAAGTTGCCACGGATAAACTATAGACGTCGCAGCGGTGATTATACTGGTTCGGTGCTCTGCGTCTCGCCCTTAAACGTCCTCATAATCAATATGAATTTGTTCAGAGCAAGATCATCAGGATTCTTAAATAATAATTGACTTTATCTATGGTTGAAAGTTTAAAAAGTAGAAACTTGAGACGGGGCAGTTATGGTCTTGTTGATAATTCTACGAAAAAAGTAACATTTTGGGTTGAAATTTGACTGAAAAATATTAAAAAATTCAACAGTGAATTGCTAACAAATATTTAAGTATAAACATTGGTTATTTTTTACTGCCATTTAAACTTATGCATTATCGTTTTGTGATTTAAATTTTAACTGTTTTAAATAAATATATCTTTTCGAGAAAGATTTTTGATATAGTATTTTCAATTTATAATAAATTTTGAATGTTTATATTTATGAATTATAATAATTTGTGTGTACGCGTGTGCCATAAATTTGTAATTACGACTTCCATTGAGTCTCGGTTCATCTGTTAAGGTTTTAAACTAAATATTTTTGAAAGAATCAGCGTGTATCCTAAAAAAGTTACTTTTCCTTGCTAGGCAGTCATGTAAAAAAAAAGAAATATGCTATCAAATTTTATGGAATAAATTATCGTTATATTAAATTAATATTAATAAAAACGGCATGACGTTTATGTAAATGCATAGATTTTGAAAGATTTATATTAAAATATCGATGAGTATGTATGATAAATCCGGTGATGTACATACCAAAAGTTTTAGAATAAAACTACGTGGGTCATGCAGTTCTCACATCTTATATTATATTTACAAGCAATAATGAAAATCAAGCAAATTTTGAGCAACTCAAAAAAGTGTTTTTCGAGCGCTAAAAGTATGTATCCTGCTGAACCAGCATTATCCAATAACAGTTAAAGAAAAGGAAAATTGGCGGTCGCAATTAAGATCACACCCACAGTTATTAAAGTTACGAAGAGTAAAAGTCGCGCGTGCCGAGCGTACAATATACGTGTACGATCGATCGATGCGAAAAGAAGGAGAGAGAACAGGATGGGCTCCGAGGGGTTGAGAAAGAGGGTAAACCATGTTGCGCCACTTCATCCACATTCTAGAATGCGCTTGCGCGCACGGGAAGTGTTGTCGCTTTTGCGTTCGGCTACACGGACTGATTTTTTTTTTTATTCGTGTCAAGACACTCCCAGATATAAGTTTACTTGATTGACTCCGTGGCAGTGAAAGCGTCAAAGCATGCGTCGATGAAGGAAAACGACTGATGACAGTGATAAAATAATTGAGGAATTACGCTTGACCTTGCGGGTATACACAACGATCTAAAAATCATTGTTGTGATTTTGTGTTGTAACTTTTCTGGATATTCCAAACCTGTCTGTAGTTTATCGAAGTGATAATAGCATGTTGCGTTTTTATAACTTGGTGATAGTTGATTCTAACTGGAGCGTTTTTCATGCCTATAGAACTACGTCAAAGTATAGTTAGGTTAGTCATTCGACATCTCGCTTTAAATGATTCACCGACGACAATTTCTATTTGCCAAGCGAAGGCGTAGAGTAGATCAACATTAGCGCATAATAATTTAGTAATGTAACGTTACCAAAAATCGATGTACTATAAAAGTAGAAAAACAGTAGGGTTATTTATTAAAAATGTAGACTAATGTTATATGTAGCGATTATGTTTTAATGTAAGAGTTGATTACTAGCATATGCAGAAAGTACTCTTAGCTTTTTAAGATGACTGATTCGCCTACGTTATGAATTAATGGATAACAAGAAAAAACGTCCAGAGCCAGTAGATAGATTCCGACTGTGATTCCCAATTATAATCTGGAATTAGTTATAATTTTCTACTTTACAAGGTAATGTGCATAGTTTATTTGGTGTTATCTGAAAAGAAAAGTTGTGTGAAAATTTGAATCTCAGATTTCGCAAAAAATGATGTTTTAAATTACTGAAATGAGGGTTGATTTTTTTCTACGTTTTTAGCTAATATCTTGTGAAATTTCATAAATGTAGATATTAGGAAAAATACTTTTTCGCACGTGATATATTGTTTATATTATTGTGAAAAAAAAACTTTCTTAGAGATCACTATTCAAAAATTATTCTTGAATCAGTTATAAAGTATGCAAAGCGCTTGTGTGTAATAGGTATTTAAGTCTTGACTAACAAAGCACGATAAAGATAATCTTCTAACTTGAATCGCAAGCAAATAATATCAGATTTTTAAACAGCCTCTTAATAAAAATGACCCTTATAAAATCTAGCACCTTTCATTTTTTCTAAGCGCATTATAATAAATCGCTTTCTAAAAAAATTCAGCTCTCGATAAATAATTAACAATAAACAACCAATCATAGGTTATCATGGATATTCAATGATTAAGTTGCTTGTTTATTGTTAATTATTTATCGAGGGTTGACCTTTTAGAAATGGATTTATTATAATGAATGTCTTAACAAAATTTAGTTGTTTTATTTTCAAATTTAAATATTGTGGATGTTCGTATGATAAGTCAATAAAAATCTACAGACCACAAAATAATTTTGCAGGAAAAGTACCAAGAATAGGCCAACAATGGCGTTTGCTTTTGCTGCAGCATGGCGTAGTGCCAACGCCATTCGTTATCGTCAAGATCTTTACCAAGCAGTGGAAAATCGAGATATGGAAGGAATGTTCACAGCAATGCACAACGGCGCTAAGTGGATATTCCCGGATCAATATGGCGAGACAGTTTTACACATGGCAGTGAAGAAATGCTGCACTCAGCCTGGCGAACAGCAGAAAATAATCAAAATTTTAGAATGGTTCTTGAATAAAAAAGTGTTGAAGGTGGACGTAAGAAGTCGAGCTGGCAAAACATCCTTGCACATGGCTATTAGAAACAGAATGGACGAGGTGGTGGATTATTTGATTGGTCGTGGCGCCAGTCTGGATGTCCGCGATGAGCGTGGCAATTACATAGCACACTGCATGGTCGAAGACGAGTTCGAGAGATTCTTCAAGCTGTGCCGTCAAGTGGGCACTCCGTCCGAGCGGCGCGCGTTCGAAAGGGAAGCCGTTCACTTTTTCGAGTGGATGCTGTCGAAAAATATAAAAATCAATTGCATCAACAAAAACCGAGAAACTCCTCTTCAGTTGGCGGTCAAGCGAAATTTGCTACACATACTGCCAATTCTGTTGTCGTTCTCGCAAGACGTCAGCTATTTAGACTCCGAGAGGAGAACTGTTTTGCACATTTTCATCGAGACAATCAAGCGTTGCGATCATACCGATGTGCATCGAACGTCCAATGTAGCGGGAGTCCCGACTCGTTGTTATGATAAATCGCTCGTCGTTAATGTCTTAAAATTGCTGCTTAACAAAGGGTTTTCCGTCAATTCGGTCGACATTAGAGGCAACACACCGCTGCACAATGCAGCAATGCGAGACAGACCGGAGATAATCGAAATGATGCTGAAGCGATTTAAAAATGTCAATACCACGAACAATCGAAGGGAGACTGTACTGCACGTCATCGTTGACAATTCGATCGACCACATTAACAAGCAACACAAAGAAGAGTACGTGAAATTTGTGCGTACTTTGCTGTCAAAGGGAGCGAACATCAACAAGGTGAACGAAGACGGCTACAACGCCGTGCAACTTGCGATAATGCGAATACATCCGAGGATACTGCAAATGTTGAAGAACTATGGAGCGAAATTCAACGAGCCGTACAATGGAGGAAACTTTTTGCATCTCTTTAGTCAGAAATCCAATAAAAATCTGAACGTCAAGAATTACGAAGAGGTTGTTGGTTTACTAGTGAGCGGAGGGTGCGACGTGAATGCCAAGGACAATGAAGGCATGACACCTTTACATTGGGCAGCTCAGTCGTGCAGGAATGCCGTAATTATAGGACTCGTGAGGAATGGCGCCAATGTGGATTCAAGGGACTTGAATCCACGTCGGTTCACGCCGTTGCAAAAAGCTGTGGACGTCAATTGCGAATACTCTCTGGACACTCTGGTTAATTCTGGTGCTGACGTGAATGCCAGAGATTCACGAGGTCAAACTGCACTTCACATAGCGACGCGTCACACGACTGGCTTGGTCAAAATACTCCTGAGGTTAGGAGCGCACGTTGACGTTGAAGACGACGAAGGCCTTCTGCCATTGCACTACGCTATTAGAAGAGAAAATAGCGTAGCCGTTATGGAACTGTTGAAATTCAGTGCGGACATTAATGACGCTGAAACTTATGTGGAACTGGTTCATTTAGTCGATCCTGGATACGTGCTCTTCTGCATACTTGATCACTGGATCAAGATGAAGGCTGCTGGTTTGCCCATCACTCAGTGCTATAGGTCTCACGTTGCCGATGATACTTTTCAAGAATCCTTTCACGAATGTTTGATGGAGGTCGAAGCTCTGAAAGCTTACAAAATTGGCGAACGCGCGACGCTCTTCGACTTATTGCATATGGATTGGAATTTCAGATGTGCCTATATAATTAGCAAGCATCTCAAAGAGCTCGTTGACTCGCCAACGTTAGAAGCTCAGTTTCCGAAATACCACGTATTGATAATGGCTAGTTATCACGATGCTGTTGCCAGGCAACCATTACTCGAGCCAGCTAAACGTGCTTGGTGCGAACTCACCAAAATCTTGTTGCCGGATGTTTGCATTTATCAAATTCTGTCACATCTAAAGAACAGAGATCTCAGAATAATGATCGATGGTTTGAAGGACAGGAGCTTCAGAAAACCATGTCGATTGTTGCTCAACAGCTCGATGAAGTTGCGCCAGAAGCGATTACCGTTGCCGCCTTAAACACATTATTAAACACACAATTTTTTTTAGAAATAAACAATTCAGTATTGCTGTTGCTTAATAAATGCAATTGACAGAAATACAAAATCGATAAGATTTACGTTCCTAATAGTACCTTCAAATTAAGATTTGTTTTCATTTTGGTTTCATGCTAACTTTGAAGCAATGAAAAGACAGAAAGAAGTGATAATCATGAAAGTGGTAATACAGTGATATTTTAAATTAAAAAAAAGGCACAGAGATGATATAGTACAAACGAATTGTTAGAAAATCCAGGTACTGTGTGAATGTTGTGATAATGCAAAAATACCAAATTATAAAAATGTAATTATAATTTATGTTTGATTCTGACTGTTGTGATACTTGTGAAGTCTCAGAATATTCTTAAGCATATCAAAAATTTTAATTTTCTAAATCTAGTTATGAGCAAGCTTACAGGGAACTTTTAGTTTTCTAACTTTAGATGGAATATCTTCTAATAATACCAATAATAATGTGATTTAATACTTTCATTATTTCATGTTTCTTTGAAAGCTATACAAACGCAAACGTCTCTGAGACGACATAGCTTTCTATAAAAATATTTCTACTTCTATGTGAGTGTCTTGCCAAAACTGTTAAACGGCTGCAAATTCTATAAGCGCGTTTGACTGCTTTTTCTATTCTTGTAAGTTTATGAAATTCATAAAATTTCTAAATAATAAATATTTGTACATTGTTACTATTGCATCGCGATGTCATTATTTATGTGGTATGATAAAACAACAGTGAAGCTTGAATTATGCTATTCTAAATAATTAAACGAAAGCATTTATTTACATAATGATTTTAATGCTGTTATACTCAAGTATAACTGTATTCGAATCAAAACTTAAATTCATTATAAATGGCAATTGCATTGAAAAATACATAGGCCAAAAATATCGAAATGTTTATAATCGGACAAATGAAGTAATCGTTCAATAATTTTTTATATGCAATACTGATTTTTACAGTAAACAAATTAGGCACGTTTTAGCTTTTTATACATGATATTTTTGTGTGTTCGAATTAAGTGTAAATTTTACTTGTATTTTTAATGTTTTAAATAAATTATTAAGATATAAGCGTCATTGATACCTGTAATTGATAGCTACCTAAACATACCAACTCAAATTTATCACTTTGCTAAAGTCACTCAGTATGCATAAAAATGTCATATCAGTTTTGCACAATCAACTATCACTAAAGTTCTCAATTATTTTCGTGTACATATCCTCCAAGTTATCATTTCATTGTATAAGTTTTTTATTTGGTCGTTCCTGTTTTCCATCGGTGTAAAAGATATATGTAACTAATTAAAATAGAAATTCATAAATTAAAAAATAATTTTACAGTAGTTTCTTCATCGACCAAGCATAATGGCATTACCTTTCGCTGCATTTGGTTGGAGAACGGTTAACGTCCAGCGATACCGTCAAGACCTGTACAAAGCTGTAGAAAATCGAGATCACGATAAAGTAATGTCGGCCATAAGAAACGGAGCTAGATGGAAAATTCCCGATCAGTATGGTGAGACGGTACTGCATATGGCAGTGAAAAAATCCTGTAAAGAGACCCACGAACAGATCAAAGTCATCAGAATTTTGGAATGGTTTCTGAAACAGAAAAAATTAAAAGTCGATATAAAGTGTAGAGCTGGAAAAACGGCATTGCACATTGCAGTTAGAAATGGAATGCTTGAAGTTGTGGAATATCTGCTAGCAAAAGGTGCCGATCTGAATGCTCGGGATGGGCGTGGAAATCGGGTGGCTCATTATATGATAGAAGGCGAGTTTGAGAGGTACTTCCAATATTGTAGGAGAGTTACTTCGGCTGACGAGATGCGACCTTACCACCGACAATCCGTAGATTTTTTTGATAAAATGCTGGCAAAGAACATTCCAGTTGATTGCATCAATAAGAATCGCGATACTCCTCTTCGAATGGCTGTTAGACGAAATTTACTGCACGTACTACCAATTTTATTAGAGTACACCAAAGATATCAAATGCCGCGACAAGCATAGAAAGACTGTCCTTCACTTGTTCATTGAAATATTCAAGAGTTTCAATCATTCCGAAAATGTCCCAAAGCATTTTAAAGTATTATCTATTTCTACTACTTATTACGACAAAGCTCTTATAATAGACATTTTGAAAATGATGTTAGAAAAAGGCTACTCCGCTAGTGCAACTGACGACGAAGGAAACACACCGTTGCACAGCGCAGCATATCGTGATTGTCCTGAACTCACTGAAATAATGCTGCAGAACTTTAGAAAGGTCAATATTTGTAACAATAATGGTAACACTATACTTCATATTGTCATTGATAATTGCATCGATCTAGTAAATAGGCAGCACAAGAGAGAATGCACCAAATTCGTTCGCATTTTACTGTCTAAGGGTGCGGATATTAATAAAACAAATAAAAATGGTTACACACCTCTGCAGCTAGCAGTGATACGATCAAATCCAACAATAACACAAATTTTGAAAAATCACGGAGCTGATTTGAAGGAGCCGTGCAACGGTGGGAACTTGTTGCATCTACTGAGCCAAAAGTCGAGTAAAGTCATCAGTTCGTCGAAATTAGAAGAGTTGATTGGTTTACTAGTAAGTCAAGGTTGCGATGTAAATGCTAGGGACAAATACGGCATGACTCCAATGCATTGGGCAGCGCAATCAAGAAGGAACGCAGTGATAATTGGATTAATGAAGTGTCATGCCAACGTGGATGCCAGAGAATTGAACGTACGGAGGCTCACTCCGTTGCAAATGGCAGTAGACAACAATGACGGCTATTCGATAGACACGCTAGTCAACGTTGGAGCCGATGTGAATGCCAAAGATGCCACGGGAAAGACTGCACTGCATCTGGCCGTGAAATTCAAAAGTGATCTAGTGAAAAAGCTCTTGAGCTTAGGAGCGCACGTCGACATTGAAAATGACGCAAAATCTGTTCCGCTGCATTACGCGATAAAGAAACAAAATGGCACTGCATTGGCGGAGTTGTTAAAATACGGCGCGGATGTCAATGACGATGGTACGTATCGAGTACTTGTCGGATTGCCTGATCCCGGCAGTGTACTTCATTGGCGGTCGATACTCGAGCACTGGATCAAAATGAACGTCGCGGGACTGCCTGTAGCTCCACACTACAGGGCAGATATCTCGGCCGGATCCTTTCAAGACCTTTACCAAGATTGTCTGAAAGAGATACAAGATTTGAAACGTTACGAGATCGGTGATCGTACCTCGCTTTACGACCTGCTGCATATGGATTGGAATTCCAGATGTGCCTATTCAGTAAATAAACTGTTCAAAGACCTTGTCGAATCGACGATACTCCAGAAGAGGTTCCCGAAGTACCACGTTTTGATTTTAGCTTGTTACCACGATGCTGTCGCTCGGCAACCTTTGCTTGAACCGGCTAAACGTGCCTGGCGTGAATTCACGAAAATCAGACTACCTGATGTTTGTGTTTACAGGATTCTAGCTCATCTGCCTAGTAGGAACTTGAGAATAATGGCCGATGGTTTAAAAGATAGAAGTTTCAGAAAGCCTTGTAATCTTATCCTCAATAAGAAAAACTGTTGTTTCAATTGATTCATGATGGTTTGAGCATAAGCTGAATATTTCAGTAAGTATATGAAACACAAAAAAATTGATACAATTTGATTTTTATTACAAAATGAAAGGCAGACCGGTTTGAATATACGTTTATCTGACATTGTATAGAAAAATCATCACTGATTTGAAAATTTTTGAGTTAACGAATGTCTTCTACTTTTTGACGATGAGAAGTATCAGAAATAATGTAGTATAAATAGTATTATTAACAAAAAAATGACGTTGAATATTTCATCCTTTTTCATTGTTTCAATTATTCGTTTGTTTTTCGTTATTGTGATAGTTTAAAGTATTGGGTTATTTACAGGTATATTTGAGAAAATGCATGCTGTAATCAACAGCTGTCTTAGAAATGTTACGTGAAAGTAGAATTTCTAACATAAGTAAATGTTACTATTAAGTTTTTTTGACAAGTTCTTATTAAAAGTTATAGTTCTAAAAATGTTATGAATAACCGTTGTAAATGTTCATACAAATTTTAAAAGTAAATTGTACTTGTAATGTACTTATAGCTGTATAATTGTTTAAATATTGATAACTGCCGATAATGTTTATGTATTGATACCGTTTTCCACCCGAATAAATAACCAGTAAAGTACAAAGCGATAAAAATTACAATTACAGTATTACATCTACAGAGACTATGTAATATAATAGCATTAAATGTAGATAAAATGAAAATGTCCTGAACGCAGTACGTTTTGATGATGTACTCGTAAAAGTCATGTCTTCAATTACATATACAGTTCAGGTGTTATATGTAATGCAACAAAAATTATAATAAATAAAAAAGAATCTAATATTTTTTTGCTACTATAACATTTTTATAAATGTTTGAAACTATTATCTAAATAAATCTATGTAATATTCATTTTTCGATGGCTAGTTTTCAAATATTCATAAATATTTTTACTTAAAAAAAGTGAAAAATCATTCGTAATAGGTTTTTCACGGGTTTAGTCTTATACTACCAAATGATTGATGCATTGTACCATGTCGTATGTTAGGGTGGACGAGGAGAAAAAGGAGGTGCGATCAGAGTAATCTAAGGGAAAAACGTTCGTTTAGGGTAAACTTGATGAAAAATGTCGATTTTTCTTAACGTGATAGGTGTCTGCTACAATATTTGTATTCGTATTCCTTTAACTGGCTTATGCATAGAAGCTTTCGTGTATCTGAGCATCGAAGATTACGACAAAGATACATTAAAAAAATTCTTGTTAATATCTTGGCGCAAGTGTGACATTGTATTATTCTTTAATCCCTGGCACCTGTACATTCATTCGTGAATTCTATATTATACATCCTCATAAGTTTCGGATACTGCCATGTTGTATTTGTTCATAACGAGTTCTAAGTTTTCTTAACTTGTCCGAACGTACATATTAACCGATATCAAAAAGTATTCGCCCGGGATGTACCCGTAATGTTGCGAAAAATTTGTAAAATAACATTGCAGTATGAGCATGACAACGAAGAGAAATTCTATAAGTTGCCGTAATATATTGCGCACAAATTATTTCACCATACTGTTTAGTCATCACTGAATTAAGAAATCATCTGAAAATTATTGAATGCGACATTAAAAATGTTAGAGTTCTAAATAAAAATTTTTACTTAAAAATACGAATTGTCTATAAGTTTGTATCTTTTAAATATAAATGTACAAAAAGCAGTATTTTATAAAGTAATTGAGAACCTTTGAATATGATCCATTATTTATATTGATGATCCCTTCTGATTAAATCAGAAAAATATTTGTCCATTACTCAAGAGTCTTTGTCTCAATTGAACTGTAGTATGTGCGTGTTGATTCCCATTGTTTTTACCTCGCGACTGGTAGATATCCATTATCCTCGCGGTCTTCCGATTAAATTTTTTTCTTCAGAAAATAGTCATAATTTACCACTTATCAAATGCATTATAAAATATAAGGTAAAAGAAAATAGTTCAAAACGGAAAAAGTAAGTGGCGAAATCATGTTGTCAAACATATCACGATGACGCACGGCAGCATATGCGCAGCTTATAAGAAATGCATCAGTTTTCTCTGTACCATAATGGCACATGTACAAACAAATTGACATATTTCCTGGCAAAATCAATACTTTTAATCTTGCGTATTTATGAATAAAAAATACGAGGGTGAGTTTATGAACCCTCTGTGCGTCAGTGCTGTACAGAAAACGAAGATGTGCTGACGGAAATAATTTTTTTTTAACGTGCGACTAGAATATCTCATGCTGTAAAATATTTGCTAACAGTTAGTCCTTCAAACTACTTTTATTTTATTGTGGTGACGGTTAAAACCAGAGAAATGGATGGAAAAGAAGTTTTTAACAATAAATATTGGGCTCTAAATAGGACTATGATGACTTTGATTGGTCTGTGGCCTTATCAAAACAGATATGCTAAAATTTTTATCAGGACATTTGTACTTTTGGCAACTCACTCGATACTGGTGTTTCTGGTAAATTTTTATAAAATTAATTTTTGCGTCAGTGTAATTTTGTGAATATATTATTTTTTAGGTGAATAAAACGATCATCGAATGGGGGAAAAATTTTGCAATCGTATGTGAAAATATCGCTGCATTCTTTTATTTCAAAGTTGTTATAACCAAGTATATAACGAATTGTGTGGCAGAACAAAAAGTAAGAATTTATTCATCTTCTTGAAAACGAATGAAAAGATTAAAGTAAACTTTAATTCTTGATTTAAGAAATTATTTATTGAGCTTCAATAGCACTACTGATTGAGAAAAAAAGAGGGTTTTTTAAGTTTACTTTTAAACAACTAAATTAATTTAGTTGAACATTTTTTGAGACGTTCTATTGTGCATAACTAAAGAGTGGTAAAAGTTAATTTTTATAAAAATAGTGATAAGCAAAACAAAAATTTTGAATTACTGTGAATAGTGTTTTTATTGTTTTTCCTCTACATATATTAAATAGAATTATTCATATAGAATTATTTATTCAAAATAAGTCTTGGACGCTTTTTATTTAAGCGCAATGTTGATTCTAGTTACAATATCTTTATGAGCGGATCACGGAAGATTGGAACACTTTTAACAAAGAGGATGAGCAAAGAGTTCTTGCTCGCAGCGCAAGTTACGGGCGTGTTCTGACTATTGGATATGCGGGTAAAAACGAATATTAGCTTGAAAATGCAAGTTTACTATTCATTCCACGGGATGTATGTATAGGATAATTTTTTCACATATTTAAATTTTACTAATTTGGCTAATTATGTTTACGTTGAATTTGCTTTTTCATGCATTAAAGCTCAATTTTTACTAGAAAAACAATTTTTCTTCAAGATGTATTTCTTAAAAAAATTTTCTTCAAACAGCAAAATTTTTCCTTAAATTGCATGAACTAAGAAAAACATTGATAAGAAAAATTATACTATATTTGACACTTTAACATTTTATCACTTTATTTGCCATTAATAATAGATTTAAGAAAATATTATCAAGAATGCAACAGAAGTTAATTGTGAATGCTCCCAATCTAGGAGAGTACGGCGGATAATTTTTTGGGAAATATATTATAGCTCACTCAAGCTACGGTACAAATTTGGTGGACCATCAAAGTCTTAGATCAGAGAAGTTAATTATTGCAATTAACACGCGCTTTAATGGAAAAATTAATTTTTTTAGTTTATACAAACATTCTAAAATGAAAAAGGTATAAAAAATATTTGAGATATGTAGAAAAAATACTGGACTTACATTTCTCAACAAATTTACAGTTTAGAGTTGCTGTATAAGCAGATATTAAATAATTTCTACCGTGAATTGATTCATGACGAAAGCAAGCTGGTGATGTGGCAACGTCGTATCTATTCGCGGGCTCTATGTCAGGTTCTATGTCTAATTTTCGAATGACCGCACGCTATTAATAAACGTAACCGTTACTGTCGTTGTTTTTGGGATTAAAAATTACACCATGAATACAATATGTCATGACTGAAATCAATCACTTATACGTAATGTTTACTACAAGTAACGGCTGTTCGTTGCTATCTTGTAGAAGAGCGGCGTTGGCAAACTCATACTTGCTACTATATCAGTTAATGAGGTCGAGCTGACGATCTCTCAAATTAGTAGCTAGGTATACCCACCGTAATCCCTTAAGGATTTAAAGAACAAAATTTATTTATTTCAAAAAAAAATTTTTCTTTTCAACACAAATATAAACACGGTTAGCAATAAAAACACGGTGCAAACTGCATTGGCGGATTGCTTCCTTGAAGATTGAAAAATAAAGATTTTTTAAATTATTTTTACGATATTATGTGTACAATGATTTTAAAATATTAAAAGTATTAAGTTGTAAAATTATATTAATGTTAATGTAATTGCAAACTCAACATTTATGATTTTATTATAGTATTTGCTATATGTTGCCAACTTTGATTACTTTCTTAATGTTGTTGCTATTGTTTATTGTTCAATTTTTATTGCAATTTACAACAGTAGAAACCGTCGCTCTTGAGAAGCTTCGTACTACACATGTTATTATTTGCTTCTACGGTAGGAGCAGTGCATCGATTACTATAGTATTTTGTATTATTTTATTTTGATTACAATCGAAATTACTGAGAAGATTCGAACTAACACAGTTCAAAATAATATATTTTTATTTATTCGTGAATGAATTCGAGAGTAACAACGATGTCATCCCTTGTTGCTATATCTACTAGATTTGATACATACACTTTTTGAAAGCTCATATAAAAATGTACTATACGATTAAACCAATAGCGTTCAAGCGATCGCGGTTTGCTGACTATTAATAAATCAGTAAATTCATTTTTTTTCAACATTGAAATTATCATGACCTGTAGAAAATAGCAAACACTATTTTTAAATACATATATATTGTGAGTAAGTGAAATTTTCAATGTAAAACAATGAAAATTCTTTTTATCGATCGATATCATAATATAATTCTGATTTTATTACAAACATGGTCGCCAATCTTATGAAAAAGTTTGAATTCATAAAAATACACACTGATCTACTTAACATAAGATTAAAAAATAGCAATCTTTAAAACAACGGATATTTACTTGTAAATTGGATTCAAAAAATTGAATATAAAAAAATCCATTTATCAATCAAGATTTACTACTTTATAATTATGATTCCTAGTGTAATCGAGAATATTTCAATAATTTATCCGCAAAAATTAGTGAACAACATGTAACGAAAGTTAATGTATAAATTAGAAAAATTAAAAAAAAATGTCCATTTAAGAAAATCTCTTCAAAACAAATTTCCTGCTCTATTATTTACAGATTTGAAATTTAACTCGCGTTAAATTTGTCTTCTTTCGATACCTCATGTATAAATGCATCAACAAACTAACCAGGAAAGTTTTTACGAAAACAAAGCTTCTTCTTCAAGGAAGCAAGAGTAAAACTGAGTATCATTATTTATTATAAACATTATTTGAAATAAGAAAATTTTTTCTGAGAATGAACCCATCCTTCTTCTCTTCGTTAGCATTATTTGAAAGAAAGTTTTCCAGTGCATTGTTTTGTTTAAACTTCATAATATTACCAATTTATTTAAAGAAATCTCGATATAATTGATAAATAATTTTACAGTTTTTTTGAATATCTGCGGCGTAGGCTTTACGCTAATTCCAACGATATACCCAGCTTTATTAGACATCGTGTTACCATTGAATCATTCTCGAGAGAAATCGCTATGTTTGCAAGTCGACTACTTTGTAGATCATAATGTACACTACTATAAAATTCTTTTTCATACTGTTGGCATCACCTTTTTTACTGTAGAAATACTCTCGGCAATTGATTCGACTTACGTTAATTGCGTGCAGCACATTGTGGGTCTATTTGGACTTGTTGAGTAAGTAATTTTTTAAAGACTTTAATGATTCTGTTTTATGATTGACGTACACATGATTTTAATAATATTTTACATTTGCAACAAAGTCTCAAATTGGACAAAGCGTTCAAACTTACACAAATCAAGAGTAGATCGATAAATGAGCAAAAGAAAATACACAATTACGTATTAGAATCCATTGTTTTACATAACAAAGCAATAAAGTTAAGTATTGAAAAGAAAAAATTGTTTTGTTAGTGCAATTACTTTTTACTTGAATTTTATACATTAGGAAAATACTGTTGCTAGGTTTGTCGATCTCTTGCAATCAACTTACACAAAATTTTTTTTTATGTGTATGGCAGCGGTTCTATGTGAACTGAGTTTCGGAACTGTCGCCGTAAGTAATTTTTTTATATTTGTAGATATTTACTCGATTTTTTTATTTGATGATTTTATAATTTACAACAGCTCATGATCAGTACAGTTGATTACGTATATTTCATGAGGTTGTTGCTTGCATGGTTGGGCATAATCCTGTATCTTTTCTATATTAGTATACCAGGACAAAGAGTCACTGACGCAAGTTTATCAATTTCTGAATCTATGTGCGTATTTTAAATGTTAACATTCGAAATCAAAAAATAAAATATATTGTTCAACTCTAGTTTCTATTCTGGGTGGCATGAATTCCCTCTAGAGACACAAAAATATATCAACTTCATGATTTTACGATGTTCAGTGCCTTGTCAATTTACGGCTGGCCCTCTTTTCGTTATGAATATAGAAAATTGTGGCATTGTATGTACAACATATTTATTAATATAATAAATATGTTGTTATTAATATATTATTTTGCAGATTTTGAAAACTGCTATGTCATATTGCACTGTTGTCGCCGCTACAAATAAAGATTAATTTCTAAATAGGCATCGTTAACGAATCAATTAATAGTGACGTCTATATTTAAAAATGTGTAATAGAAAAAAAATAAAGGAATACATTTTATTATTGGAATAGTGGTTTTAATAGCACATTAATTATTAAATAAAACAATTAATAGTTATTCAACCAAATCTTCGTGTCCTTGATTTTCTTTTAAATCCTTGAACATACTTTCTTCGTTAAACGAATTAAACAAGAATAATAAATTCGTGGTTTAAGGTAGCTTTAAAGATATATAAAGTTTAAAACCTACATACACAAATCCCACTTAAAAATCCTAGTCATGTCTTTGAAAATAGAGAAATTTTAGAAATGTAACATATAAAAATTAATGAATATACTATCAATATACATTAAGATAAACGATTTTTCATCATAGAATATAATAGATTACTTAATTTCTTTAAGTCTGATAGTTTTTGTGATTTTAAAGTTTCAATTGGATCTTAACTACATAAGTGGCTTATGAAATCTTGTTATATCTCTACCCTTCTCGATTTATTATACTTAGATTATTTAAAATTTTAATTAGAAAATGAAGGTTAAAAATGCGAAGCGCGCTTGACGCGACTAGTATTTCCTAACGGTCAATGAGTTAGCTCATGAATTATTGACGTACTCCTTCAACAACAACAAATTTTTTGCCGCAAGTCGTAGAGTCTCATCATTCTAAAATAAAATAAAAAATATTCATAACTTTCAGTTCCCTTAGGTAACGTCAAGTAAAATTACAAACCTTATTGTAACAGAATCGAAGGTAATCATCGCCCAACGGCTTGTGATTCTCCCCGTAGAAAATATTGAAGCTCACACTGTTTATACCCACATTCTCGAGCATCCAATTAGTAAATTTTTCACCTCGATCGCGACCTGAAACCGGACTCAGGTCAATGCCGCTAAGACCTGGCCAACTAACGATCAAACAACTGCCACCACGCGGTTCGACCGGTAACATTCCTGCTTCGCGACATGCTTCGATCATAATGGCACGCTTTCGTTTGATGTGGGCTCGAGCTCTAGCTAAGTAAGTATCTGAACTGTTGAAATTGCAGATTTCGTCTTCCAGAGCGACTGCCAAGGCGAGCTACCAAAGTTTATGACAGGTCAAACAAAGTGGATGAAACAAAGTAAAATCATACGATCTACCTGCGGTGGTGTACTTGGCGAACGAATTATTTGCGCTTGCACGTAGGTTAGTCGCCGAATAACTTCGGCTGGTCCGTATGCCCAACCGATTCGCCAGCTAGGAACGCCAAAAGATTTGCTAGCTGTACCAATTGTAATTGTCCGTTCAAACATTCCTGGCATTGAAGCTGAAATATCACATATTGCGCGCGATGCGCGATCAACTACTATTATACAACTGTCATTTGGCATTTGGAATTTAGAAGATAAAATTAAAAAAAAAATAATTAAAAGTATCTATACGTCAAAATCACCTATCGGAGTCATCGTATCTAATGTGAATTCGTGAGCTTGATCGGAAATGATCCACAATTTATGACTGATGGCCAGTTCCGCAATGAATTTGAGTTCGTTATCGGTGAAACTTTTGCCAAGCGGATTATTTGGATTATTGAAAACGATTCCTTGAGTATTGTTATTAATAAAATTTCTAATTTCATTGCGATCCAGTACCCAATTGTTTGCGTTGCCATTTTCATTCGAATTTGCCTGTGTTTGATTGAATAAAGATTACGAGTTGCCGTTGAATTTGAACTTTGAAAGAAATGTGAAATTTTCGATGATTGGAATATATATACCGGTTTCAATGCCGTGAATCGAGGAATCGCACCGGCAATTTTTATTTGTGGCTCATACTTGGCGTAAAAAGGTTCTATGAGTATCCATTCATCACCAGGGGATGAGAGTGCACTGAAGGTTGCAAAAAGGGCCTCGCTAGCACCAACTGTGACCAGAACTTCGCTTTTCGGATCTAATGTACGGTTAGTCAATTTGGAGTAAAACCTTGCGATCGCTGAGTTGAATCTTGGCACACCCTTTAATTACAAAACGTGTTTCTAGATTTTATTTTTGACAGTTCCTTGAAACAATGTTTCTCATCAAACATTCAGTTTATTTTCTCAAATTTTCCGACGTAATTTTAAATAATAATAAGAAAAAAGCTCGAACCAAGTATGGTGCATATTCATTCATCAATGCATCTTTGGATACGCTAGCATCGACCAGAGCAGATTTTAAACAATCTGCAATATCTTGATCACTGTAATCTACCTTCAGATCAACGATAGTAAGATTGTTCATTTCGCTGCTTAAAATTGGGACAAATTATTTATTGAATCTATTAACGCTAAGCCGTAATCAATTGTGCGTACTTACTCATTTAAATTATTAACTTTATTTTCTCTTGGATCCAACTTAACTGTACCATACGACATCGGTGAGCTGTAAATCTTTCAACAAAGATAATTTTTTTAAATCAATACATCGTCATTTGCTAGCGATGAATATACTTACAATTATAAAAAGAAGTACGGCAGAATGTAACATTATTTTTCTTCTGTTTTGTAATTATTGAAAAAGCTTATTATAATTTTACGTTTTTTATAAGAACTACAATAGTTAATATCAGAACAAATATCCCATGACAAAGATTTAGTTATTTTATTGCAAATAGCCACATCAAGAATTTTTAGCACTTAAGTTTATAAATATAATAAGAGGTCTATGGTCATATATAAAACTATACTTACTATTGTTATATTTGACAATTATCTTATGAAATTATACGGTGCAACGCCATAGAACTGATCACGAAATATTTTTTTTCACTGGCGCATCTATAAGAATAAAGAATCCGTTGCGATCCCGAGGAGATGCGCTGCAATAATTGTCTCCGTAAGCTGAAAGTAGCGCCGGCCTGGCACACTGCGGTGCGTGAATCAGCAGTCGGCTGTTTCACTTGAAATGGACTGCCAGCGCATGCGCCGTCGGCAACGCAACATCAACGAAACAAATGCTCTTCTGCGCGCCTCGCGCAATGGAGACCGCTCGTCTCTGCAACTTATCTGATAAATGGTACGTACCCACTCGTAACCTATTGTATCATTTGTACTTTTAATTGAGAAAATAAATCTACTCTTATTTTCTATAGATTAATAGTAGTTTTAGGCGAATTTCAGGAATCATGTCTGGGTTAAAATGTGTATCTTTTAACTTTACACGCAAGATTATAAGTCAGGAAATTAGGCTACACGGAAAATTTCTTTCATCATTTCTTATCGAGTATCTATCCTTTATCAGCTTTTAGCATACTCAAATGATGACTTAACTATCTCCTGGAGGCTTTGGAGATGACAATTACGAGCATGATAAATTATCACAGTGAAATAAGCAACAGAATGAACAAATGGAATTAATACATCGATGAATTATTAATCCTGGATTCCGGTTTTCGTAAAACATATTATCGAACAAATTCGTATTAATGAAATTAAATTAATGAAGAAGCATTATCTCTGCTTGAGTTGTTGAGCTTATATCGCGACGTAAGAGTTCTGTCGTTTGACGAAAATGTCTAATCGCTAATTGTGAGCCATATCCGTAAGTAGGGGAAACGGAATTCTACGCCGTCATCGGAAAAGCCACACGAAGAAAAAAGCTAAGAAGGAGGGGAAGCCGTGTGCGTATGCGTGGCTATATTGCTGTTTTCGGTGAAAAGACAAAAATACAATTGAATTCAGTTTTCAGTTCCTTTACACGCTGGCAAACCTAGTACGTGTACATTATTATTTCTTTCTAAAGCGATAATTAACGAATTATCTTGTGGAGACGATTGTCATAGTTTGTTTTTTCCCTGCTCACATAGTGCGACTATATGTATGTACAGAGAGTCGATCAGCGTTTATTGATATGTTTTTTTCAGATTGGATTTGTTAAAAATTACCACGATCGAATCTGTGTCCTCGTTTATATTTTTCAGTCCATCTCAAAGTAGCATTTTCCGATCGTAGCTTGGTTGATAAGAGAATGAATAAGTAGATTACGCACCTAGGCTAGAAAACTATTGGTCAGTCCATAACACGTGAGAATTGACGACCGAGGTGTGGGTTTGTCGATACTTTACCTCCCTAGACGTGCAATATATTATTTTGCCTAGCGAGACTGAAATTAGCATGTTACCGACCGAACCGCGGCCCGAAATAGTACACACCACCGTCGGGAAATTGACAAGTCTCGGCTTTGCCTCGGTTGGCAATTCTAACATGCTACGGCCGTACCAATACTTTTACGATTTAGGTACGTAATTTACTATTAAATTCAATGCTGTTCACGCTGAAATTTTTCAAGATTTTAGAAGCGAATATAAAAGAAAAAATCGGAATACCTAAAATGAAATCGTGCATTCAGGCTTGGTTCATTACCAAAATTCATTTAAAAAAAAAGCCACTTCTAACTAATAATTGACATTAATGGTTTTTTCAGAAAATAACCCATTCCTGTTAATTACAATTATCTACAATTTATGCGTCAACAACTGTTAATTAAAACGAAATTGCGGGGGATTAATGATCGGTTTTCCTATGCTTATCAACGACACGTAGTTTTTCTATAATTTTTTTGGAACGATTATTAACGGTTTTCCGCTGAGTTCCTTCATCCATAATCTTGAGGAGGCTGCTTCATTGGCTTGAAAATTCGCAAACTCCTCCTCTTCTCTCCCATTCTACACAGATACTTTATCATGTACAATGGCTGTCGCAGTTCGTGTCGGCTGTTGCAGAATGTATGAATAAAACTGGATTTTAAACTATTCTATTCAAAAAGTATACTTTTCTATGAGTTTAAATTGTTTAGCACATGCATATAGTGTATACCTACATAAAGATTTTTTTAGTATTACAAATATTCTCTGCAATATTTTTCATATCAATACGGATTTTTATATTATTTACGAGTATACATATGTTAATATTCAGTTAAAATCCTTATATCATGGAGACAGTGATTTTTCACAAAATATTATTCGATAAGATTACTTTATTTAAAATTTTTTTTCAGGTGCAACAAAGGTAACATAACTTAAAAAAAAGAATAACAGATTTTTTTCTATCTCACGATAAAAAAACCAATTACATCATACAAAAAATGCCATTAAATGCCATATCATATAATGTAAAATTTCATAAAAAATTTTTAAATGAAAAAGAAAAAAGATCATAGAACTTTAACCCTCAGCTGACGTTTTGCTCAAGTTTCTACCGGGTAGAAGTCAAATAGAGGAAGGCTTCTCATCAATAAAAGTAATTATGTATGGAAATAAAAATCAAATTTTAGAAAAAAAAACCAACAATAAATATAAATGAATATACTTCTCTACCACTAATGGTGCCCATAATAATGACAATGGACAATGTGATCTACAAATCCTCCCTCTCAAAAGAATCTGATAAGACTCATAAAAAGGAAAGAGTCATTTAGTTTGAGAACTTAACAGATAATAATTCAGAACACGAGCCTTTAGTGATAGAACTTGAAAGCCCAACATCCACAGAAGAACCATAAGAAACATCACGGGAAGGTTTAAGGAACAAAAAAATAGCCATGCTAAAAAGGACATAAGGCTCAATATAACGTGAGCGAACTTGTACTTGCACATTTTAAAGAATATCCAAAATGGCCGATAAAAATCATTGCCCGCAAGCAAAAGTATGCTGTTCCACTGGTTAACAAAAACGGTTTGTTCACCGTGTAATATACCGTTATGGCTAATAACTTGAAGAAATGTCATATGGACGTTCTGAACAATACCGATCTGAGCTATAATTAATCACATATGTGTCTTAGAAGATGCTAAACAAAGAATACAACTTTATCTGACAAACGGTGTAAATAAGAATATGAAATTACTTAGCTAGATCTATGATAAAGAAATTTATTTAAAATGCGTAAGATATTTAAGGAAATATTGTTTTAGTCATTTAAAAACGACGTATGCTCTTTTTGCTGAGTTTAATTGTACTAAGCAGCTTGAGCACCAGGCTATAATATTTTTTATTGAATGGGAAGTATTGTACACATGAATATGCTCGATGCAATATTACTGCATCATCAAATAAACAATAATCATATTTAAAAAAATATGAGATATCATACATTCTGTTACAGAACGAACAGTGTTGTTACCACACGGTTAATATATTCGCACGGGCTAACAGTGACTCATCCGATATTAAATTAAACATTTTGGACTTCCGTCAAAAATATCGACGATATTACGTAATTCCCGGCTAAAGTCGTGATTAATTTAGTAGTTGTTTTCTTTTAGTTTCAGGTACAAAACATAATTAGCTCAACCAATAACATATTTTTCATTAGAACATATGACATGAAATATAACGTTTTTTGAAATAAATTTAATGAAACATGGATATCTCAAATCATATTTTGTTAATAGTATTCATACGAGATTCGATATTAAAAATTTCCATTTAACAATTTTGTTATAAAAAAAAAATTTCAAAAATAAAAATTATACTATTAGTGTAATTTATTATTAGTGTAATAGTGACAGAATTCAAATCATAATTCAGTATTAAAATTCGTATTTTGAACTAATTAAATATTAGATTCTATATCCGAAATATTTGACACCAGCCGTTTTCATTTATATTTATATAAATTACAATTATTTTATATACTTATACAAACTGTAAGATACAGTTTTTACGCATGTAATCATTCATATGAGTTTTTGGTTCATCAATTTTCAACTTAATATTATATCTAAATACAAAATAACGTAATAATATTAGTAAGATAACCATGCACATGTATCGAATTGGCATTCATTTTCATTTCCAAAATATTTTATTACCTAATTTCATTTTAATTTGATAATAGTACTTTTTATTCGTCACTTAAGTAAGATTTGTAATATTAAAAATATGCAAACTCATTTCGATAACAAAATTAGCTACATTCCAAAATTAGATATCCGCCACGACTGAAAACAAAAGGATAAATTGATATATAGCACAGATAAACTTGACACCAACTGGTTCTTTTCCACTACTGCAGTAGACGAAAGAGGATGGACCAAGCAGGTTCAAGTTGTATATAAGGCTTATATATAAAACAGTGGGCTTCACTTCAGACGAATCAGTGCAAAGGTATGCATATCAAAAGTTATTTTTAGCGTTGTTTTTATAAATAATCTACTATTTCAATACATTTTTATACAAATAATAATACAGTACTTTAATAATTTTCACCAGAAAAAATTTTGTCAGAAAATTTTCAACATATAAGCGACAAAGGTATTTTCAATTGTTTAATTGAAATCAATCAAATAATCGTTGATATTTTTTATTTCAATTTTTCGTTGCATAATATATTTTATGTGCCAAAAATTGAAATTTTACATGAAATTTCATGCGTAAATATAATTTTCTTTGTAGTGTATTGATTTTTTTATTCACATTTTATTTCTTCTTAGATGTTCCTTAAAAGTTGGATTTTCGTAACAATATTAGTGGCCGTTGCCTATGCGGCAGTAGAGCCTTTGGACCTTACATCCATTGAGGAAACACAGGATGTATCACAATCAGAACAGCACGCACGTGAAAAAAGATTTCTCGCTAAAAAAGCATTGCTACTCGGAGGTGCTCTTGGTGCAGTTGGTGCTGCTGGTCTTGGTGTTGGATTACTCAAGGGCTCACTGTAAGTAGTTTTTCTTCAGTTTCCGTTTTATATTTTTAATATTATTTATTAATCTAAAATACTTTATACTCCCATGAAACATTAAATTAACTAGTTAAATTTTTGCATTTCCATCACAGTCTTAGCGGAGGATTACATCGCCCCGTGCATTATAATCCTGTTTATCGTGAACCTTATTATGCATCGAATTACGGATATAGTGGTGGCAATGGCGGTGGCTATGGCGGTGGCTATGGCGGTGGTTACGGTAATACCTACGGTAGTGGTTACGATAGTGGTTACGGTGGTGGCAGGCCACGAGCTACGGCTTATGCATCTGCTGGAGCTAGGTACAATATATATATATATATTCATAGAAACAATAAAAAAATCAAGATTATAATTTTAATTCCAATAGTTAACATCAGTATAATAATCTCATAGAATTTTCCAAAAGTATTCCGGAAGATTTGAAATTTTCTATTGGTCATAAAGCATTTGAGTTTATTAACTTAATATTGCAATAATCTAATATAGCAATGTCTTCATCTAGAAGACATATATCCCTGCAATTTTATTGATGTTTATAGTTTTAAATAAAATATGTTTATTTACAGCTCCTGGTAAATGAAGAGGAATCATTTTGGCTCAGACGACCGAGTTACAAATTTTGTAGAGGAAAATCTATCAATTCATAATCAAATCAAAAGAAAAACAACTTGTATATAATATTTAATCTGAGCCTGCAGTTTCTTAAATAAAAACATTGTAAATCAAACAATATTTGAACAATATGAAGTATTAAATATTTCTTATTCATGTATGATAATATATTTGTGAATGAAAGACTAATGAATTTTTGTTGCGTTTCATAAATTAATCAGAATAATTTTTTGTACTTTTTTTATAAAAAAATATTAATATTTTCATGAGTAGTATATCTATAGTCAAACTATCATGTTTAATGACTTCTGACAAGTTAATGCAAATTTCACAAATAGAATAGATGAAAATTATGGATTTTAAAATGATAACAAATTTTGTATTTTTATTAAAGATTGTAGCGGATTATAGTTCATTTGAGCTGAATGAATTATTACTCTCGTAATATATGACATCGTTTGAAAGAACGAAAATACAATGTCATATGTTCATTATTAAATTTCCACAAATGAGAAATTTGATCGGTTCATTTTTAATATATACTCGCCACAGAATGCACAATGTTTCTTCTCTATAAGAGTGAACGGGTCCTCAGCAGTGGAAGGGATGAACCAGTTCACCTCTTTCTTTGTCATATAAAAGACTTGTTGGGCAGTCGGCTTTGAATTTATTCAAGTGCAATCACTGCAAAGGTTTCAGCAATCAATGTAAAGACTAGTGAAATTTTCATTAAAGACCGTTATAAATTGTGTATTTTATTACAGTGATTCGTCAAACTCATAAACTGTGTCAGCCTTTCGGTGGTAGTAATAACATTCCTCAAAGGTAATCATTTATTTGTCGACTTTTATTTAACAAAAAGCTTTTTTTTTCTTCTGGAATTTGAAGTTTTCTAGTTATAAAGAAATTTTTTTGAAAATACTATATTGGCTTCTACAAAGAGACGTATCAGATACAATTTTTGTCCGAGTGTCAAACACATATTATGACCACAATTCATAATCATGATATGAAATTCAAATATAGTGTGCGTAATTTTAAAAATATATGTATTTCTGTCGAAACATGGTTTGATAATGACTATAACTTGTTATCGTTTTACTGTACAGTTGTTTTTTAACCCCTTAGAAAACATATTGTTTCAAATTGAAGTAGTTTATATTATCAAAAATATATCGTTTAATTAAGAATTGTTCAAAATGTTGTAAATTACTGTTAACACCATGAAAATAATATTCATATAAAAATAGCTATAATCCATAGTAAGAAGTGAGTGTAAGAGTTGGATGTATTTCAGAATCAGGAAGTTGATACGAAAACGTTTTGATTTCTCGAAAGTGTAACGAGAAAGTCTTTCTCCAATGGATATGATCAATACCTCGAATTTCGTGAAATAACATAGTGTAGTCGTAGAGCATTCAGATACGCAGGTTGACCACGCACTTTCTCACATATCCGCATTGAACGACAGTTCCTAATTTCATTGCGTCTTAGTGTGTAATCAATTTGTGACTTGTAACTGCATTATAATTGGAAAATTCAAGGTTGCGATGCTTTCTTGAGAGAGCGTTGTTGAATATTGAAATCGACAATCATTTCAATGGGTCATGCATCTTCTTTTAGATATAGAGCAAGGATACTTTATTTTATAAAATTTATCAGAGCAATACCTCTTTAAAAAAATTAGAAAATACAATTTATTTAATGTAGAAAAAAAGTAATACAATAATTTTAATGAATACTTGTAGCAATCATAATGTGTTCGCGTTTGTTGTTCATCTATGAACGTAATTTAAAATGATATTTCAGAAAGATTACATTTTTTATTAGTTTACACGCAAAAGTTTGGAAATTTTTACAGTTGAAAGTATAAAACTATTAGCAAAGTTAACATGAATGGAATGAACGTGTTTGATTTCATGACAGATGTACCCACGATACTGGATTCTTTTCGCAACATTACTAACTGTTACCTATGCAACTACTGAGATTGTAACATCGGGAAAATCGGAAAAACAGTCGTCGAGTCAAGAATTGGTTCGGCAAAAACGATTTCTTCTTACTAGTGCTTTACTTGCGGGAAAGGCTCTTATGACTGCAGGTGCTTATGGGCTTGGCCTTACTAGCGGAGCACTGTATGTTGACACTGAAATAAATTTTAATAGGTTCTTGTAAATAAATATGATTTTATAGTTATTTTACATTTTTTCCATTAGGATTACTGGAGGGACTCTTGTGCCTGTGTATATTCATCATCCTTATCCCGTTTATCGTACAGTTCACGTACCCTCGTACAACCATGGATGGTATAACTAACTCTCAAGAAAGAAAATGCAATCAGTCAAGCGTTATGTATTAGATTTCCTTCTAAGATTAATTTTTAAGAATATCATTGGTTAGCTAAAACGGATATTCATTAGCTAAAGCTTTAATAAATATTGAATCAATATTATCGATAATTATAGTGTTATCGTGATTACATTATTAGTTATAGTTAAGCTTTCAATTAATATTTCAAGAACTAGTTTATTTAGATAACGTATAAATAAAATGAATCTCTAAAGTATTTTTTAATATTTAGATGTATTAATAATACGTGTTACAGGCATATAATGTTAATATAAGCTATATAATGTACACATATTTCCAGAAATAAATACCGCCGAGATCTGTAAACCTTTAAATATTTTTCGGAAATACTTCACCAATAATGCTCAGGAATAATTATTCACAAGTTTCCAATAAAGAAGTTTTGGACTTTTATCTTTCCAAGAAGACCGATATTGTTAGTCATATTTTAGTACTCACCCGAAGACGAAATTTTTTGAAAAAAAAGATTGCTCAAAAGTTCGATAAAATAAAAAGAAAAGGTATAAGTTATCTGCTCTTAATCTGCGAATAAGGCAATTTAAATTAAAATGTATATATTTGAAAAATATAATAGTTAATTTATTAAGAACAATATTAGAATCATGCCCTATTCTTTATGAAATGACACTCTTTAGTAAATTAATAGAGATGAAAAGAGACACAAAAGTAAAACTTTGAGGTTTTTTAAAGTTCTAACCGAAGGAATTCGAATTCAGCTGTTCGCACTAGTCGCAATAAAATCAAAAGCTGAGGCTGCTGGCACATATTTAATTCCGAGTTATCCCTTGAAATGATTTCAGGTTTGTACATTTGTTGTTTACATAATAATTAATATTTTTACTATATTGTATTTTAAATCAATACAACGATTTTTTTTGACAGTTGTTAATAATGAAAACGAAAATTAATAAGCTGCACAATACTTCCCAATAATGGATTCTGTCCGAACCTTTTGAACGACGTGGGTCAAAACCAAGATGGAGTACGATTCAATCTATTGCACGTATCGTTTTCATAAATTTCATTCATAATTAAAGTGGAACCATAAATCGAAGAATAAATATTGATTCGAACTGTTTTTAAATAAATGAAAAAGTTTGTACAAAGGATATGCGTTGGGCAACGTGCTACGATGAGCTGGTATAGTTACTTGAAATTAATTGAAATAAGGAAAGTAAATATAGATCAAAGTTATATCACTTAACCTAAAAGATATAGTTATAAAACATATAGACTAGAATTAATTTTACATTTTATGAAGTGATATATAAATGCAGTATTTGTTTTTTAATTATTTATTATTATTAAATTAATACATGTAAGAATATGATAAATATTTCAGTTGCTTCAAACTTAAAACTAATATCTCTAAGTATAACATAATCAGGTACTAACATAATATTTTATTCAACAATTTTTATACATTTAAATTTTTATATTTAAAATTAATTATCAGTCATAGATTACAAATCTATAGAAATAACTCGATAGGTTATAAGTCAGGTTTTATCTTTGTTTTGACTCGAGGTGTTCAAATTCAAAAGATTCGAATATAGAATACATTATTGGGTAGCGTACATATAAAATATTCTATATACAAAAATTTGGATAAATAAGAATATGAATTTGAGAAGAACTTATCTAAAAATTCTATAGCAATTCTTGGTAAACTTTTGTATCTTGAAAATTAATTGTAATAAACTGCTGTAAAATAGGTGCAGGCGTCGTCAATGTTGATTATTACGGAATCTATTTCACTAATATAAGTTATCATTTTTGTTTACAGAATCCAACGTTCCAAAATGTCGTCTATTTGATTATATGTATTTTTAACGAGAGAAATTGGTTTCCCTTCAACCTCTCCCGTGACTGAGAATTAGTACATTTCCTAACATGTGCGCAAAGGCTTTCTTGACGAAAGAAGTTTACGGTACGAATAATTGAACGAATTTGTCAGAAAGCTTTTTCATATCAGTTAGAGATAGTATTTTTTCACATTAGAGTCGGAAACAAGCGCCGAAGGTGAAGGTGCGATTTGAAGGCAAATTCTATTCCCGCATTCTGACCTTCATGTCTTGAAAAGAAATTTTTCAACATTCCGAGTGTTGGACCTCGATTTTACATACCATCGAGTACTCGAGCATGTTTAAAATCTCGTCCCACACACACCGTATCGAAAAATAAAGTTCATCCTCGTGTGGCATTTTCACCTTTAGCTTAGCTCGAGTGCAAACGTCCACACGAGGCTGAAATTACTATTTCGCACCATTATCGAAGTGTACTAATTAGCGCTTGGGGGTTTATTATAGTGCTGCGCAGTGTATACGTCCAGCACTGCAACACGTCTTCTGACGCGACGTATCAGAAAGAAGAAAGTAGGCACGGAAGGGCAGAGCTGTGAAAAGGCAGTATTTAATGCCGTCTTCCAATGTCCTTTTCTCGAACGCACTTGATTCCTTTCTTGGACAATGCCGGTTTCCCGTTAAGTAACAGAGAAGTCGGCTTAAATCATCGATGAAGCTGCGCGCATCCAAGTATGTACTGCTAAATTGTGCGATGATATGAAAATGAATGTTCGCAAATACTCCTTGTCTTCCATTCCAGGGTTTGCCAGCGTCCTCCGAAGCCATTCATAGTGACCGTAGAGTAGTATTTAGCAACAAAAGGGTTTGCAGTGATAACCCAGAGGCCTGGCCTAGGAAACATACACATCTTCAGGAAAAACTCGCTGTTAAATGTTACTGATTGTGAGTGCAGGAGTACATTAATCAAAAGTAAGTTTTTGACCTTGTCTTTGAGTGCGTTCCGAAAAATCCGTTTTGTTTGTACCTCTCTCCAAGCAGATGTTTAAAAAAAATGTTAAAGAAATCTTTATTAACCAATTTATCAATGTTAAGCATTAGAAACGACATAGTATTGGCACTGTGATATAGCAAAAGCTGACATTAATTTCTCACTAGCGAAAGAATTAATTCTAATTTATTGTAAAATTTGTATTATAAATTGAGTACGATAGGTAATAAAATATAAAAATTAATAAATAAATAGGTAATTGATGCATTCATGAACATATTAAACTAGAAGAATATTGGTACAAGCATTAGTAAACAATTTTTTTACTAGACAATGTAATAAAAACATTTTGAAGTATTGCATGAAATCATATCAACTTTTTTCTTTGAAAATTGCACAAGAAAATTGTATCGGTAAATGAGAGAGGGAGTTATTTTAAATTTAATTGCAAAGAAATTGTGGTATATATAATGTATCCATTTTACTCAGGACGGTTTTATTTTCAATAACTTAGTCTGATACAGAAAGAAATATGCTTAAAGTAAGAAGGGTGGTCGTAAATATATAACCCAGACTGATAGATTTAGAAATTTATACTGATGATATAATCTATTTCATTATTTGAGCTGTTGAATTGCTACAGCTTATCGACGAGACAATTTAAAAACGGCTTTGTCTAAATCTTGTTGCAATATTAACTTGTTAATTATATTTTTTAAATTGCATTCTTCAAATTTTTACTTGTATATTTACAGGCAATGTTTGAAATAAAAAAATAAGAAAGTGATCAGAACCTGGAGTCCAGTTCAATGGATTACAATGCCATTTTCTTCGAGTTTCATATAAAAATTGATTCTAATGCATGAATGAAAAATTGCTCGAACACAATATTTTCTACTCAGAATAAAATAAAAGATTCAAAACTGTTAAACTTCGCGATAAAGAGTCATACAATTAAAACTGCTCGGATACTTTTGAATTGTGACGTTCAAATTATATTAAATCATCTGTAAATGATCTCAACCAAAGGACTCTTTGACTACCAATGATTGATATACTTTGAAACATAAAATTGATTCAAAAGTCATTAATTCCGAATTCGAACTTATTCAATATTTAGTATTCAAAGATATAATTCTAGATATCGAAATATCGTAGGTCAAGTAGTTTAAGAAAAAATGAATGAAATCATGAAAATGCTCATTGGTTTAGGCTTAGACGTAAACAGTAAAGCCAAACGAAATGAGAGGTCTTTATACTATTGTGTGAAACGAAGACCAATGAAAGTTGTAAAGTTTCAAAATACTTTGACCAAGTATGGCAATGATGTTTATTAGTTACATATTTTATGGCGCATTACAACGTTGTAGTGAAAAGAAGTGCAAAGGTCGCGAAATTCGGTCGGATAATAATGTCGATATCTCGTTTTAAGATATTTAGAATAATTTTGCATTTCCACACGTGGCCGATGAAATTGATGACCGAATCATAAGTATGTTGATTGTAAGAAAAGGTGCTGAGATATTATATACCGTGACAAGAGCTTAGTCGCAAGGTGTAACGCCAAAGCAAAGTTATGATTAGGCATTTAGTCACTTCTGGACGTTAATGACATTGGCAGTTTGGGTAACGAATTATTCGCCAAAGAATTGATGAAAGGCAAAGCGACAACGGAAAGTTTCATTAGCCATTTAGTTAAGTTGATGGCTATAAACCTTCCAGTCTCGGCCACTTTTAAGCCATTTGCCGACGTAGACAAGCCGCAAATCAAGCAGATGCATCAAGACTGTCCTGGTGATATAAATAGCTGTATTGAGAAAATCTGTGATAAATAACGACGAAGAAACATCTCTGTATATGTTTAAAACATATGCATCTATATAAACAAATTTTATAGCACAAACACATTTGCATTTATTAACGATCACCAGGCACGAAGTAAGATTTATCCGATATAATTATGGCTATTTGTCGCGAGGCAATGACGTACATAAAATTATTCCTGTCTACGCCGCGGAAATAGGCCTGGTATAATTTGATTAAGATTTATTTGCCGATGTTATGCGTCGATTGTATTCTCGATTATTTGGAACTTGTCGATTTATGGAGGTTGATTAAGAGTCAAGGTAATAAGGAAGTGAAAAGCAAACAGTCGCTGAAAGCGATGAAATCATCGGCAAAAAGACATTGAATGAAAAGACACGAAGATTTTATGAGAATAAATTTGTAAATTGTCCGTAATTTTATTTTATATATTCATAAGGATTTGTAAAAGATTCTTTTCAAACTAATGACAACAACTTGTGTGTGCGCGCGCGTGTGTGCGTGTGTGTGTGTAGTTGTTCAAAGTAATATTTTGAAAAAATATTAACACATAATTCATGTAGATGTCGTCTTTCATCCTTCATATGCCCCACAATAAATAAATGTTATTATAAATTCATTATGTTTATTTTATTTGCTTTTACTTAATTCACTGAACAAGATCTTTATTTGAAGGAACATTCAATTGTTAAAAGTGATTGAAACAAACATGGTACCCTTACTGTTTGTAAATAAACTGAATGTACTTTGAGTCGAAGATTACTTAATTATGTTTATGTTATGTTACTTAATTATGTTGTAGCAATTTGGAAATATAGTTTCAAAAATGCATAACAATAATAAACGATCATTTGAAATATAAATGAATTGTTCTACCAGGTGTTGATATTGACGTCTATCTAGTTACTGATTAGCAGACGAAGATGTAATTGAAGAATTGACGAAGATCACTGAAAATCGACTCTTAGAATCCAGACAAGATAATAATTTGCCATTTGATAACGTAGTGATAGATTAACAAAAATTTTAGTCCGAAATACGAAAAATAAATTTTTGAATGATACTTAGTTTTTTTATTTTTCACATCATTTGAATTACACATGATTTATTTGAATAATTTTTATAATACCATCTGTATATCTTGATTACATTTCAGATGTTTTTGTTTTTCAATTTCAATTTACTTGCAAAATTGAAGCATAATTTTTACAAGTATTGGCCTATTGTAATTTATCATGAATTTTTCTGTTTAAGTACGTTAATTTGACTTAAACATATCTTATATAACAATTTTTTTTTATTTACTTTGAATGCAAAGTAAATAAAAAAATTAATAATTAACATTTTTCACGTATTTTTCATTTTATCAGCAGTTATTAACGTAGATTTTTATTTAATTAAACTTTATGAAATAAATAGCGTTCTTTAATTTATTCAAAAGGTGAAAGCTATTATTGTCGTTCGCAAAAGTTTAGATAAATTACGCAAATAACTATAAAATCAACACACGATCATTATTAAAAGTTACTCAAATCACTAATTAACAGTCTTTGTGAAATGTTAATTAATTCACTCGTTTGAATTTTCCAAATCAAAAGTCATCAAGATCCGGCGAAAGTAAAATCTACGAGCCCCCCAACTATTTTACCTGACATCAAACGTGAAAATTATAGAGAAGGGTCAAGAGACATGAGGCGAGAGGGGGAGAAAGTCTATAGTCGCTGTTTCAGTGTTTCTATAATCAAGTCTCGTCCATTCAACTTGCGCATTTCGAACGGTGAATTGTAGCGTCGACTTTCTTAGCAGCTCTCCAACTTGGTTATTATAGAACCATAGCTTTGTGAAAACTTGTCGTTGTTTAGTCGTGCGATACGCTGATATTAAAGAGGAGCATTTGTATAAGATTCGCTTTGTAGGGAACGATAATGACAAGTGCAGAGGTTATGTGCTTCGAAACATCATCGCTCGTTACATTCATCTATAGCAAAATGTGAGTTTCATTTGATGTTATACACACTATACGGTTTCTTTAATAATAATGTGTGGCTATTGTGTTGTCAGTCGATGAATACTAGTTTTGAAATCGCGATAATAACATTGCATTTGTATACAAACTTCGTTGTTTTTTTTCATTCATCGCTTTAATAACATTGCTTTTGCGTGTAAAATTTTCGCTGCTGCATGACCGGCTACAATTGGGAAATACGAGATTACGTTTCTATTTCATAAGGGCAGATGGCGCGAGGATGCGCTTTTCAATCGAGTAGTATAGAAACAGGGAGTTGTGATAACAGCTGTTTTCTCTAGCTCTTTCGAGTCCACTGTAACTCTGCACTTTCATAAATGTCGGTCACGCGTTGTATTCACATTTTATTTCATTAGTTTATACGAGTTATTGAAATACATTTTTTCGTAAGTTTTTTGTTTTTATTAACAAGTGCATTTTTACAGATTGCCTTTAATTGGAATTTAATTATGGGTTTTAATAATTTAACGCAAAAATGTGAATAATGATGCTTTGAATATGTAAACTGTAAGATTGTCTAGTTTCAAATTCAGGTTATCCCAAATAAAAGTATCAATGCGGCGTGCAAGAGGCCCTCATATGTGATGGTTCTCACCCACTTTACGCGTGGAAAACGCGATGTATACATTCTACTCGCTTATAAGAGAATAATTATCGATACATTGAAACGAAAACAATTGCGGATATTATCCATATTTATTTATTTTCCCATAGTTTTTTCCTGAAATCAATATGTATTTTCGTTTATTCAGAAAAAATTCTAACCTAAAGAGTTGAGAAATGCGTGACTTTGATGCACCAAACACTGTTACTTATTGTTGGAAATGGAAATTTGTTCAGTACTGCATTGTTTTTAACGATCCCAAGAATGTGTGTATCAACTTTAAAATATGAATTTCATAAGAAAAAATTATAGAAGCGATTTAGCAGAACAGCGCAACAACGCGCCTTCACTTTTTAACAACAGTATAGTTTAAAATTTTTAAAAACACACCGTTACATATTTTTTTTTAACACGATTATCCCTTCGGTAAGTACTAATCTTGATTTGTTCACAGTTTCGCGATTTAATAAAGAAGCTTTCTACGTGAATCTTCAATTAACACGTACAAAAAAATGTAGTTTTCTATATATTCTTCAATGAGAAGAAAATTTTTTCATTTTATTTTTGCAAATTCACATAGAAAGCTGCTTTAGAAAATCATCAAACTCAAGAAATATTAATATTAGTATTTCTCGAATGGATAAGCGTGTTTAAAAAAATATGTAACGGTGAGCTTTGAAAAATTGTAAACTATGCTGTTAAAAAGTGATGACACGTTGTTGTGCCGTTCCACTAAATCGCTTTTATAATTTTTTCTTATGAATATTAAAATCTCAAAATTAATACACACGTTTTTGGGATCTTTAAAAACAATGCAGTACTGAACAAATTTTCATTTTCAACAATTCGTAAACGTTTTGTGTATTAAAGTTTCATATATTTATCTCTGGAAAAGACTATAAGAATTTAGGTACTATAGGTAATTTTCTAAAATGTTTTCGCTTTAATTTATCAATAGGGGTGACAGGGGCTAGTTGGCCGCCGGGGTAAGTTGGCCGAGTACTCATATCCCGCGTTTGAAACAACGGATGGCACTACAGTTGATACCAATCATTTAGTATACTGTGAGAAATGTTTGTTTTGATTTTCAGTCGAAAAGTAGCAGTCTAAGCCAATTTATGTAAATCTTCTATTTCTTAACACCTGATAGTGAAAATTTAATGATGTAGATATTTTCGGACAACAACTTTAAAAATAATGTTTGGATTTACTTATTTAATACATCATATAAACAGTGTTTTGGTTTTTACGATTTATTTTTTTGGAATTTCTTTGCTATTTTTCAATTTTGTTAGTTAAGTCGAATGTTGAAGAAAGCCCTTGAAGCATGTTAGCCTTTCTTTTTCGGGGCAAGTTGGAAAAAGTTTTAAACAATAATGTTCCTTGTAGAGGAAAACAGTGATAATGATTGCTTCTGTCTTGTACGTGATCAATCTTATATAAATAGTCTGAATGAAACTTGAATACAATGTACAAATTGCAAAAAGTGGGTGCATGAATCATGTTCAGGAAAAAAAACATTTTATTTGTTTCAATTATAACTAAAACATTTCTTGTTGATGTTTTATATATCAATTTAGTTGTTTCATTTTGTATGACATGATTATTTTATTTCGTTTGACTTTATTATTTAATCTTCCTTGTATTGTTAACAATTGAACGATGGTGTTTTGTATTATGCCATTAAATACAATAATATTATTATTTTTTGTTGTTTCGTTAAAAAGTCGTACTTGGACTGCTTACCCCAAACCTACGGCCAACATGCTCCGGTACCAGGGCAAATTGCCCATTCCACGTGTAATGTTGGGTGAGAACCCTCCATACGAGAGAACGTTCTTAATAGTCTAGATATTTCGGTAGATAACGTATGCGTTTGGGTCCAGCAATTTTTAGTTTTTTTTTCAGTTATTTGAGCCAATTCAATCCTCACGAAGGGATATTTTGTTATTTACGGCTATTTTTTATGTATTTTGACATGAAAAATTCAAATTTTGAAGTTTCAGGTCGACGCTATGTTTACATAAAAAGTTATTAACAGTTATAATAAAAAAGATTAAATAAATAAGAAAATTATTTAAAATTTTAATAAATAAATGTTGATATCTTAAATACACGATAGAGAAACGTGTTTCGGATGGAATTTTTTTTTTCTAGCCGAGATTTACATAATCTGAATTTTGGAATTGAACCGCATTGATTTAGAATTGCATATAAAATAAAAGTACTGTAAAAAATCATGAACTCATCGTTAGAAGTTGTTTAAGAAAAACTGTAATGCTTTTAATTATAATAGCCACTATATTCCATCCACCGTATTAATTTATACGTCTTAAACAAAACGCCTTTATAATGAATAATATATAAACTATTTAAATAAAAATTCTATATTAAATAACATAAATTAACTATGTAAATTGAGAAAATGGTAATTTTTTTCTAGTTGTGGTCGTTATATCGGATCGCCGTTGAATATTTTTGCGACTAATAGCAGTAATATTGTCTTTAATAATAAATCAATTAGTTCCAAATATTATTAGCATATGTTTAAATTTCGCTCTAGCCCAATTAAAAACTTTTTATTGCAAATATTTCGCAAATTATTAATTTTCGAAAAAAATTGTATTGAAACTTTTCAACCAATGAGAAAACAACCTTTATCTGATATTTTGTTAATTGTTTGTAATTTTTTATTAAACGACGAAAGTAGTGAAGACCGAGATATTTGAGTTTTTTAAGTTAAATATATAAAAAACAATATAAGCAAGTTTTAGACTATTTTTCGATTCATCCTCGAAATCGTTATTACAAATATTGAAAATATTACTTTAAAAAAATAGTTGTTCAATCATTAAAAATCACAATCATTAAAAGAAATCAAACAAAAAAATACGGGGTTTTTCACCCTCTTGGGTTGTTCACAATAAATATCTAAATTAAATAAGAATTAGTTAATTAAGAAAAATCTCTTTCACCACGGATTCTTCCGAGCAAAACTATAAGTGAATGTTTGACATATTGTTAAGCCACGTGTTCAAAAATACTGTTGCATCTTTACTGAGGTTACGGGTGGTTTAAAATGTGTGGAAATTTTACTTATGATTTTACTCCGAAGAATACGTGGTGAGAAAGATTGTTCTCGACTAACCAACTCTTATTAAATTCACATTAAAAATGCTTCTTTAAAGTTTTGTGCATACTTTTCTTTATAAAAAAATTGAGGCATTTTCTATCATTTAATGTATGAAAAATAATTATTTAAGAAAAATTTTTTATCATTTCAGTTAACTGGACGTATCTCACATCGAGAAAAAAACTTCTGTAAGCTATAACTCACTTAATACGCTCTCATAACTTTTACTTGGATGTAAATGACTTATTTCCTTTTTTCATGTTAATTGGTAAACAAGAAGAAGCGCTGCTAGACGGTGTCATACTAATGAGTGACTCTGACGATTTCGACCCGGAGGATCCGGTCTACAATGTACTACAGATGCATACTGGTCGATTCCATTGTATGTTCGAATATGACGATGACGATTCATCGGATTCATCGTCAAGCTCAGCGAAATCGTTATCAGTAGAAGAGGCCGTTAAAGTTTGTGACTTAACTGCTGTTAAAGAAGCATTAAGAAAGGATGCTGGTGCACATAAGGTAATCGATGAAGAAGGTCGAACGCTCCTACATTTAGCGATCGAATATGGCGACCCGAAGAGGTTACAGTACGCAGACCAAAGGACAAGACGTCGATTCATTCGCCATAGAAGAATCAAAACGCAAGCTAAAGTGAAGTATGTATCGCAGAAAGGAATCAATGATATGTTAACTGTTTTGTTAGAAAAAGAATTCGACATTAACGCTCGAACAAATAACGGCGAAACGCCTCTGTGGTTAGCTGTTAAAAATCACATGAATGAGGTAACCAAGTTTCTAGTTCAACGAGGTGCCAACGTTACAGTGAAGGATGAATACGGGAATACATTAGCGCATATGATAGTGAAGGATGAAATCGAAGCATTCTCTACAAAGCACAAGCCAACGCCAGAGTTTACTAATTTCAGACGAGAGAACATTGAATTCTGGGACTGGTTGTTATCAAACGGAGTCGATGTTGATTACGAAAACGCGAATGGTGATACGCCATTTAGAATGGCGATAATGAAAAATTTAAGAAATATGTCGTTGATCATGGCTAAGTACACCAGTGAAATAAGTTTTACAAACAACGATAACCAGAATATCCTTCACATTCTTTTCGGTATGGAATCTGACTCGGATTCTTATATTTGCAATCACACCAACGACATTTTGAAAGTTCTGTTGGAAAAAGGAGCATCAGTCGACGCTGTGGACACTCAAGGCAGAACACCATTGCATATCGCCGCAAAACATCGAAAAACATCAAATATGATTCACATGTTGAAGTATTTCACTAACATCCACGCTTGCAACGAGTTTGGCGACACCGTGTTGCATGTGGCCATTGACACCTTTGGTTTTCATTCCGAAGAAATAATTCGTACTCTGATATCCAAGGGATCGGATATTTACAAAAGAAATAATAATGGTATGAATCCTTTGCAATTAGCTGCTAAACATAAAGATGAAAAAGTACTTCAGGTGTTGAAAGAAAACCAAGCCGATTTCAGTATTCGTACAGACAACGGTGAGACTCTGTTGCATATTCTCAGTCGAACGAAAGTTGAATTAACGTCTGATTCCGATATGGTCCACTTGCTTATAAAGCAAGGATGCGACGTTAATGCTACTAATATCTTAGGCTTTACTCCTTTACACTTGGCAGCAATGACTGGTTGCATGACTGTTGTCAAGGGATTATTAAAATATGGAGCTGATGTGCATTGCAAGGATTCTATAAATCACATGACTCCGCTGCATTTTGCTGCACTTGGGAATCACGAAGAGGTGATCGATGAATTGATGAAAGCTAAAGCCGATATCAACTGCAGAACGTCCGCGGGAAAGACACCATTACATTTGGCAACTTGTCATCCCGGCACTTTGCTAAAGACTCTTCTGAAATACGGTGCATTCGTCGATCTTAAAGACAACAATGGTAAATTACCACTTCACGATGTGCTTATTCATGACAATGCCGATGGTTTGGAGTGTCTTTTGGCGTCTGGAGCTGACATAAACGACCTCGGCTTTCCGCAACAGTTGGTATTCCTCAAAGAGATACAAGAGAGAACGATATGGAAGCGTGTTGTCGAGCATTTGGTGACACTCAAAGCTGCTAAGATACCAATTGCTAGTGTTTTCAAGCCTTACATCGACCTCGATACTAAATCAATGAAAAAATTCTTTAAGGAGTGCCTTCAGGAGATTGAAGTTATGAAGAAAATATCGATAGCCAGGCGGACGTCTCTATACGATTTGTTATTAATGGATCCTTATCGACGCTACTCTGCCGTGAAAACTATGAGATTTAAAGTACTTCTCATTAGTCCATGTTACTTCGAGTCTACCTTCCGTAAATACTGCGGATTAATACGTACGAGTTACAAGGAGGCGATTGAAAGAAAACCACTTCTTGAACCGGCTAAGAGCGCTTGGTATGAACTTACGAAAATCAGCTTGCCGGATATCTGCATCGAATGGATCTTTGCTTATTTGAGTAATAGCGAATTGAAGATTATGATTAAGGGTACGGAAAATGAGATCTAGGCTTAAGTTATAGAACTATAACTTTTTTACGCCTTATATATTTACATCATCATTTTAATGATGTAATTCATCTTTGGACAGCTCTTAAATTTTTTCGAAAATTATTTCTTTATACCTTAATCAACTTACTTCTATAATAATTAATTAAATCGAATAATTGTGTTTGAAAGACTTTTCGCACGTGCCTCGTAAAATTAAAAATTAAAAAAACTATTTTTTTATTCATTTGTAAGTTTTTGATGCATTTATTACGATATATATCGGTGACATGAAAAATGTACTTTTGTTTTTTTTATTTTATATTATTTTAATATTTTTTTTTTGTTTTTTTAATAATTTTTTTGTTACGGCGTCACTGGAATTTCAATTCTTTCAGTTATTTGAATTGGCAAGACACTGGACCTTTGTTGTTGATATCAATAGACATATCATGTAAAGTAACATAGATGATTCTTTTGGTAATTTTTTACTTTAGTAAGTCTCTTTTTTGAATCGTAATATCGAATGAGATATTAAATTAATGTTACTGCCATCTATTTTTAGTTGTAAACTTTTATGATATTTATTATCTGAATAAATATATCTACCTATTTCAATCTAAATAATTGTGGTCACTACATGTATAGGTATAGATATAAACGAAGGATAATCTTATTGCTCCAAGGTTAGCATGAATATGCATCAGGATACTGATGAAAATATATAATCAGTAGATTAATGTAATAATATTATTGAAAATCATTTTTGACTCATTCGATGCATCATTGCCTCAAAAAGAAAGAACTAAAAGTGTATTGATGACGGTATCATTTGTCATTTTTTATTTGTACAATCTGGTTAACTTTAAGACCTTTTTACGTTCGCATCACGGCAAAATCTTAAAATCCTATGTATTAAAATTTAAACGTTTTAAGTGTGTAATTGTGACGTCACCCATAAGAAATACATTGTCGCTGAATTTAAACGTTTCGAAGTGTTTAAAATTGAGGACAATGTATTTCTTATATGGGTGACGTCATATTAAACGTTTAAATTTAAACACATGGGGTTACCGTGCATTACATTCACACATTCAAGAAATTTTGTCCAAGAAAATACTGCACTATGTTAGCCAAAATTAATTCTGAATACTTTTGCTATATTATCACATCGCCAAATCTTGGAGAAAAGATTATCCGTTAATTATATACCTATGTCTATGTATTTCACGGACATTTATAAAGCTATCCTTTTATCTTTTTTGTTATAAAAAATTATAAAAAGTATTAGCAGTTTTTAAAGCATTAATAAAGAAAATTAGTAAGTAAAACAACTTGGATTAATCATTGTGCATGCGTAAGAAAAAATTTGAAATTCTGTTCGAACAAGTCGCAATTATTTTTTATTTTAAATCGTAATGTATACCTTATCTAATATTTATAAAATTATTGTAAGTCTAGTAAATCGAAAATTATGATATTGCACATACTTTTATATTATTTTTGAATATATCAACGTATTCAATGGTACAGTTATTTAACGACATTTAAAATAATCGATGATAGATTTATTTATAAAATGTAACAATATTATTCAATCACTTTTCGAATGTTATGTTTTGAATAAAACTTGTCAAATTCTTTGAGAGGAAATATTGTAAGCGGTGCATTATTCAAATAACAATACAACCTGACGTGTCAGAAAGTAAATTGTAACGGTTCAAATACACCGCCAACTAAATTATACAAGTCACATCTGGCGACTTTCGAAATTGTAAATTGTTCATAATGAAGTACATACGCGTCTGGGTGTTCTTTACGCCGAATACGATTCTACAGAAACGATTACGTTAATAAGGATGCACTGACAGTCGTGCTACCCTTTGATCTTTTCTTTCTTTAATTCTACTGCACATTAAAACTTATCATGGTCTGTTTTTATTTAATTTCTATAAATTCTTTCTATAATTACTCTTTGGAATATCTTTATAGATATGAATTTTTTACAGATGAGATTGGCAGACGCCATAATTTCAATTACTCGTATGTTACTTGTGACATCTTTTTAATGTATGTAGACACATTTACTTATTATCGTATTATTATCGTTATATCTACGAGCGATTCATCGTGTGGAAACTTTGATTTTGTTGGTATTTATTTATAATTTCCGATGGTCAAAATGCGCATCATGCAAATCATCGATGTATCTTTTTGAATCGTGATTGATGATTGTTCGATAAGTTTGATGAGTAAAAGTGAACATTTATTATAAAAGAATATCTCTTGGAAAATTTGCTCGATTTCGTTTGCACTCGCTCAGTTTCCGTCGTGGAACATTCGTGCGGGGTCAACAAAATTCAACGACAACACTTGCACAATCGTATTCTTTTCATTCCTATTCCGCTGCTTTCTTATCTCGAGCAAAAAATAGAACGACAAACACAATTATTTTGCTAGACTAAAGGCATAAAGGTCCGTAAACAACCTCGCATATATTAGCACAGTTTAGTGCGCTCGGCACGTGCTTAAAAGTCTTATGACATATTAATGAGATAAGACCAATTGAAATCAACATTTATCACGGTCTCGTGCCCTTGAAGAAATATATATACATACATATATTCCAACTCATCGGCACCTCAAGATAAGGCACAAGGAAAGGTCACCGATATATATTTGCAAAAAGTCATCGTACGAATTACGTCAGATTTAGTATTATCGCATCTGCGGCTTTAACTTGCGCACACAATCTTAATTGGCCTACCGGTTTGTAGACGCGACGAGTGAATGAATGAATGGATGAATCATGGCGTACGTGTCCGCACAACGTTCGCAAAAAAAAAGAAAAAAAAAGAGAAGAAATGTAAACAAAGCGTCGCTTGCGAGACTCTCGTGTCTCTATAATTATTATGCAATCGTCGGCTTCCTTATCTGCATAACCATTTTTCAATCTCTCTCTCGCATGGCGAAGCGAAAGGTCAAGTTGATTTCTCTGGCCATGATTTTACGAAATTCCCTCGTGACGGCGGGTCGCTGGAGCTTGTAAACATATTTATACTTTTAGTTGGCGATGTGCTCTCGTTACAAGTAGTTGAGCGACTTTTTCTTTGGCAAAATGTTGGTCTCGAAACTAACGGTGCTAGCGCTAGCGTTGTACGTAGCGTTGCAACAGTGCGACGCGATCTATTGGCATACGAAATATTTTCAGGCTCCGATGAATAACCAAACCGGTATGACTTTAGTGTTCGACAGGCGCACTTTCACGGATGCAAGAGTACCTTACGCGGCGTGTTATCCGGGCGATCTGCACAAACTCTGTACAGTAAGGCGTTTCAAACGCATCTACGGAAAAGATCAAGAAAAGATCTACCAGTGCAACGTAACGATCGAAGCCACAAAGAAACACTCTTTGATCAGTAATAAAATGCGCCTAGTGCCGTTCGGGGAAGATCGAGCGATCCTCGCTTACTTAGAGAAAACACAGTTTCAAACGTTCCTTGGAGTCATCAGTGTAACTCTTAATGGTTGCAAGCAGCACCGTCTACCAGATATTTATCAAATTAATGATGACATCATCAACGAAGACTACGAATTTGAAATGCTCGCTCTGCCATCGGACGATAGCGAATATCACGTCGTTTATCGTAATTCAAAATTGTGCGGTGATGATTATTGTAAATTTAGAGTTGATCCTGAACGGAATATCATTCACGGACCCGAGAGATGGTTTAGTACTGGTTTCCAGAGACTTCAACAAATTGTTGAGTTAGTGTCGTTTAGGACGAAATATCACAAATTTTTGATACTCGAAATTGGACACGGGATGAGCCAGTTTTCCTTGATAAACGAACATAATGGTAAGCTAATTGATTTGAAGTTTTTCTACAAGAAAAAATTAGATAAAGGAGTGTATTTTTTTTTCTAGAAGTGAAGGTCCTTGATATTCATAAACGCCATTCGAATGATACTTCTGATGTAACTTCTGATTCCGAAATACCCTTTAAAGCTTGGACCTTAGCGTACACGACTGCAAACGAAAGAGTCGGTATATGTAACCTTCTCTACTCGAAACTCGATTGCGTTCAATATGACGAGTTTGGAGTAAAAGTATACAATGCAGAACATCGATTTGGCAAAATCGATGACATGTGGATATCTGCAATGCACAACTTACCAGGTGGTAATGGTATTCTGGTACTCTTGATCGATAACGTTTACAACCGTTACAAAGTTCTTCACTTCGATGCAAATGGCATGGAAGTTGGTCGATTATACGTTAAAGATTTTGATTGTAATTGGAATGAAAATGCTATTGCCGCACAATTTTTCGAAGAGAATGGTGGATATTGCGTGTCCTTAGCATGTTACGATACCAGCAAGTCTAGCTCGGCGAAAAAGGATAAGAGACATGTTCATATTACGACAGAGCAATTTTTATTGTCGGAACTCGAATTGACTTCATAGCTAATTAAAATTTTTTGGAATTCGTTCAATCTATACCACTGTTTTATTTATATTCATCTAACATTCTCAAGTATTTCATCATTTATAATAAGTGGAATTGTTCCAAAATCTAGTCATATGATAAAATATTTATAAATGGAACAGTGTCAATGTTTTATCCATTACTTCGTGTATTATCTAATGTTGTATTTTCAATTTTAATATAATAAAATTTTATAATAACTTATTTTAACAATTGAAAATAATAATGTTATCGTGGAAGATTGACCCATTATTGTGTAGGTCACTTTTAATAATTTATGAAATTCCATTCAGACTTTTAACTTAAGCCAACTATCAAGTTTTCTCGATTATATACTAATTGATTTCGTTTATAGAAGGTAAAATATGAAATAACATAAAAAATTTTGTTTGCCATATATATTAAAACTAGGAGCATTACAATACTTTTTCTTACACAATTATTTTTTAATCCGTGCCAATCATTTAATAATTTAATGTTTTATATTTTAACACAAGTAACCAACTTAATGATTATTATAATTTGAGTAGAAACAATTATAATTTTATTTTGGTGTTTTCAAATAATACAAAAAATTTCACGATTCTTTGTATTTTGTCCAATGAGTGCTTATTCATTGATAAAAGAGAAATCAGTAAGTTGATTCATCGGCTGTTCAAAAATATGGTCAGTAGGCAAACAGTAATACACATGTATGGATAATGAATATTTGCTCTCAATTTCAAACATCAGACATTAGAAAGAAGTAACGCGCATGAGATAAATTGCTTTCGTATTTCTAAAAATTGTAATGTTAAAGTATTAATTGATGTGATAAAAAAATGGAATGAAATGACTTCATCATGATTTTGTTTACATAATTAATCTAATATATATATATTTATGTATTACAAGGCAGAGAAAACGATACAAGTTGATGGACTAGAGCGATAAAGGTAATATGAATACATTTTGGCTCATTTATTGTAGTAATTTTTTCAGAAAAAATTCCTGAAAATGATCATGTAAAAGTTACCTTTGAAAATTCATTTTCAAATTTATTTTTGAAGAAATCGATGCCATATAAATCGTAATTAATTGATGGTACTTTTATTACAGTAATCTAATAATTTATATTGTTTTCTGTGCGTTATTAAATCTTGAAGCAAGGATTTTCCTTTATTTCTATATCTATAGATATGTATGGAGGGGCCTTAACAAATGAGCTCATTTAAGATATAAAATCTGCGAGATAGTTTTCGCTCTTTAAAAAGCGATTCATCATGAATTGTTGACAGTCTTTGTTAAACCTTAGAATAAATATCACCCGAAAAAATAGCTGATCATTCATTTCATTTACTTAAAAATTTTCAAAATTGTAAAGTGGAATTTTTACTCAAAAGTAATTGTGTGATTTTAGTCATATGTATATAGTTTTTCCAGTTTATTGACATTTCCGTTGTACGTATTTTAGATTCATTAAAATAATTTTTCTTGAATATTCGTTGTCAAATGTGTCAAAATGTTGATTGGTAAATATTTAGTTTTCAATTGAAAAATAGACTGATATCTTCATTTAAAAATGGAATATTCTTTTTAAGACTGATTACAAATAATTTCCTAATATTTGTGCCGGATGCTAATGTTAATCATTCTTAATTTCAGATAAAAAATTATCAATGACGTGATTATTTACAAAGTTGTATTTTCCAAGAAGACCATTCGGCAAAACATTAATTATAAGGTTGTTAAGTTGCAGTCTGAACACCTATTGAATGTTACTCCATTAACAACATTACACAACAATGTTGTTTACTAAAATTGGCTTTCTTTTTATACTTTTTGTTACTTTACAACAATGCAGTGCTCGAGTAACGTCTTTCACAAAGAGCATACACCAACCCACAAAACAATTAATATTCGACGGTCGTACTACAAGAGATCCTAGATTATATTACGCAGTGTGCGACTCGTCGACAGTCGCCAAAAAGTGCATAGTCATACGTGATAAGGAGCCATATGAAAAAGGAACTGAGGAGTGCGAAGTGACTCTCCGAGCGAGTGATAACAATGCAAAAGTCAAGCAAGTTCGTGTTTTACCATTCGGCAAAAATAGAGCAATTCTTCTTTGGCACCAGCAAACGGATTCAGACTCAATACTCGGCTTGACGAGTGTCAAATTCAGCGACTGTTCAATGCATGAAGTTAGAACTCCATTCTTTGACGACAGCATCGGCGAAGAATATCTTCTAGAAGTGCTAGATGCTGCTACCTATGAAAATTCGTACGATGTAGCTTTTAAGTATCCAAAAGTTTGCGGTGATAAATACTGTAGATTGAGCATTGACGTTGAAAAGAATGAAACACAGGGACCAGTGGCTTGGTTTGCAGCTGATCATCATGGAATAATAGATATCAATGCAGTGGATTCTAGCTCACGTCAAAATGGCATTCTACTTAGCCAAATTATGCCAAATTCATTCTTCAGAATGTCGTTGATTGGAGACAACGGTGAGTTTATCATTATGGTAGATTTTGAGAATAAAAATATTAATTTGTAACATATCTATTGCAGATTTTAAAGTCCTCAAGCATTACGAAAATTCCGAAATAATACCACCATTATCTATGGAAAGTTCATGTAACAAAGATTTAATTGGCGTCTGTATTTTGATGAACAAAACTTTAAAATGTTCACAGTATAACAATTCTGGCATCATCACTTTTGAATTCGAGCAATTACATGAAAACGTAGCACTTGTAGCTATGTATAATCTTAACCAAGGTCTACTAATTCTAGTCAATGATCTCATTGAAACTCACCGTTATTGGATATTAAAATTGGATTCACAAGGAAACGTGTTAAGCTTGTTGAATGTCAAGGGTATTTACTGCGATCAGTCGTTAAATTTTTTAATGGGTATATTTTATGAAAAGGATGGAAAGTATTGCTTTTCCATAACGTGTTTCGAAAGTTATGAGCACTCTGCTACTAAGAAAGACAAAGGCCATCTTGACAAAACGACTCAGTGCTTTTCAATTGATGATTTTGTAGCTCCACCTTAAAGATTTGTCTTGTTTATAGTTTATAGCTGAATCAAAATATTTATGATTGAATAATATAATAATGATTATAATCCGTGTAGTGTAATGAATTTGATTACTTTTGTTTTTATAATTTTCAACAACATTTTAAGTCGTGCGAGAAAAAAATGTTTGATAATAACTCTGTTTATATATAATATTAAATTGAATCTCAATAAATGATGAACAATACTATCAAGGATCTTTCAATCAGACAATAACAAAATATAAGTATATAACAGTGAAAAATTCATCGGTATCTATATTTTAGTCAATTATTCATGAAAATGTTTGTAAATCAAACAAACAAAATACGAACTGACATTTGGATTTGGACACCGGATAGGCGAAGTAATGATAACAGGACTATATAGTCTGTCTGAAAGTAAAGGTCTACTATTTTATTCACAATGTAATAATGTTGACACGTTGAACATTAATCATGTGGAATAAGATCAACATACTGTTATAGGATTATTCTAAGAAAAGAATAGTCGACATTGCGGGTCTACTTTATTGCTACGAAATTGATTATCTTCTTGAGAAGGAGAAAGGTCACCTTGATATGGCTGCTCAATGTATTATGATTAGAGATATCGCAACTGCTTCTTGAATATTCTTCTCTTAGTCACACAAAAAATAATTCACGATTTCGATTACAATAAAACATTGATTTAAATATTATAAATAATAATCTATAGCACATCGTCATTTTTAAATTTCGTTTACGTTTTAAAAGTCGGCCCAATAACCTTCTGAAAAGTCGTATTTCGGAATTGATTCGTGCATTTGTTTCAATAACGAAGAACTTTGATTTCTCAAAATGTTCTGCAACAAATAAGCTTACGCAAAGAGACAACAAAATGCACAAGACAATTTGTCTCATCTTTTATGTTTCTTAATGCTATAATTATATTACACACCAACAAAGTAAAAAAATCTTATCTTTCGTTAAAGTGTAGAATATTCGATCTTCTCCTATATGTGCGTAGTAGTTGTTTACATTTTGCAAATATCTGAAACGTTCACCCGATGAAATTCTGGTTAATCACTTCTTAGTGTCATTCATCCAGTATAGTATACACTGCCAACAAACGTTAACATTCGATAATTTAAGGTACTGTAAATATTAAACTAGTAGCTGCTTAACCATTATTCTAATTTTTCTTGATTTGCAGTTCTCAAAATAGTATGCATCTGCAAACTATCATTTCTCTGGCCTTACTGTTTCTCGTGACGGTAATGCAATGTCAGGCATTCGTGACGTCAATGTCAAGAGGAGTTTATCATCCAAACCAAACGATAATTTTCGACGAGCGTACTTTTAAAAATCCAAGACTACTATATGCGGTGTGTGACTCGTCGAATAAATGCAGATTAGAACACGACAGAGAACCATTTCAGAGACCAACTGATACGTGTCAGGTAACATTGGACTCTGACGGTGAAATTGACAAAATTCGAATTATTCCATTTAGCAATAACAAAGCGATCCTCGTTTGGATTGATAAAATGGAAACGGTGATATATTTTAATTTACTTGGCATTAGATTTGGTGACTGTTGGAAGCTTAAAGCGAGAAGTTCTTTCGACTATAATAATAACATAGATTTTACCTTCCAACCAAGTTTAGCAACGTATGAAAATTCTTACGATGTATTCTTCGTGAATTCCAAAATATGCGGTAATAATTATTGCAAACTGTCTGTCAACTTTGAAACTAATCAGATCCAAGGGCCGATGTCTTGGACACCTGTGACTCGTGATCTTATTGCTGACATAATACCCCTGGGTTCTGCTTCTGAAAAACTTTTACTTGTACAGTTTTCAGGAACAATTTCAGTAGTAAATGGTGATGGTTAGTACTCGTCTTTACAATATTAAATAGACAATTTTCCACGATGGTTTGCATCTAAATTTGACTTTTTGTTCTGCAGGTCGTACAATTTTGAAGCCGCGTGAACCTAAATTCAATACTTCATTTGGAACATTGAGTTACTCGATTAACAACAATTTTATTGGTGTCTGCGAATTAAAAACTAACACTCTAAGCTCTAGTCAATTCAATTATTTGGGAGTGAAGACTTTTGAAACAGCCTCGCATGTTGATTCAGCTTTTGTCCTAAAAGCAGCTTACAATTTGCCAGATGGTGGTATGCTTGTTTTGCTCAGCGAACAAGACACAGATTTTCAAAGAATATTAAAACTGAATACTGAAGGAACACAAATCGGTCGACTCGTTATTAGAATAAGGTGTGCTTATCCGCGTGCTGCACAATTCTTCGAAAAGAATGACAGATATTGCGTGTCTGTGACGTGCTTTGATAACAGCAATTACAACAAGAATCATCTTGAAGTAGTTGCTCGGTGCTTTAGCTTAAACGATATTAGAGCCGTTTGATTGTAGACGTAAGCTTGACTATGAAGTCCGCGAGAAGCTTGTAGATTATAATTTACTTTTAGAAATGATAATGAATGATTTTTGGAATCACATGGTCAGTAAAGAATATTTAATAAAAGTGCCAAATAAAATTTAAGCGCGTGAAAAAGACGTTATTTTTGTTATTAATTTTTGTCGCCTAATCCTTTCTTCGATTTTTCGAAAAGTAAAACCCAATAAACTTTCCAACAACGTTATCAAAGCAAACCACTTATATTTAAAGAAATTATCAAATTATTGAATAAAAGTAGTTTTTGAAAAACTCAACGATTCATTTCAGCAATTTGCATTTTACCAACGTAACTTCATTTATTCCGCAGGCGTGACATATATCCGCGATTAAGAAAGCAAGTCTCCAAGTGATATAAGATAAACTGTATAGGTCGGGTCACTTTTCACGACAAGTGTGATCTGACTGAGAATCTCCCACGCGTGCGTTGATAAAATGTAATACTTCTTCAGGAAGTTCTCAATTATAAAGCCAATCCATCAGTGCTCTTCGACCTATGGTAAGAGCAACTGGTAAGTCGTCACTACTTTGGTCTTTGAACTATTATTCTTTGTTGTTTGTATTACCCTCCATTTTCTTTTCATAGTTCTCTCTACAATGTCAGTCTCAAAAATTATTTCTCTAGTGCTTCTCTGCGCTGTTTTACAACAATGCAATAGCGTGAATGAGGTGTGCACATTCTGGAAAGGAGTTTACTACCCGTCATCATGGCGAAGTTTAGTATTTGACAGGCACAGCTTCCAAGATTCGAAGCTTCTTTTCGCAGCGTGCGGCCTATCGGCACACGATAAAACATGCAGCCTCGTTCGCGACAAAGACAAGCCATTGCAAAAAGGCAATTACACCTGCAACATTGGACTGAAATCAAACATAAGAGGTGGTGTTCTCGGTGAACATTTCCGTGTTGTGCCATTCGGCGACGAGAGAGCTATTTTAGCTTGGTTAGAGAGAACCAACACCGAAACTAGACTTGGATTCACGAGTGTTAGATTCAGCGATTGCTCGAGACACGAAGTCAGAGTGAACGTCGATCATTCGTTCGATGATCGTCTCGTGCTCGATAATATCCATCTGTTGGCGTATCAGAATATTTACGACGTATTGTACGCCAGCACGCCACAGTGTGGAGACAACTATTGCAAATTGAGCGTTGACGTGGGAACTAATAGAGTGAGTGAACCCACAGCTTGGTTCCCACTTGATCGTAATAATCACATTGTCGATGTGAAAACACTTGATTCGGCTGACAAAGGTGTTGTCGCCATTGCAACTAATAATAATGAGCAACGATTCTTCCTTCTGCGAGGAAATGGTACGTACATTTAATTTGGGTATATTTTATAATTAAATTATAATCGTAGGACGCGAGCCAAATATTTTTCACTTTTCCACTAGTTTGACTGTTCAAAAACCTAATTCAATGAAAATTCACTAAACTAAATAACAAGAACTATTCTAATAGATGTGAAACACAATGAGTAATTAGTTTCCATTACGTATTACATATTTTCAACTTTGAGAGATCGCTCGTTATATTTTTATGAACAATCATATTTTTCAGATACAAAAATCTTGAAAGTCTATAGAGCATACGTATCAGCCTCGGTTGCGTCGTCAACCTCCAACGATTTGATAGCAACATGCCATCTCAGCAGTAGTTCACTGAATTGCGTGCAATACGATCAATCGGGATCGCCGATTGTCGACTCTACCAATCAGTTACAAGGCAACCCTCGTGTACTTGCCATTCATAATCTACGTGGTGGTGCTGGTCTCCTTGTGCTTCTCAACGATCAAGCTGACGATCGCATTTACGTCGTCAGGCTTGATATGAGAGGCAAGCCAGTTGGCAGAATTGAGATCAGCCATTTCCAGTGCGATCAGAATCAGAATGCCTTGGCGGGTAATTTCTGGGAGAAAGACGAGCAATATTGCGCCTCTCTCGCGTGTTACGAGAACGACGAGGCGTCTGCAAGGAAAAGTGATCGAGGACATCTTAGTGCCACCGCTGAGTGTTTCCATTTGAGAAGTCTTCAGACTGTTTCTTAAATTGCTTTTCTCGTTCATACGCCAAATCATGAATATGTAAAAATAATGGGAATTGTCATTTCTCGTTCTAAATAAAGTGAACGATTGCATATATAACGCCCGCGTGAAAAATCTATTCAATATAAACTATCCGTTTGAAAAGTTTACAAGTAAAATACAATGTTCCCGAGCTCATTTCGTAATTCAAACGCCGTGCTTATGAAGTTAATGAAATACGTAAGAATGTTAAATGTTAGCGACACAGATGCCTGAACTGAACGTGAAAATCTTTAGCTTTTATAAATGGCAATCATTTACCACCGCTTTGATAAAATTTCCGTTTGCAGTTATTTTGAGCTTCAATTTTCTTATTTGAGCGTCGATATAAATCAGAAGTGAATGCATAAGATCGTTTAGTTTCAAGGTGCGCGTCGTTGAGAAAAGTTTCTCGTAAGTGAAATCAATCAAGTTATTCATAAACCACTGAAAAAACGAGTCGTGTTCGATTAATCTGATGAAAATACAAAGAACGAATGACGCGTGCTAATTCCGCAGTGATTGCCACATTTGGCAGTTACAAGTCAACTATTACTGCGCAAAATTCCTGATTCGCTTATCGAGCGAGGCCTAAATGTTAAACGCAATTTTTTTATTATTGTGGAAAATATCACCTAACGCGCTGGGCACCGCAGTAACTTACATTTTGAAATCGAATTTTCACAGCTGTAGGGCGGCTGCAGCACGCGGCTGCGAGCTTGCGCGTCCCCGGGGCCCAGCAGCAAGGATTCCGATTCGGGCTTGAGGTGGCGCAGAGAGAACGCGGCTGGTTCGACCGTGATAGAAAAGCAGTCGTCCTTTACGAGCGCAACCTTCGTGACGATTCGCGCTGAAATGCCAAGCGGAGTCGAGCGGCGACGAAATCCACGCGACGTTTCATTCCAGGTAGTGCGGCAAGTTTGTCTGAGACAGGAGCATTTCACGCAATTTTTCGCGTACGTGACGGTGTGTGTCCGAGATTCGCTTTTGTGAATATCAGTTTTTCAAGTATATTCAAAGCGTACGCTTGCACAATTAACATAAATAAAATCTTGAATTATTCCAATATTCATAGTGAAATAGCGGTATACTGAGGTAATAATTATTTTATACTGATGGTAGATTATCGATTCATTTGATATAATAATCAGTTCGTGCAGATTTATCAGATAATTTCATCGTTCCTTTCATCATTCAACGAAATACTCTCGTATTTGCATATCATTCTCGACGTATCGTCCAATCTCATAACGAGAGAATAACGAGAGAGAACTATTGTGGATTCGAGCGGCACACAAAAAAATAAAAATGGTCGGTACTTTTGGGAAGACCTCGCTTATCTACACGTATATTTGAAGACACTGAGTCGAGGATTCAAGGTCGGAATTGCGCATACATCCGCAAAATTTCTACACCTAAATACCATGATTTCTATTCTTCTTGTAGAGTATATTAGATAATAATTATTTTTGAGTTTAATTCTTTACTAATAACAGTTTTATTGGATTTTTGTTATCAATGTATGCTAATTTTGTTCTTATCATTTCCCACAGTCAACATAATGCTTCGTTTGAAGCGATGATCTTATATATAATTTTTCAATGTATTTAGTTGAAGATGTTGAGGAAATCGACTATCATCGCATTTTTAGTGGCACTCTGTGTCACTCGGCTGCATCTCACCGACGCAGCGATAAGGACAATTCAAAATCCACAGAATTTCCCGAACCAGCAAGTGATGTTCGACAGATACTCATTCAAGGAAGGCCATCTTATCATCGCAGTTTGCAACAAAGAGCCAACGCCAAAGGAGCGAAATTGCACAGTTATCCAGGAGAAATACCCATCTGAAAACTTCACACGTACGTGCAACATTAGCCTTAAGGCCGAGCAAGAAAATGGAAAATTGAGTGAACAGATAGGCGTTGCAACGTTCGGCGCTGACCGAGCTATTCTATTCTGGCAAGAACAAGGCACAGAGTCGAACTTTAAGCTTAGCACAGTGCAGCTGGCCACTTGCAAGTTCGCCGAAACCAAGCTTCTCGACTCGCCAACGCCCATTCTCACTCAAGTTCTCAGTCATCGTAAAATTTTGACGTACGACAACTCGTACGATATATTTTTCGAAGATGAAAAACGATGCAATGACAAGGAGTGCAAGATGACCGTCGATGGCGAAGGGAAGGTTGTTGTCGGGCCTACGGCTCACATGAAGAAAGGCGATTACAAAATTGGTTTCACTTCGCCCATCGCCACTCATTCGCCGTCTAAAGGATATACCTACAGTAAGTCTAAGGAAAACGAATATGCATTTTGGATCGTTAAACCAGATGGTACGTGATACAAACTATTTTTATTTATTGGAGAATGTTTGCATTTCTTTTCAGCCTTAATTTTATTCATTTGAAAATACTGATACATGTTGCAGCATCTGAAAAACAAATTCTATCGGCTAAGAAGCGCAACGCCGAAAATTTCATGTCGGCGATTTACGACACCATTGGATATTGTGCTCGGACAGAATTTGAGAATAAATATATTACTTGCACGCAGTACAACGCCAACGGCGATGTCAAATTCACAATGAACGTTACCGATGTCAACGATAAAACGAGAATGTTGACAATGCATAACTCGCCCCACGGTGGTTTTTTATTGATGTTGGTGGAATACGACAAATGTGAAAAGGCCAATTGCGTTGATGCGATCAATCATCAAGTCATCAAAGTCAATGGCGAAGGAAAGAAAGTTGGCAGTTTGAAATTGCAGCCGTTCAAAATTGTTGCAAGCGAGAAGAAGTTGGCGCAGATATATGAAAATGGCGATGAAGAATGCTGCGCGGCCTTCTTGAGTCATCTTCAGATCGAACCGAATAATTTCAATGTCACTGTCGAGTGTTTCGCAGATGCTGATTTCATGACGTAGATTTAATGGAAAATTTTATAAATGATTCATAATTCATCGAGTAGATGATTAGTTCTTTATTACTAAATAAATGAATGACAACATGGATAAAACTATCAGTATCGTTTTCTATAGGTAACAGATTTTATTTTTGTAATTTATCGTTATTACAATGTTTATTCGTATAAAATAATAACTCATTATGAATAAATAAAAATTACGCAACAAGGCGAACTTCATTTTTTGAAATTTTATCAGCTAATTTAAAGAGATAGACTATTAAAACTGTTGAAAAGTCCTCGAATATTCTTTCGTGACAATGTTTAGTGTAGATAGTCGTTGTGACTACCCTTACCGATGTTACGCATTTATAAAAATTAATAAAAATGAGATAATTAGAATAAGTGAATACTTTGCTTGATAATAATTTAGGGTTACTCGGTCAAGGACCTATGAAGTTCAAGAAAGGAACATCTACGATGCTGTAGTCCAAAGTTAAATAGATCGATTGTTGTTTTATTGGCTCATAAAAAAATACATTGCTAGATTACGTTATATTACGTTTTCAAGTCAGACGCGAAATTTCAACTTAACGTTTTCTTAATTTAAATCTTACATTTTATATATTCGATAAATTGTGCGATATTATAAATAATATTTAAATTATTAAAAGCTAATAGAGAAACAACAGAGTACGGACCGTATTTATAAATGTCTCTAACTTCTTTGAGAAAAATTTTTCTAGCCTTATTAGACAAAATACAAAAGACGTGTTCAATGGAGTTCTTAACGGATTCTATAATATTTACAAAAGCTATTAGTAAAGTCCGAATTCGGCGGTTTTTGACTATGCTATGACATCTTGTGATGCGAAATAGTAACAAAGCAACGCGTGCTTTGCCATGAGAAGCTTGTTATTGCTAGATATATTTTGTGTTTTACGCTATTTAAATCATAGCTTTTATTAATATATAAGTTTAGAAATACTTAATGCCATTTTATGTTTTCCCTTAAAATAATGTTTACAATTACTGTATTCGCTTTTCTTTCTTATTTGTTAGTCAAACAAAGGCCAGGATTGATGTTTCTATTAGTTCAAATTGAGCATGGATTGCACTTTTCAATTTGCTAAGATGATATTCTGCATTGCGATACTATACAAATTACGTTGAACAAGCGAAGCAATTTTTCGTCGAAAAAAAAAAAGTATTCTGCGATTAGGTTAAACGAAAAATAAAGTCAAATAAAAGTCGCACTGCCCAGTTGCCGAATCAGAGATACGTTAGTGGGTTTATCCCTGATTAAGTTACTTGAAAAGATCTCTAGGTCATATTATTATCAGTTTATGCAAACGGCAAAAACGACCAAGTAGGTTTCAATTTCAATCAGTGCATTGGAATTGCCGAGAAAACAAACGTCAATAAAATCAAGATAGATTTTGACACCATTATGATAAATAGTTCTTTAAATGATAAAAGAATTAAGTTTAGAAAGCAATCGTTTTATTTGACTTTTTATTATTTTGTTTATTCAGAATGATTGGGAAATAGTAAATTATTACTTTATCCCATTGGTACAGATTGACTTATACATGTAATCAACTTTATCATGCAGAAAAAAAATCATGATGAATAAAAATCAATAATAATTGCGAAATCAGAGATATGCTTCTAATATCCGTTAGCATATAACTTAAAGTTATCTTCACGTCCAAACATTATCTACGCTTATAATTCGGAATATTGATAGAAAGGCTGTTAGTTGCAATGCGGTTTTACAGATGCTTTGAGTTTAAAGATGTAGTATTTTACAAGCGATAGTAGTGATAAGTTTTTATTTCACTTTATCGTTTATAAGTATTTAATAAATAGCATTCGCCAATCTTCAAATATGAAAAAGCTCAAATAAATCTTTATTACAATTCATCTGTTTATTTTTATACCGTTTTCAAATTTTTAATTTGATAAAAAATATTAGTCCATTATGAAACTGTATTTATCGTATCATTATAGGAAGATGTATCAATCCAATGAAATAACATCTGTGATCTTAGTATTACTTAACTTACTACAACTACATACTACTGATACGGCAATAACATATGCGAGTCAATCTCACTGTCATCTACGCAAGCCAGTTATGTATAATTAATATACAATTAAAGAATGCATTTTGGTTTATGGAGCCTGCGATACAAATGGTACTATAGCAGAGAAAAGCTATACGAACACTCGCAAAATATGAAGTTAACCGACAGGATTTGGGTGCATCCCTCTGGATTAGAAAATGTGATTTTGTTATGGTATGAGATAGGTACACTCCCAAAATTACACGTGATACAAATCTATCTGACTGATTGCAAAAGAAGGAATTTATAGTTGCATGTTCCCGAACAGTCCACTCGTTATCTGGCGATTGATACACACAGGATTTTAACTTATAACAATTACTTTGAGGTACTTGTTGTAGGTACGAAGCTATAAAATGATTCAAGAGGTACTGGGGTTGGAATGAGGATTTATGTTGATGGTGAATCTCAGCCAATATACAATGTTATTCAGGATACTAATGAAAATAGCGTTGGATTTATTTCACTGATATCTGCACGCTCACCAAAAAAGGATATGTTTACAGTAAGCCAATAAGCTAACATCACTATTGTGCTGATCAGATATGATGGTATGTAGATAACATACATTTAGAAAGTAAACAATCAATGTTTGGTTTCAAATTACATGTTATTTAAAAAAAATAATTCTGAATAAATTATAATATAACTCGTTTGTTACCCTCACGGATTGCTCACAATTGATAATTAGAATTATTTTTCTGGTGGATCCGTAGTGAAAGTGGTTTCTCTCAATTAATCAAGTATTATTTAATTCTAAATTATAAAATTTTTATCAATTTAAATAAAATACTTATTTATAAAGTCGAAATAGTTACGGTTTGGTTTTCTTCCAAATATCTTTAAATATTTTCAGAGATTTACTGCTAAAGAGTAATATTTATCTATCATTACTTATATGTTATTGATAATAATTAACTCAATTGCAGATACCAAGAAATTATTAATGAATCGAATAACTCACCCTACCAGCATCTCAGTAAAGTATGACATGATTTCATTCTGCGTAAAATCAAATATTGCGAAAATTTTAATGGTACATACTATTCCTCACGGAGGGTTTCTGATGATGATAATAACGAATGAAAAATCTGGCGAAGAAATAGATTATGCAAAAAAAAAAACAAGTTATAATGTAGTTAGATTTGACAGCAGAGGAAGAAAAGTGGACAGCGCCCGTTTGAATGATTCAGAAAGACCAAAGCTTGGTATGTGGAAAAATAAGAATCAATACTGTATACCGCTTGTACAAATTTATATCAATTGTTTTGCCGAAAAGGATTCTGCGTAACTTGTTAGTGCATATCATGTGAAACGGGGGATAATATCAGTGAATACGTGTCAATAAAATAACTTAAGAAAAGGGTCATCTTTAATCTACTGATGCCGATATTCAGAAAAAGATATATCAAATGCGTTGTAATGTTTCCATCTGTGATCTTCGCTAATTATGTCGATTGTAATCTGCAATCTGATCATTCCCAATGAATATTAAGCATACTAATTGTTGGACTAAAATTCTTTCATTTTAAAATAACGAATTGTTTTATAGAAGTTCGCTACTGCCATAAATCGCATACATCGCTTGATAACTACAAAGATATTGATTTTAGTTGTACAGAGCAATTGAAAATGAAGAAATCAACCTGCATTGGCCAAAGTATCAAGCATAATTGAATAATGAATTTTTCAACTATCATTTCTATAGCTATTTTACAAATCAGCAGAGTTCATTTCAAACATTGCTGTCAGTGCAGGTCACTTATCCCCACGAACGTCACATACGGAAATTCACGTATCTAGTATGGCAATTGAGTATTAAAAGGGACTGGGCGAAAGATCCAAACGTTAGTTTCAATGTACGTGGAGTCACGGAGATTTCTCGTAAGTAAAATCTGAACAATCTGTTTTCTTGTCAATTCATTGCCAAATAGATCTTTGGCCAAATATATTCAGCTACCAAATTTTGTTGATTCTATGGCTAGGTTTCTTTAACGGTGATAAAGAGTAACGAGAACCATAATAATACATACACGCGAAAATTCCCTTTACATTTTCAAACACTGTCTTTTTTTCTGAAATTTCCCAACGAATCGTGAAACGAAGAGCTTGCCTTGTGTTAGATTAATCCTTAACTTTACTAAGGATAATCGACTTCACATATGGTATCCATAATAATAATTATATAAAAGTAAACTGTTCTTTTAAAGGGAAAGTTATCACGAATTTTTATTGTAAAATTATCGGATGCAGCTCTCTTCGCACATCAATTGCCATTAAAAATTTGATTATTTTCCAGCGAAATAAGCCAAAAATCAAACAATGTTAAAATTACCGAATGTCCTCGGTGTAATCGCCATAGTTGCCATAGCGCAGTGCGACGATGTTGTGGTGGCAATGAAAGTCATGCAAAAGTTACGCGAATATCCGAGTCAGGAGTTAGTATTCAGTAGGCATTCGTTCGTAGACGAGCGTCTGGTGTACGCAATATGTAACAGAACCACGGAAAGTAGCGACGACAGCAGCAGCAAGGGAGAGCGCAATTGCACCGTTATCCGTGAAAAATCCTCGTTCTCGAACGACACCCATAGGTGTGATGTGAACGTAAAGGCCAAGGACGACAATGGAACAATTTATCAGCAATTTCAAGTGGTCCCATTCGGCCGTGACAAGGCCATCTTCGTCTCGGAAGAGATTGTCGGGGACGGAGCGTTTATCGAATTGAGAACGATACAGTTGGCCGAATGCAAGGTTAACGAGAACAGATTCGCCGTTAATATTCTTTACGCCCACGAGATGCATCCCGCGGTGGCGACTATTTTGGTGGCGTACGAGCATTCGTTCGACGTCTTCTTCGAGAATACCAAGCAATGCCGCGGGAAGTTCTGTCGGGCTACCATCAATTCCGAGGGTAAAATCCTCAGTGGTCCTGCCGAATCGATTGAGACCAGTGTATTCCCTTTTTATCATCCTACCATCTTACCATTGAAGAACCGCTCGCCAGACAAAGGCTTATTTTACTTAGATAGTAGGAACAGCACTCCACTCGCCAACGGTAATTTCTTCTTTTTTCAATTACTTTATTTTATGACTGCACAGACTTGAATCTTGATTAACTAGAATTGTTTATTTGTTTAAGGTATGAACGGTACTGTATACACTATTTTACAGCTTGATGGTAAGTTTACTTCAGGAAAAAATATTTTTTAACGTCGCAATGAAGAACATAAAATGATCATAACTATTTATTACAATTTGTAGGATCAAGATTGACTCTCGGCTCAAGCGACGAAATAAAACCAGGCGATGCGGCTATATCAACATCTCACAATTTGATTACCGTGTGCCACCTGTCAGAAAATATTAACATCAAATGTCTGCAATACGACGTCGAACACAAATTAAAACTCAATGCAACCCTCCATGGCCACAATGAAAAAACTGAATTCGCATCGATGTACAATTTACCCGACGGAAGTTTTTATCTGCTGCTAGGAGAGCATGAAACGGCTAACGTACGGCTATCCGTGACTAAAATCAATTCCACTGGCAAAAAAATTGGCAATTTGGTAATAATCGTGCCTAACTGCGATCTAAAGACGAATTATCAAATATCACGGATGTACGAAAACGAAGCTAAAGAATATTGCGTGTCGGTGGCATGTTACAATAATTTCGATTCGGAAAGGACTCTAAGTTTTTTGAGCGTATCGGCTAACTGCTTCACTGATTTGGAATTCTCGGAAAATATTAAGAAAACGCCCAAATTGTAAAATCGATAATATCATTACAAAACTCATATTAAAAAGATAAATGAATCTTTTTATTACATTTATTACCAACTCCTGAACAAATTTAAAATTGTTTTATACCCTGTAACATTTCCAAATGTAAAATTTCATAAGAATTATAATTATAAATTCAACGATTAGATGTTCTATGTTTGCTCGGTAAATAACACGTAACATCAATAAATATTTAAGTCTACTAGTGATGTCTAACGCGCTTCGCGCTCTCACCTTGTTCTTTGCATTCATTTTAAAGTATGAATAAAGATCAAAACTTTTATTGGCAAAGTTTGAATTTCGAAAATTCAGTCTATATTAAATATGCCTACAATTTTAAATGTATATAGCCGTCGATATTATTTATTGGTGAAAATTATGTAATGACGTTGACAGTTGATATTCATGATTTTAAAATGTTATCAATGGAAGTTTTATATAAGCTTTTATCATCCAAACTTATGTATTGAAAAATCATCACAAAATTTCAAAAACACGATAAAAAATGTAATATAAGTTGTAAAAATAATGTTATAGATTTCTATAATAATATTGCGCATCTCTCACGATGTAAATAATACACTTCAGTAGACGTTCGCGATAGTAATTAGTGTATCTTCAGTTAATTTTTAAAATATTTTACACAACTAAATAAGCATAAGTGATAATCTACTCATTTATATTTTGTTATTGTTTATTTTGTTTATTCAAAGCTAAACTTTTGTATGTAAAGCAAATTTCAATTAAGTTATTTATTGGAGTATCAGTAATTCTCTTTTATTATAAGGTTAGACAATCAAATGAATGTGTAATTCATTCGTAATCGTATACCTATAAAAATAATTAAAACTCTTATTTTCAATTGTTAATAATTAAATCTCATAGTATATATTAAATTCATATCAAGTATACCGATACAATTTTTGAACTTTTAATCTTTTAGGACTCTGCAGTAATCTTTTATGATCGTACGTAACATATGCACCCGTACACACACACACACGCACACATACGACTACGTAACAGCTGATCACATGACTATCTTTCAGCCAATCACATCACGAATAAATTGCCTTCATTTTGTCAGGTTTTTTTTTGATAAGAGAAATAAGAAGACTACTACCATTACTATTACTATTATTATTATTAATTAAAATCATTGAGTTATAATAATGACGCACATTGTAAACCGCGCTTTCAAATTCACTCTTCTGTTAGTACTCTGTAAAAATATAAATTTTTTAAATTATTTATCAAGAAACAATCAATGATGTGATAGTAAAAAAACAAAACAGATTAAAATAAAAAAATCAAGATATGTAAAATTCAGCAACTTAGAGATCAACGACATTATGTTATGTCATACTGATAGATGGGAAATCCTATTTGCGATAGTAAATTTAATAACTGATGGATTATTGACAAATTTGAATAAAAATAATTACTAAAGGTGTTATGTAAAAAAATAACATTTCATATGGCGTAAAATTGAATAAAAGCAAATGGTCACATCTATAGATTCCATTGTTAGGTTTTGATCACGTTGTGTATTCAAAAACAAGTTGGTAAATCACGTGAATTAAAATTGCGTAAAGTATGAATGATATAAAAAATAAAATGATATCAAACAATTACATAATTAGCAATACGTAATCAAAAGGTAAAATTAATCAATAATATTGCGATTAATTAAACACATTTGCTTTAAATGGATTTCAGTCGAGATGCTTAGCTCAATGACCGTCATTGCAGTTCTTTTCTTGCTCTGCTGTGGGCAATTTCAAAATGCAAACGCAGTTATCGAAGTAGCTGAAAAGTCGCACAGATTCGATCAAGGTTTCCTCTTCCTCGACGCATCTTCTTTCAAGGATGGCAATCTCGTCTACGCAACGTGCGACAGAAACACAACGAGTATGACCAAATGCAAAGTGGTTCAAGAAAACTACCCCTACGAAGACATCACTCACTCTTGTTCGATTACTTTACGAGGTGATCACGAAGATTCAGATCTGAGTGTACGTATTGGAATCTCGGCACTTGGCAAAGACAAAGCGATTCTCGTATGGACAGATTATCATAATACTTCGACGACCATCGAGATCGGTACCGTTAGTCTCAAAACTTGTAAGATGAATAAGATAAAGATACCCGATGCTGGAATTGCTGTGTTCGCTGAAATGATTCACACGAATAAAATCGTCGCTTATAATGACGATTCTTATGACATCTTCTTCGACGATCTCAAACGATGCGGCGGAAGAATGTGCAAGTTGCAGGTGTCGGCGGATGGCAAAGCTAAAGGTGAACCTGCCGCTGCTAAAATGGCTAATGGATTTGTCTCTTATGCTTCGTCGGTTGCTACTCACTCACCTGCTAAAGGGTACGCTTATGTCAAGAAGATTGGTGATAATTCCGTTCTTTATCTTCTGAAACCTGACGGTGAGATGACCTCGCGAAAAAAGTGAATCGTACAAATGCGTTATTCTTTCTTTATGTGCGAGCTTAATGTGAAAGTAATAATTTTCCTTATTTCTACATTTTGCAGGAACGGAAAAGCAATTGGCCAAATATGAAGGCATTCCAATCCGTGTTGTCTCCGTAGGTAACGATTTCATAAGCGCGTGCACTAATGCCACTGAGGTCACCTGCACGCAATTCGAAGATGATGGTGACGTCAAATTGACGACCACGATGAGTGACATCAATAAAAATACCAAACCTGTATCCGTAAACAACTTAGCTGATGGTAGCATTCTCGTCTTGTTCGCCGAGTTTAAACAATGTGAACCACAAGCAGGTTGTAATGGCGTAACTGGATACCAAGTGGTGAAAATTAGTTCGGATGGGAAGAAAACTGGTACTTTGAAGACCCAAGAGCTCGAAACTGCTACAGGTGTTACTAGGAAATCTTATATCTACAAGAATGGTGACGAAGGATATTGCGCTGCTGTTATTGGACAAAATTCAACTACGAATGAAAACGAGCCAAGCGATTTTAGAATCGTTGTCAACTGTTTCACTGATGCCGACTTTTCAACCGAATAATGAAGAAACTTTGCGAGAATAATAGTAGTTAAAAAAACTGTATTTGTAGTTTTTCATACATCTATATCATTTATAAGAATAAAGTGTATTTAATAAAAATCAAATTATCGTAAATTATTGAATAGATCAATTTTATAGCCAGAAAAATAGTTTTAACAAACGTAAAGATTATGAAATCATTCGTTAACGCAGTGACAAGAGTACTTTCACTGTATAAATTGACCAACATTTTATGCAATTTAAAAATGTTATTCGACATTTATTTTAAATGTCCTAATTATAATAATAATTATATTTAATTTTAAACATTAATAGAACTATCTATCAGTAATAAATTAATTACATATATTGTTATTTTCATCTGGAACCTTTCAGTACACGTTGAGCTCTTGATACATTTCGTTGTACATAAATTAAAGAAATCGTAGGGGGGGGGGGGGGGGGGGGGGGATTAAAATTTTAAATCAGCGAAATGGAATTAGTAATATCAAATTAGTATCATTTATCAACGATTATAAAAGAAATAGAAACATTACCGTTTTATCAAATTATTCAAATTGAATAATGGCACAAAAGTCATTATCACTGCGACACGTTGACTACTGTATGCTTACTACCAGTGTTTCTTCAGTCGTCGTCGCGTTCTTGAGTATTTTTTAGTAGAATATTTATATGCTTGTAATAATGTATCAGAATTTTTCAAAATTATAAAAGCTATTGTATTACGTTAATTTATCAATTTATTAAGCCACATTTTCAGAATTGAAAATATATTATAAATTCATTATTTTTTTTAACTGTTATACATGATCATGTGCTAAAATTGAGTATATTTAAGGTGGCTATTCATATTTAAACTTTAGATCACCTCATATCCATAAAAAATGAAAACCCATTTAATAAATATATTTTTTGGTTTTGCAGAAAGATGTGCAGTATAAAATTGATTGTTTACTCTCTCATTGTAATATGTACCGTACAGTCACAGTACGGAAACGGAATCGTTCAAGAATCGCGAGATGCACAGCGCATTAAGAAAGGTTCCCTTTTCATTGGTAAAAATTCTTTCGATAAAGGAAATCTACTATTTGCAGTCTGCGAGAAAAATACAACAAGCGCAACGAATTGCAACGTCGTGCAAAAGGTCTATCCTAACTCGCAAAGCACTTATTCTTGTTTTATTACAATAAAGGGTGATTACGACGAATCACGTTTGAACTTTCGTATTGGCGTTGCGACACTGGGAAAAGATAAAGCTATTCTGTACTGGGGGGAAGAATATAATGACTCGTTGATCGCCAAGGTCGGTACCGTCGACTTGAAAACTTGCAAAATGAATCACATCAGCATACCAGATCCTAGCAAGGAAGTGCTCTTGAATTTGATGTATACGGACAAGATTGTAGCGTACAGCGACGATTCTTTTGACCTGTTCTACAATGATTCAAAACAATGCCACGATAAGCTCTGCAGAATTCAAATCCATGCTAATGGTACTGTCAAAGGTGATCCAATTGTTTCCGACATACCGGGTGGAATGGTTCATTATGTTTCGCCGATCGCAAGTCGTTCATCTTCTAAAGGATACGTTTACTTGAAAAAGGATCCCATGGAATATAATCTATCAATCGTAAAAGCTGATGGTAAGTGTAAATTGTAATTATCTTCCATGTATTTATGAATAAATGGCATAGCGTATACAGCATCTAAGATAGCCAGACACATTTTAATGTGAATTTTATTTGTTCAAGGAACTACAAATCAACTGTCAACTTATGTCAATACGGCACGCCCTACTGTTTCGGTAAGCAATGATATTATAAGTGCATGTACTAAACCTAGCGTCGATAGCGACGTGATTTGTACACAATACGACGAAGACGGTCAAGTTAAATTTATGACAACCATTCCCGAAATATATAAAAATTCTCAACCTAGAGCTCTAACTCATTTACCGGATGGAGGAATCCTTGTACTGCTTGCTGAATTCTCAAATTGCGATTATCTACAAAATTGTGACGAGGGTAAATATCATATGGTAAAAATTGATAAGAATGGAAAGTATATAGGTAATGCACCTATCCGAGATTTTGATAACGTCAATAACCAGTGGAAATATACTTTCGTATATAAGTTTGATGAGTCAAAATACTGCGCTTGTATTATAGGACAAGATCCCGTCATAGATAACTTAAGACTGAGTAATTTTGAAATCATTCATAATTGCGTTACAGAAAAAGACTTTTCAGCGTGATGAGTTATTATTATCCGGAAGTGTAATTTTAAACGAGGGTATTCATTAATTTAGTAGATTTTTGTTAGAAATAAGAAAAATATATTCTAAATTTATCAACATTTGTAAAGCTTTCCGAAGACAAACAAATATTGTAATTAATAAACAAATTGTACGTTGACGAGCTAGTAATAAATGTATTGATCACATACAAATTATGATTACAATTTTATTTTTAAAGACAAGAATTTGACATGAGTTCCACTAAGTTACCCCAATACTACAAATGTTCCTCCACTCTATATCAATGAAATTGGATAAACAGGTAATATTAGGCCAGCAGAAGATTGTTAAATACAGCAGTAATATGTTCTGATCCCGATACTTATGTTACCATTTTGCATACTATTAAATTCTGCAAATTGAATAATCGTGTAATTTTCTGGAGTACCAGAGCGTGATATTGGACGTTCTATGTCCAAACAGTATTTTCACGGTCATTGTTAAGTGTACTCGTGTATTTGAGAAAGTAGCACATTCCGCATAAGAATAAGTGTGTGTGAAAAGAAATACAATAGTCATCTACGCGCAACAAAATTAATAAAAAGTAAAAGCCAAACTAATATTATTCCGTGTAGCATAGTTATAAATTAAATACCTTCAAATTTCAATTAAATTCATTATAATATATCTTGAAAAAATGTTTTGCTCAAATAACTGTGTACTATATCTCATCATTACGTGCAGCATTCACCTTCGATATGCAAGTGCAGAGACTGAAAATATACTGAAGCCGCAATCGGACAATAAGCAAATTTCTAGAGATGAAATTCTAATCATTGACGAAACTTTTTTCAATAAAGGAAGTATAATCTATGCCCGTTGCGGTAAAAATTCATCGGACATTATCCAGTGTAACATCGTGGAACAGAATTATGTTAATGAAAATGGAAATGTTGTAAATGGGTTGCTCAGACCAGCTCGGCATTGCTCATATCTCATAAATGATGATCATGACTTATCGAAATTAAACATTCGTGTTACTGCCATTTACGACACAGTTGTTCTTTCTTGGGGTAACGACACCGTTATGGGTGTCATGAACATGAAGACTTGTGCAATGAATCAACTATATGAAAATAAAAAAAGCTATTTCCCAAATAAGATTGTTCCACGCGTTGATGGTTCGTTCGATGTTTTCTTCAAGAGTCCAGCAAATTGCGGAAAAAAACTTTGCGTGATACATTTTGCAGACGATGGTACGATAAAAAACCAACCGGTTGCTTCTAATCTAACCGGCGGATTAATTTATTATATATCGTTAATCGCTACACAATCATCTTCGGAAGCATACGTGTATCTAAAAAAGAATGAAATGGATTTTGCTCTTTTACTTGTGAAAGACGATGGTGAGGTTCTATGCAAATGAAAGTTTTTTTAAAAGATTGCCTATTAAAATATATAGGTTACAATATTCGGTGTTAAAATTATGATTTTTATTCCGTTTCAGGGACAGAAAAGCAATTAATAAAATACGATAGTACCGCATGTTCCGCTGTTTCGGCAAGTAAAAACACTGTGACTGCATGTATTAAATCTAATACAGATAGTGACGTAACTTGTACACAGTACGATGGAGACGGCAACATCAAGTTCACTACAACCGTTGCGAATGGGAATGAAAAGATTCAACCTAAAGTTGTATACAACTTACCAAATGGAGGTATGCTTGTAATGCTTGCCGTTTTAAAGAAGTCGGATAAAAAATCGAGCCACAATATCGAGAATAAATACTATTTGGTGAAAATTGCCGCTGATGGGAAAATCATGGGTACTACGCATATTGAGGAAATTAATGATGTTGTTAGTGAATTTAAGTATGCACACATTTGTAGAAATGGCGATACTGGATACTGTGCCATAATTATTGGTCAACGAACAATCAACGATGTGTTGAAACCAAATGATAGCGCAATTCTTATTAAATGCTTTAATGGCTTTGATTTTTTTATTTAAAAAATTTGATGGTATTTCAGTTAACACAGTATGATTATAAAATTTAATCATGTTCAATAAAAAACATGACAGTGATCAGCATATCTTATAATATAATGAAAATTATAGTTTGTATTGTTATTAATTTATCTAATTGAAGTGCAATTATAATTATTTATCATAAACATATCCTGAAAGCAATTATTTATTTAACGATCTACTGTCATTTATAGAAATATACATTAGTTTCAAAAATTAGGGTGATTTTTAAACACTTGAATATGAGGAATAATACAATAACCCTCATGCACGAGAAAAATAAAAAAGCAGGAAAAATGTGGAATCAAGAGAATAATTGTCAAGGATGTATCTTCAGGTTTATGGCTCCAAAGAAAGACGCCATGGAAATTAACTTTCGGTACCAATTATTTATTTGAGTATAATGCTTCGGGTTAATGTTTGGTGATGGAAGATTTATTTTCATATTATTAAGGATATTCTGTACTTGAAAAAGATTGTCATTCATAAATTGTACGGATTTTTAAGTAATAATTCACGTTTATTTTGACCTAATAAAACATGTAATACGTGCAAAATTAATCCCGTAGCAAATTCTAAACCACCCGGACTACTTATCGAAAGCTTTATCAAATAACGTCATATTATTTGACGAAACTATTAGTGATAGAATTTCAATCGTCATGAAGTGGAAACTAATTAGTCTAGAAGGAGATAGCGATAAAGTCGACGTCATGTAAAGGCTAAGCAAAACTATTTATCTGAGTCAGTCAAAGTTGACCAAGCAAAAAATCGTACAGACTTTTATTTCTTGGAGCAGATGTGTGTGTACAAATCGCAATATTATACAACTGCAGACGTCATTTTATCTTAATGAATTTTTCTATTTTTTTCCAATAAGTTGATATTTTATAAGCTCACATATAAGTTACAAAGTGAGTGAGTAGGTACAAATGATCATTTTACATTTTATATAAGCACATTCATATTTTTAATACTACTACTCAACCACATTCTTCGTTGTTATAAAGTGAGGTTTTCATAACAACAAATCATACTCGAATATTTCAATGGTAAGTCCAACAATGTTGGGAAATCATAATTATCGCAGATAATTCATCGTTGATAGCGAAACATCAAGTGTGATTTTCTTTACCAAGGAGTATTAAAGCAACTTGTTTTTTCGATGTTTCTATATCAAGTGAAATTGTAGCATCCACGATATCAGTCGCAGGCCAACTCTTGTTGAGAGAAATACTAGTGAGTAGATGTTATTTACCAAGCAATCAAAAACTATTTGAATAAAGTTTGAAGAATGAAAATCGTGGATTCATGCTTTATTGTCAGAATTAAAAAAATAATATTAAAAAATGTTATATTATTCTCTGTTTTTCAAATATTTAACAGTATGTCAATTAACATTTTATCGAAAATATCCTGTTAAAATTAATGAAGCACAGTAGATTTACATACTATTACAGCTAATAATGACAATAAAATATTGTGCTAGAAATAAACATAAATCATCACGATTCATGACAATATAACTATTTGCATTAATTAAAATCAAATCTTTCCAGAAAATGTACTGTTTGAAAAACCTAGTTGTGATCCTTGTGGTCGTATGCTTTAGTCAGTATAGTGATGCAGCCGTGGAAGTAGTAACAAAGTCTCAAACCTTCGACGATGGTATCTTTTTCAACAATGCAGAGTCATTTTACAATGGGATTTTGGTATACGCAATATGTGATTCCAATACTAGGAATCTAACAAACTGCAAAGTTGTACAAGAGAATTATCCCTACAAAGAAGCCGCTTATTCTTGCCTCGTTACTTTAGAAAATAATCATCTGAAAGGCGACGGTGACCTTTTTGTTACCGTTACTGCTCTTGGTGACGGTAAAGCAGTTCTTTACTGGCGATATAGAAAATTAGAAGATTACTCGATTATCGTCAATATAGGCACCGTCGATTTAAAAACCTGCAAGATGAATCGCATCATAGTACCTGATGCCACTTCGCTCACGTACATGTACCTCAGCCATAACAATAAATTCGTGCCGTATAGTGACGATTCATTTGATATATTTTACCCTAATCCGAAACGTCATCCAGAAGAAGGAGAGTTGTACAAAATACACATCGATGAAAATGGCCGGATGATCAATAAACCTGAGAGTGCTAATGTAGAAGGTGGAAATTATTTTGATGCGATGACAATTGCCACTCGCTCGCCTGCCAAAGGATACGTATTCGTGAAGAGAAATCAATACAGAAGTCGAAAGGAATTCTCACAACCTATAATATTACATTTACTGCTTGTGAAACCCGATGGTGAGTTTTATATTGTATGACGACTAAAAATGATGTTTACATTGACTTCGCGATAGCGACAATTTTAAGATTTTTGTAAAATAACAAGTAATTTTTTTTGCTAGCGTTAAAAGATGCTCTAGAATAATTGAAGTAAATTATTCTTTCTAACCTCGTTCTCTCTTTTTGGTTTTTTAGGAACAATGAAGCATTTAGCAGAGTATAAACGTAATTCGCGTGGTACTGTTGCGGCAGGAAACAATTTCATCAGTTTATGTTACAAATCAGAAGATAAAGGCCATATCGTGTGTACGCAATACGATGAATACGGACGTGTAATATTCACGACGACCTTGGCTGCTAGAGGCGTTGATATCGACATTATAAAATCCTATAATCTACTCAACGACGGAATGTTGGTAATGTACGGTCCGAAAAGCAATCAACCGAAGGGCAGCCGTAACAGGATTGGATACGAAGTTGTTTGGATTGATTTCGACGGAAAAGAAAAGGGTAGAATGCACACTCAAAAGTCCGAGATACCCAAGGGCATGGTTGCAACGCCGTATATTTATGAAAACGGAAACAAAGGGTATTGCGCTACTGTTATCATCAATAACGAATATTCTTCTGGTGAGGTACCGATGAATTTAAATGTTGTTGCCAACTGTTTTACTTTCAATGATTTGCTAGTTTAAGGATAGACTATAAAAAATATTAATTCTAAATACTTCAAATGTATAGTGAAGTAAAGTGTACGAAATAATTTATTTCTGATTCCGTTAGATTGTTTGTAACTGAATTAATTAATAAAATAAAATTGCCGGAACACGAAAATTTTGAAGAATTTTTGAAAATTTATATTTTTCTACAAAGATTTAGTACTTTTTTTTTTGCCTACCTTGTATAATTTATTAATAGATCTAGTTTCAGATTTTAACTGTTAGATCCAAAGAAGCTGTATCAGTATTACTAAGATGTAAATAATGTATTTATTTTACTGTACCGTAACTTATAAAATAAAATTATATATTTAAGTAAAATTATAAGATTTTTTTCCTGTAATTAATCCTTTCACGAATACCTATTATTTTTCATTTTTTTATATTAATATTTATAAAATTAAAGAATCGGACATCACAACTATTGAAATAAACATATTTCACTTTACGACAGAATGACACCTTTGTCCAAAGTATGCAGTCAAAACACGATATACACGAAGAAAAATCTTTGAAAATAATACTATAGAACAGTATTTTATTTGTTGGATTTATAAATTATATTATTTGATAAAACAGCAGAATAAAGATCTTATTTATCTATATTTCTTATCAACCAGAATAAGCGAATGTTCATTTATTAATTTTTCTGGCTTAGAATTTAATTTTTCTAAACTATCTATTATCTATGTAAGATAGAGCTTCATGCATCGAATGATCAGTCGAGAATCAAATAGTCTTTGGGCAAGTATTGGAGATAAAATATGTATGAAAACCACTTGTCACAGATGTCAAAAAAACTCGATAACTCAACTGGAATGTAATTAATGTCTTATCTATTGATTTTAATTAAAATTGTAATAGATATATATTTTATAAAAAAAAAATTATGTTTCATTATTAAAATAATATACATATTACACAGTGGAAAATTGCTGTTCTATCGTCAATGTTAACTTGACTTTTCTATTTATTTTTTTAATTGTTGCATTTTTCATTCACTACATCCACTATGAATTATTTTACGCAATAGCAACCCAGCGATGTAGATAATCGTGAATTTACATGTATTTTTTTCAGTATAATGTTCGAAATCAAAAGCTTTTTTGCCAATGCAGTATTATGTTACTTTTTGGTGAAAAGTCATGTCAGCGTAAACGCTATAAAAAAATCAAGATTATTTCCTGGACTGCAAGTTCTATTCAGCGATTACTCTTTTAAGAATGCCGTTCTGCTTTATGCAGTCTGTGATAGAAAGGAATCATGAAGAAACAAAAGATATGTACGATTAATCTAATAGTATCTCCATATTAAAATGTACGACATTCTTATGAAGTCGAAGTAGAGAGTGTTTATGAACATGGAGGAGTTCGTGAATTATTTATGAGCGCTTTAAATCCAAACGCAGTAATCATAATCCGGTTAGAAAAAGACTCGACTATTGTGACTCACATTGATACATTAGACCTCAACAAATGTACTTTTCACCGAGTAACTTCGGAAGATAGCGATGCGAATCAAAAGCATTTTCGTCATCATGGTATTATATTACTTTTTGTAGAAATGTCACGGTAACATAGAAATTATTAAAAACCAAAAAAAATTTCCAGGGAGGAATTAATTTTCAGTGATTATGTATTCAAAGGCGTATTTTTCGTATATACAGTTTGTGAAAAACGAAACTCGAATCAAATTAGAGTTAAAATAGTTACTGTTAATCTCAACAAATATACTCTTTAATTGAAGAATTCTTCAATAGAAATAAAACAAACCATCAGCATACTGGCAATTAAAAAATCAACGTGCTATTGAGAACTTTTTACTATGCCTTTTTTAGAACATCAGCTTGTGAAGACAAAGAATGTAGGTGGCGTGTGAATGTCGAAGACCAATTCACTGACAGCTAGATTTACAGATGTTATGGATGGACTTCTTTACTATATAAATAACCCAATTCAACTTCAAAAGACATGAATTATGATTTAATCTCTGCACGAAATAACAGAATAAATATATACATCAAAGCGACTGAACAAAACGTAAATTTGATATTACTACAGTACGATGCTGAAGGTAACAATGTGCTATTTTTTTTGTATGATGATTTTTTTATAAATGTTTTTCTGTAAAAGTAATAACAAATTTAGCCGACATCAGCAGCAGTAAGCGAGTATTAAATATTTATAAGTCCAAATGACGATTCCATTGTGTTTGTAAGTGAGGTAGAAGACCAAACTGTAAAATGTTCCATAGCCGAAAGCTTTCGTATCGTGAAAATTTATGCTACCGGCAAAAAAGTTGGTCGTATTCAAATGCAAAGTCCAGGCACTAAACCATTTTATGAAATATTAGATACGCATTACAGGCGAAATATTTGGAGAAACGAACAAGAAAGTTATTATGCAATGATTATTGAGCCTACAGTTAAATGTATTGGAGCTGGTTTAAGTCAGGAAAAATATGCAGATAATTGAAAACTGCTTTACTGATTCCGATTTGTTGAAACAGTTTATTATAATGGTGCAATAAATATTTCTGTTTCAATAAAAATAACTTTATCATGACAAGATGAAACATTAAATAAATATATATTCTTATGAACGTATTTGATTGAAAAACATCTGTTAATATTATTAAATTTACTATCTTTTTTAGATTTCGTGTCAAATGCATTCCTTTACATGTTGAGATTTAACTCATCTTCATTTAAAGCATAAGTGACAGTTATCTTACAAATCAACCATGCCTTTTAATAGGCTAATGGTATAAGTGACACACAATTACTATCTACACTTGTACAAAAGACGAAAACATCACAGTCTTTCTAGCAGTGACTACGCGAGCAAGTGTTGTAACCCTGTGACTATAACATTTTCAATACTTGAGTGCTAAATATACAAGTGAGTGTTTCTTTTTTTCATACAATATATTTGATAATATTAACATTATGTGCTGTTCTTGCCTTTCATATTTTTGTGTAAGATAGTTGTACTCGATTCATTGAAGTAATAAGCAAAATAACGTGTTAACGTTTAGCTGGCGAATTTGTAAATCTACTCAGAAAAATGATTGAAAATAATAATTTCTAAACTAATTATAAAGTAGGCACTTGCTATATTTATATCGTAAATCTCAAACGTACGTATCGCTAAACAATATTTAGTAGTAGACTGAGTGAATTAGATTAAAGATTAATCCATTAACGTCTTCTTTCTCAACTTACATACTACACTTTATCCATTTTTGAAGTTATATATCTTTTCCCAATTTTATTACATAGGCAATAGTCAGAATAACAATAATAATAATGTTCAACCAAGATTAAATCTAACCATTCTGTGTAATAGATGTGATATTGAGATTATAATTACAAAATTAGGGAAAATTATAAGTCCAAAACGTAAAGACTGCGAGGTAGTTTATGTGGGAAAAAAAGCGACCATTAAAAATTCGAGTCAATAAATATAAGAATAATAATATTAACGAGGCAGTGATTAAAAACTACTGTACTCCTATCTATTAAACTGGAATAATGTATGAATTTTTGATTTAGAATCTCATAGACAAGAACACTCGATAAATTTTCGATATACACTTTTTTTTACTAGACGTGTGCCACATGTCCAAAATGTGTAACTCCCAGCATAATTAATTTTCTTGTTTTTCTCTCTCTCTCTCTCTCTCTCTCTCTTTTCTTTCGAAAGATTTCATTGTACGCTGAGTCACTGGCATTCTTCGTCAACCTCGGAAATAATTACAAAAGTTTTGTAAACGTAAACCCCTTCGCTCTTACGATCGGCTTGTTGGGGTTTTCTCTAAATTGCCACGTGTCCTTTTTTCTATTTCTCATTCATCTCCGACGAGACGACGCATTTAAAGTTTGTTTTCATCTGTACAGCTAACACTTAATTCCAATTTGTATAATTGCGTCGATAGTTCAACAATTGAAGTTCAATTTTCAAGAAACTAGAATATAAAAAATTGTTTAAATTTAATATTTTATGTAAATCACGCTGAACAGATAAACATTTTATCATTAAAATCAATATTTTTCTTTTATTCTTGCGAGTGAGCAATTTCCTACGATTTCAAATGATGTTAATTTTTTTCTGTAAAGGCAACTATATTAAAATGAAAGGAACTAAAATCTTGAAGCATGACACGATCGAAAATCCATAAACAGTTTCAAACTTTTCAGTTCGATTTTACGTCATTTATGATTTAGGGAATTTAGTAACAAGAACATATTATTTATTACTAATAATTATCTTTCACAGCAATATATCGGATCAAACGATGCTATCGCTACTTTCAATAGCCATCTGCTTGACACATTTGTTATGGACTTCCGATGCAGCCGTAGAAGTAGTGAATCAAAAGAATTCTGTACACACAGGGTATCTAATGATCGATTCTTACTCTTTTAAAGAAGGAAACCTAGTTTATGGTATATGCAATGGTCACAAAGAGCAAATAAATTGTACAATTGTTCAAGCGAAGCATCCATACGCAAATGCCACTCACACCTGTAATGTCACTCTCAATGCCGAGCAAAAGGATGCAGAAATTTACAGTCGTATTGGCTTAGCAGCTCTCGGTCAAGACAAAGCGGTAATATTCTGGCACGAAGAAGGCGAGAAAACTTATTTGAAGCTCGGCACCGTTCAAATGAACAATTGCAAGTTGAAGGAAGCCAAAGTGCCCGACGTCCAAACCGTCAGCTACATCGATCTTTTCCATTCGCAAAAAATTGTCACTTATAAGGGCGACATTTATGACGTTGTTTTCCAAGATCCAAAGCTCTGCGGCGATAAGGCTTGTAAAATGACAATTGATGCACAAGGTGCAGTAATCAAAGAACCTTCCGCTTACATTACTACTAATGGACAGTTTATGGCTGTTGTGTCGCCGATTGCAACTCGATCACCAATTAATGGACTTATTTATACGATCATCGAATCAAACAAGTCTATCTTATGGATGATCACCTCCGATGGTATGAAAATGTATGCGTCAAGGTGTGTAATGCAGTGATCAATATTAATTCGAATTGCTGTTTTGATGTTTTAGGAACGGAAAAGAAAATCGCAGAGTACGAAGGTTACCCAATTCGCACTGTTTCCAGCAGCCACGACATGATCAGCGTATGCTCAAAGCCCAACAGGGATTCCGATATGACCAATTGTACTCAGTACGATAAAGAAGGCAGCATCAAGATCACAGTGAATCTGACTGACACTAACGACAAGACGAACACTCTGATCGTGCACAATCTTGCCAAAGGCGGCTTCCTTCTCATGCTCGTGGAGTACGAAAAATGCGAGAAAAACGACTGCGCGAACGAGCTGGCTTACAAGCTGATCAGAATCGACGAGGGAGGAAAGCGCGCCGGCAGCTTGAAGCTCAGCGAGTTCGAGAGCGTTGCCGGCAAAAAGGAGTGGGCGTACATTTACGATGCCGGCGACGACAAGTACTGCGCCGTGTTGATTGGCAATGAACTTTCAACTCCGCACGGCGACTCGCACGTTGTTTCCAATTGCTTCGCCATTGGCGACTTCTCAAAGTGATTGCCGGAGAAGCTCTCGTGCATTTTATAACATTTTATACTTTCTATACCTTGTGTGTATCCTAATTACTTCACGAAGAAAATAAAAGCAATTTAAGCCAAAAAACTATCAACTTGCGTATTACGTCACTTCAATTTTACTTGATAATATTTCTTAAGGTACATTCGAATCAACCAAATTCAATCTTGATACATAGCGGAATAAATTTTTCGTCTTTCAAATCAGGAAACTTTGTAAAGTGAATAATAGTTTAAGTGCTGCTAAATCAGCCTGGTTTAGAATGTCAATGTAGCAACGCTTTCATTTGCGTCTGTGACTGCTGTAACAGGCGTTGCTCGGTGAACACCTTTAAGGATTGGTTTATTTTGCTAAAATCACGAGTGAGTATCAGTGCGAAAGCAACCCAAATTATCTCTGAATTTACTTGAAACAATCATAAATATTTTTCGATCTAGCAATAAATATCAGCGATAACAGACAGAATAATTCAATCAAATAATCTTTACAGGCGAAATGTTAAAGCCAATTAGCCTTATCGTCCAAATCTCTGTGTTTCAATTACTGAGCACTTGTACAGCCGTGGAAGTGTTGAAAAAGCAAAGTCACTTTTCGAAAGGTCAGCTCATGCTTGGCCCTTACTCGTTCAAAGAAGGAAACTTGGTATACGCACTTTGCGACCACCAAGAGCCAAATGTAAAGTGCCAGGTCGTTCAAGAGAGACCGCCTTACAAAGAAACCTTTCGTTCGTGTAACATCACACTCATACCCCAGCAGAAAAACGGTGAAATTCAAAGTAGTATCGGAGTAGCAGCTTTAGGCAAAGACAGGGTCATTTTGTTCTGGCATGAAACTGGCGCAGAGGAATATTTGAAAATCGACACCATCAAGATGGATCACCGTTGTCAGATTTACGAAGCCAAAGTAGCCAAAGTCAGCTTACCGACTTACATCGAGCTTCATCACACGAACGATATTTTGACGTACAACGACGACACCTATGACGTCATCTTCCAGGATGTGAATAGATGCGGCGATAAGATGTGTAAGATGAGCATCAATGCCGAGGGCGAAGTCATTGCCGAGCCAACTGGGTATATCAGTAGCAACAAGCAATTTATTTCTTTTGTGTCACCGATTGCCACTCGATCGTCCTCCAAAGGATTCGTTTACACGCGGATCGATGCGGATGAGAGCACTTTATGGATAATCAAATCTGACGGTATGTATTAATATAAATGTTACAAAATTATTTGTACGAAATAGAAAAAAAAACAGTTCAGTTTGAGTAGCTCAATAAATCTTAAATAGGTATTTTTATATTTGAGTAAAAGAATTTGAATTCAGATGGAACTTTAGAATCTTTTTAAAAATAGAAAAATATCACTTCTTATTTCTGGTTATACCTTTTAGGTAAAGAAAAACAGTTGACGAAGTACAAGAAAAGCGCAATATCAGCCGTATCAGCAATTAACAATATCATTACTTCCTGCATCAAACCTGACATGAATACATCAATGACGTGCACGCAGTACGACGAAGACGGCAAGATGAAGTTCACAACAAACGTAACAAGTATCGATGAGAAAACGCAAATATTAAGAGTGTACAGTTTAGCGAAAGGTGGATTTTTAATGATGACCGCCAAATGCGAAACGGGAATATGTAGCAACGCTGCCAGCGGCCAAATAATACGAGTTGACGCGAATGGCGTTGAAGCTGGCACCTTCCGTCTGGTAGACTTCGAAAGTGCCATTGTCGAGAGGCATTGGGCTCATATCTACGAGAACGGCGAAGAAAAATATTGCGCTGCTTTCATTGGTGAAAAGCGCGCTCAAGGCCAGATGGAATATTTGAATGTTGTTGTCAATTGTTTTAACAAAGCTGATTTTCAACAATAATATTTCTTATCGCGATTTCATATTATTTTGGATGTCGGGCTCTGTAAACAGAGATTTTTTTTTAATAAAAATAAATTTTACGTTGAAAAAGTGATAAATATTTGTTTTGGCTATCTATGTGAATAACGACGGTGTAAGCTCGATATATTTTTTCATAATTTATTATTCAAAATATCTTTAATGAGACTATAAAATTATATATGTAAATGAATTTCATTCACACAGTTTCTGAATCGGGAATTTCATTGTATTGAATTGAATTTAATAGCAACATTTTCGACCACGTCAGAAAGTAACAAACGACACACGTACAGTGGTTAATTTAAAAGTTGGGATACGCTTTTGAAGCTGACACTATGACGTCATAAATAAAAGTATTACGTTTACTGTGAAAGCGTAATTCTCGTTCTTGACGAAGCAATTGCCAACGTTGATTCATCGATAGATGTCGATATTGAAAAAAACCATAAGGATTTAAGAAATACATAGTTTAAACAATAGATCATCGACTCAATGTGATTATAGACAACGATTAGATTATAGTTATGGGTGTGTTTTGTCTGCAAAATTAAGTCATCTATTGACTATTATTGAGGAGATGCCTACGTTTCAATTGATATTTGCGCTTTGAAGGTGATTGCTAATTCGTAGACTGACATAATTAAACGTAAACTTTCATCGCTACTGTTAGAAACAGCAAAGTTTTAAATTAAGAGAATCATAGGAGCATTTATCAAGAAAGCCCTAGAATTATTACTAGAAATTATTTTCATTTACATAAATGTTGAAAATGATTAATATTCTTATCTAAAGTATTTTTGCCAATCTTTAAACTGATAAAAAATATATTATTCAAAATTATCCAAAGTAATATAAAACTGCAGACTCAAAGAAAATGCTTACTTTTTATTTACTTTCTATCTTTAAACACATGATTTCATTCTTTACGTAAAAAAGAAAATCATTCATATAAGGAGTTTTTAAGAAATCCATACTATTTGACAGAATTCAATACATTTGCATGCAATAAAAATGAGGTGCCGACTGGTTGGAATACTCCTTGTCTATAAATCAAGCGATACGATCACTTAAACTCAATTACCCTTACCGAGGATTGTCCTTATTCACGGATGATCGTATAAAGTCACTACAGTCAACTCGATTAGTAAGTACAAGGTAGCAAAGAAATACTTATTTTTTACATGAAAATCTCGTAAGTATTTATATCACTATTTTTTACTCTTATAACAACGTAAAATCAATTGAAACAATTTGTTACTTTATTGCGTGAACTACATTTTTCAAATTAATAAGTTCAGGTAAAACAAAACATTGTACTGTTTGACGGATGCTATGGAAACATTCAAGTACGCCATCACAATAGCATTCGTACTATCAGCTACTGTCACTTAAATAGGAGCAGAGGTCAGTGTTTTAACGCGATCACAATATCAGCCTGGGCAGAACTTCGGATACAGTATTAACTCCTTTAAAATTAATAGACTGATATATACCGTGTGCGATAGCGGTGATATCCAGAGAAAATGTAAGGTAATACAAGAAGATATTTTCAGTGATAATATTACATACTGTTGCAATATCACCCTCAAAACTGATAAGGAGGGTATGAAATTTGGACTATTTCTCGAATATGTTTTTGGCAATGACAAAGCTATTTTAATATGAGAGGAAAAAAAAGTTTTAAAATATACGTCAAATTTACAACTATTCAATTAACCGATTGCTATGTGAGAGAAGCTAAATTACTGGACGACAATGAATCACTAGAACGAGATCCAATTCATCGTCAGCTATACATTGGTCAAAAAATCATCACTTACGACAACAAGTATGACGTGTATTTTGAAGACAAAGTCACCTGTGGTAAAAAAGAATGTAAATTTAGCATCGACGCCAAAGGGAACATAATACGCATAAACCAGCTCCATTCACGAATAATAGCCCATATCATTCAGCTAATTTCTAAAAATAAACCGTCAGAAGTATTTACTTCCTTGAAGATGAATAAGAATGAAGCAATTTTAACTATAATCAAACCTACGAGTAAGCTCTTATAGTAAAAATTTATAGCATGATTGAGTCTTGTAAATAATGTTTTTTTTTTATTTTTTCTAGTTTCAGAAAAGTTAGTGGCCACCATCGACAGTAAACAAAATATAATTCTAGGCTATTCTGTAGAACGCGAAACAGTAGACTTATGTATTAGATTAACGAACAAATCCAGCATTATATGTTCTCAGTACGACATTGACGGCAATCTCAAAACAAAAGTAACTTTATCTGATACCAAAACTCATTTACCTTACATGTATGTACTTCGGGACGGTGGTTTCTTTCTTTTAAGAAGTGTCAATGTATTTTTGTATCACCAGAGTTAAGCCTCCTGTTAAAACAAAGGAATTACGCATTGAAGGATTCAACAAAGAGAGAATTGGAAAATATTCTCAGTTTTTTTATAAGAATCCAAACGGAGAAGGTTATTGTGTTACTGTGGTTTACAGTAAATACGATCCAACGAGCAAAATTATGAATGGAAAAGTCGAAGATCGTAACATCGTAACGAATTGTTTTACAATTGCTGATTTTACAAAATAGCTTATAGAATTCATTAAACAATATAGTGTAGTTTTCTAGCTTTTAGTAAGACTACAAGGAAGATTTTATCTGTAAATTGTATTAAGTTACGTCAAAATAAAATTTACAATTACCAAATTTTTGAATTTAAAATCATGATTATAAAATGATGAATTTTAAGTTCACTTGAATGACATTCAATAAAGAACTTAATTGTTAGCATGCAGTTACTAAATCAGGTATTCGTTTTGTGATAATTAACGCATATTAACTTCCCAACCATTTAGCGTTAAATATAAAAGTTAAAGTCCTTGCCATTTCCTTATGAATTTTTTCCAACTATATTCCAAAATATCATAATTTCAATTTCTAGCTAGTGACGTAAAAGGTTTTTATTTAGCATATTACTCAGTAAATGGACACTTATATTGAGTTAGCGAGAATGGTTAAATAATAGCAATAATCTTATGATTGGAGTATGATATATATCTTTCTGTTGGCTGATTCCCCTCCAAAGCCAATTATTCTAACATGCCGTGGTTTGCTAAAGAGAGCGAGTACTGAAGCAAAAAGTGCGAAGTGAAGAACGATAAGTCTACTAAAACAATAAAATGAAAGTCTACCGTGAGTAACAATATTCTTTAATTACAAGTAATTGAAATATTAAAAAATATTATAAACTTCAGATACGGCATTTAAGATGAAAACTATCAGCATAATATTACTTCTTATAATGTTAAATACCGTAAAAAGTACTGATGCAGTAAAAATTTTGACAAGGTCAGCACAAATTCATCCTGATTGGCAATTCGGGGACAATCGAGTCACGTCTTTCGAAGACGGTCGACTTCTATACACGATGTGCGACAATGGTGATAACAACAAGACATGCACGATAATTCAGGAAGACATTCTGAGTGGAAAAACAATATATACATGTAATATTACGCTCGAACCGGAGCAAACAAATGCTCGTCCTGGAAAATTCTTTTCAAGAAGTTTTGGGGATGATAAAGCAATCTTTGTTTGGGAGGAGAAAGGTGCCGAGACATTCGTCAAATTCATTACCACAAAATTGACTAGCTGTAAAAGTAATGAAGTAAAAATACACGACAATAGTAAAATGCAATTGATAGAACCTATTGCTTATCAGTTGTATACAAGTCTCAAAATCTCAGTATACGAGGAATACTACGATGTATTTTTTAAGGACACCAAACGTTGTGGAAATAGAGAATGTAAAATTAGCATTGATGCTAATGGTAACTTTATTGATGGATTAACTACGTTCGTAACTACTACTCGTTATCAAATGATCATAGTACTACAACCAATTGCAAAAAGAGCCACTGATATGGGATACATTTGTGTTAAATTCAACTGGAATAGGACATATTTCTCATTTATTCAACCAGACGGTAAAGACATAATTTTTTTTCTACATTTATATCAGTAATTTCAGTTACTTAAAACTTAGATTGAACTCATATTTTTTTATAGGAAAAGAAAGATCTTTAGGGCGAACTCACTATGACAATCAAATCATTGGTGTTACTGTGGAGCACGAAATCGTTGGCATTTGTATGTTAGCAGAGCGAGAATTTAAAATTAACTGTTTGCAGTATGATCACGACGGCAATATCAAACTGGAAACCACCATAACTCAAATTTCTCCTCAGACCCACATCATCTCAGCACATATTTTACGACAAGGTGGCTTTCTTCTGTTGTTTTACCAGACAGAAAAATGTCAACGTACCAGCGACTGTATGGTTATCTCACATTACTGGATTACCAAAATCGATATTAATGGAGAAATTGTGAGCCAGCTTAAATTCAAAGGATTCACTTCAACGAGCATAGTCCAACATATTGGGTTTGTATATGAAAATCCAAAAGACGAAGGATACTGCACTACAATTGTCTACAGCGACTATGATCCAGTTAGCGGGAAAAAGAGAGCAAACAACCGTCATGTAATAACTAACTGTTTCTCGGAAGCCGATTTTATAGAGTAATATATTCTATAATGCATCAGTTTTTAATTTACTTTATTTTTATATTACGTTGCCAAAGTTGGAAACAAATTTAAAAATCAGTTGGGTTTTTCTATATCATAATTTTTAATTTTATTCATACTCGTTATATTAATTATGAAGTTAAGCTCATGATTTCATATTAACTATAATAGGGCTTTTCGCTGTACTATTCGACAACACAATTATTATATGTGATTTAATGTAAAGTAAAACGCTGTTCCATGAATTGAGTAATGTCTAATAAAGTTCACATAGTCAATATCTAATCGAAAATTCTTAAGTCTTTCAATATAACTGATAACGTTTCATACCATTCATATGAAAATTGAAAAATATTTTACCCAAGGATTTTTTTGGTATTTCTAATTAACAAGTTATTTATATGAATTGTCAAAAATTGTGTTTTTCTAACAAACTAATTGTATTAATTGATTCTACGGGAGAAGTCACGACAAAACCATTTTCATCAAGCATAGTCAATAGTTCATAGTATATTAGTCTGAATCACACTGATACGTGAATCAAAGCACGTTGAATGTATTAAATATATTGTCCACTCCTCCTTTCTCTCTATCTTCATTTTTTCTCTCCACGTTTTTAAATTTCTGCATTCTTTACATCACTGCATACACATATATATGACTATACCTTGTGCATATATGTTCATATACACATCTTGTAAATACATATCTATATTTACGTGTATTCGTTTCATTAAAATATTTTTAATATGAAACAACATTAGTGATAGAAAAAAACCAAATACTTAGATCGTTTCAATATCAAGCGTCTTTGCCAAAGAAATTCAAAAAATTTTTATATCCTAGTTTAATTGATGAAAATAATCTTTCATATGGCAATAACGATTTAAATAATGTGTAATCGTTTGATCCAAGTTTAAGTAGAAGCCATTTATTAAATAAAAATTCAAATAAATTTCATTCAATCGATATTATTGGATATTCTGATGAAGCGGCAATTTATCGCCGTTGTAACATGCGAGTTTAAGACTTTCGAATATAAGTATTGTACGTATCTATGTTATAATTATAGTTTCTGAATTTGTATTTTCAATAAAGTTTCTGTAAATATGGGCAGACCCGCTAACGAGGCGTTAATAAGCGATGTTTTACTCATTGCCTCTATCAATAAGTTAAAACTAAACCTCTTACTCAAATAATGTCTTAATGTATTAACAAAAATTGGTAAAATAATTTTAAATGTCACATAAAATCATTGTGAAATAGAAACTACAATTATCACTTTGTTATACCAGTTCGTCCTTTTATTTTAATGTTTATCGAGTCCTTTTTGCAAATAAAGAATTTCAATGTGGGCATTATAATTTGAAATCTATTATTATATCTGTTTAGGTTGTATTGCTAGTAGAGGGAGTCGGAAACGGGAATTCCGCGCAGAGTTACTAGGTTATCCAAGATCAATCTTTTACAGCAACTCAAACGAGATGTGCTATATTTAACCCTCGGTTTCGGAACAGTCAATGTCATTTTCATTTCAGTCGGCTCCGAGTAAAAACGTAAGTAGGCAGTTGCTTTTTCTTCCGCTTGCCTTAAAAAAACTCCAAAACTTGTAATAAAAAGAAATTTCCTTAAACAAAATATTAAAACAACTTTTATTAATACTTTTATAATTCATTTTAAATGGTCATTTATTGCAGACTTAGATCAAGATGGCAAGGGCAAATAATATCGTTGCCTTCGTAGTTTTTTTAATAATACTTTGCGCTGTGTTAGCTGTATATTTGCTATACAAAAGCAACGTGAGCATTGTGAAGCATTCGCGTCACTATCCAAATAAGATGCTCATTTACGACGACTACTCGTTTAGGGACGACAGTTTTGTGTACTTGGTTTGCGATGATGGAGATTTTCCAAAGTGTAAAATTGTGCAAGAAAAATACCCGTATAAAACTATTTTTAAATCTTGCAATGTCACACCAGGCATCCAGAAAGTGGACAGAGCCAGCAAACGCTTTATTTTCGTAGTAGCGTTTGGAGAAGACAAGGCTGTTTTATTGTGGAACGATGACAACAGTAAGCATGATAAACCATACGTGAACATTAGCGTTGTACATATGAATGGTTGCAAGCAGGAACGCACGATAAATACTCATTTATTTACTACTGAGCAATTGAATAACGTAAAAAAAATTTTAACTCATGATGACACTTTCGTGGTGTTCTTCAAAAACACCGCTGAGTGCGGAATTAACGGACAGTTAGACCGAGAATGCACGCTCCGATTTAAAAGTGATGGACATTTCGACCATTTGGATAAATTCATTGATAATAGCAAATTTAACATTAGCAACATACATTCAGCCGATTTGACAAATAACAGATATGTTTATATAAAATCCCGCAATGGACATACTGACTTATATCTCAGCAATTCTAATAGTACGTATGTTAAATCTCTAAATATAATCTTCCCAATCGAAATTTGATATATATTTTATTCTAAACCAAATATTTTAGTCTGTAAACCAAATAATTACTAACCCAATTAATGTTGAGCCGTGCATTTGTTAAAAATATGAATATTAAAAATAATTTTATGTTTTATTACGATCAAGTTAACAACTGAACGTCCATTTTCGCATATATTTTTTATAGCTGAACTATCTCAATAAGTACTAGGTTAACGTTATCCTTATATTTAATTCCCAATACAACATTAAAATTATGTAAAACTATTAATTTTGAATACATCAATATAATATGTCTTCCAGAAACTGAACATATGTTATTGTCACTCTCCGGAGATTTCAAGATATCAGTGGTCAACGAATTGATTGGAGTATGCTCGAAAATTGGCAAAAACACAACGTGCTACCAGTATGACTTTAAAGGACGCATCAGTTTGAAAACCAGCCTGACTGACGTTCACAATAATACGGAATTGAAAAACATTTATTCTTTACCCGAAGGAGGTTTCCTGTTGAGTTATGCTGAATTTGGTAGATGCGAAGAAGAAGATGAGTGCTATCCAGACTGGCTGACCAACTATTTCATTCAAAAAATTGACGCGACTGGGAAGCCAATCGGTAAAGTTGGTTTTATAGGTCTTGAAAAAGGTTATAAAGTCATCAATCATTCGTATATTTGGAAAGCTGAAAAAGAAGGAGAATATTGTGCATTTATCGAACCTTTCAGACAATCCGATAAAATTGATTTTTTTGTTAATTGTTTTCCAATTGCAAATTTCGATGCATAATTGATGGAGTCATATTACTTTAGTTATGTAAAGTATGAAATTGAAATTACGACATTTTCTGAAGTACATGTGTGCATTTCAATTGAATCAATAGGTTTTGCATTTAAACAAATAGTCAAAAAAGACCTCGTACCAGTTCTATCTCATTAATTAATATAAATTTTCACCAATTAATTATATTGTTATTACTTTCAACTACAGCATATTATGCCTCTCTGCCAAGTGACAGGTTTTGAAGCACTAAACATGTTAATTGTATTCTAAGATACCAACTGTACAGTTCATCAATAAAAATAATTATTATATAAATATCAAGTTGCTTTATGGTACTTTCTTTTGCAGAAGTAGTAGTGAAAAAAATTAAAAAGAAAGATCTATTAATCATTGTTATATTCAAAATAGAAAAATAATTTACCCCGTCTGCCACTATGAAAATATGTACAACTATATATAACTATAAAAAAACTATTTCGAACCGCTCAAATTGGAATGTTTGGAATAACAAATCGATGAAGCCATTACACGGTAGATAGAAACAACATTCTTAACGCAAGAAAAACACGAATCACGGCAGAAATATCTATTTATATTTCTATTTCAAACAGTCGACCCCACAGTTTCCATGAAGTCGATAGCAAGCGTGAATAGGTCGTATTTTTAATGTTTTCAAGATTTCAAGAAAACAATACGTTATCCTTGCGGTAGTACTTCCAGCAGTCATATGCATAGGTTTCATTCTGACTATTGATCTACTAAATTTATTTAATAAAATCAAACCAGCCGTAGAAGGTTTGAATCTTATATACGGCTTGTTTAATCGTACGAGCCAAGGGGGATGTCTTATCCAGAAATTCACGGGTAATTTGTTATAAACAAATTAAATGTTTGAATGACTATGAAAATTTATTAATCAACCCAACCGAAATTCAGAGATATACCATGAATTCCCTATCTAATAAGGAATGCACTACTTCTTTTGGCTGCTTTTGACATTTAAAAAAAAATCTTTTTTTCAACTTTTGCCTTTCTTGCCAAAAGATCTACTTAAGTTTTTTAATTATGTATTAACAACAAAGTATATCGTATTCTATATACATTTTTAATTATTAAAGTAGTCATGGAAAATTAAAAAACTTATATTTTTAGAGATGTTCGCTTTATCGTTCATATCAAATTATTATAGCGAAACAATTCCATTGTAACGGGTTATCACTAATAAAAATAAAACAAATATAACGTAATAATTATTGAAAATAATTCTATATTTGAGATGTTTAATTCGAAACGTTATTGGTTTATATTGTGAAAACGGTACTCGTATGAAAAACCAGTTTGATCTAGCAGGAAATAACTCGTTTAAAAAAAGTTCGTATAAAAATACACCCATAAACAAGCCTCACGGAACTCGAGATGGATTAGTCGTGAGCAAGGTATCATCGGGAAAACTATCATTTACTCCGTACATCTATCAATGCATTTTTCTTTGAAAATGTCGAAATATCGTTTATTTATTGTCTCAATGGCGATACTGCACGTGATCCAAACAACTGCATCGATGAAACAGTTAAAAAAGTCACACATGATATTCGTCAACAAAAACACATTTCACACATTTGACGTAAGGGATGGACGCTTACTATACGCCAAGTGTAGAGCAGACACGAGTTCTAATAAAAAGGAATGTCTGGTAGTCGGTGAGAAAACTCTCGGACGCAGCGACACTTATTCGTGCAACGTGACACTGAATGCATTACGAAAGAAGAGTTACGTCGCTCCTCATATTTCCATCAAGCGTTTCGGCAGCAACAAGGCTATCCTGATTTGGCAGGAGACCGACGAGGATTATCAAGTGCAACATTTAACAATGAGTGTTCTACGTCTATCGCGTTGCAAGATTGCCGATGTGAAACTCGATCGTGAAACGTCGTTTTACGAAGTTTTCATCATTCCTTACGAGAACACCTTCGATGTATTTTTTAAACATTCGAGAGTGTGCGGAGACAACATGTGCAGAATCATTGTCAACAGTCGCGGGCAAGTTGTCTGGGGTCCTATCAGTTATTTTGAGGATCCACAAGAACCTTACCTGCTGACTTCCATTGACGAACATTCATCGGACAGAGGATATTTTTACGTAAAGAGAAGCGCCGGAGAAACTTTGTATCATCTCATAAAGCCAAATTGTGAGTAGAATTGACGCCACCTGATCAATATTTTGAGAAAACTGAAAGTTGTTATTTTTTTTTAAACGACTGCTCCACGCATGTGCGAATTCAAAGGGCCCGCTATTAACAACGATCTCTCAGTTTTTACAGCATCGCAAAGTCTATTCGCGCGAATGAAAGGATATCCAGAGATAACCGTCTCAACAGCTCACAACGTCATCAGTGCTTGCGCAAGTTTCGGTCATGTGAAAACCGCCATAAACTGCACGCAGTTCGATACTCTCGGGAAGCTCAGATTCAAGGCGAGCGTGGACAAACCCAGCAGCAAAGCTCAGATGCTGTTCGTGTACAATCCCCGACGTGGCGGCTTGCTACTCGGCTACGCGGTCTCGTCGAGTTGCGATGGCGACGACTGCACGCTTCGCAGCTACCTGGCGAAATTCGACGTCGACGGCGAAAAAGTTGGGAGCAGAATCGAACGCGACTCGGCGAGTAGGTGGGAATCGATTTTCGATAATCACGCAGGCGACACCTGTCTCTTCGTGAGCTATGATTTCTCGAGCAGTTTGTCCGACGTCGGACGTCATCGGATGCGCATCGCTCACCAATGCATGAACGACACCGATTTTTCATGATCTATCGCGATCTTTATCGGTGCTTTCCGTCGTGCTATCAACTTATCGATAACGGCTTCATATTGCGAATGATACTTCGTACATCTGTGCGTTGATGTTCTTGTTAACCGAAAGAAAACTCGATATCCGTGAATCGTATTCAATATACCTGTGACTTTGCTGCAATTGCTGAAAATCGTAATAAATATTCTATCAGCCGAGCCTGGTTATTTTCATTCTTGCCGTTCTGCTATGCGCCGCCCTCTGCTGACATCTGTTATAATCGTAGATCGGTAGCAGCGACAGTTGAAACCTAATGCAGAGAGAGAGAGAGAGAGAGAGCAGAGAGAACGAGGCTTACCCGGCGAGCGAGCGCGCGATAGCGCAAGTTTGACTGACAGGACTCGTTTCAGTTAACGGTAAATCAGCGGCGTTTCGGAAATGCCGGACCGTAAGTGTATAAACCGAGGAAGCTGAGCGCGGAGCTAGGCAGTGTCGAGCCGCGCGTCGGCGAGAAAGTTACTCATGCCGCAAAGTATCACAGGTCGACAGTAAAAGAAACGACATGGGAATGCCGAGAGCGCTGCCGTTGCTGTTCGCATTGTGTCTCATTCAAATTGCGACGGGCTTGAAAGTTTCTAAGAAATCGCACACGCTGCCGAGGTGAGATGACATGCACTATCGCTATAACGCCCGTGAAGCCGCGTCGCGCCGAGCGGCGATAATGCCGCCGTTGAACGATTTTCAGGAACACCCTGCGGAACTTCGATCGCGAGGACGGCCGCCTGCTCTACGTGGCGTGCAAGCCCGGCTACTCGCGTCACGAGAAAAAGTGCCAAGTGATCGGCGAAAGAGCCGTCGAGCGGCCGGACACGCACGTCTGCAATGCGACGCTGACCACGTCGAACGAGCGCGAGACCATCGAACCGGAAGTGGTCGTGCAGCGTCTCGGCCAGGACAAAGCTATTCTGTTCTGGCAGGTCAATCGGGAGCCGAACGAAACGTTGGCCGCGGAGCTATATTCCGTCATCACCGTTGTCCAATTGGCAACGTGCGCGGTCGGAGAGATCAGGCTCGATTACGGCTCTGCCCTCGAACAAGTGTTTTTCATTCCCGACGCCGGCACTGTTCAGGTGCTCTTCAGGCATTCCAGAATCTGCGGAAGGGATATGTGCAAGATGGTCATCGGCGAAGACGGCCAATTGATCGACGGACCCGTTGCTTTTTTCAAAGATCACGACGAACCGTATTTATTGAAAGCGCTCTCGGACGATCCGTCGGATAAGGGATACTTTTACGTGAAACGATCCGGCGACGAGACTCTCTATGTTTTGATCAATCCCGACGGTAAGTACGAACGATTCGAAATTTATGTGAATGCTAAAATTATGTTGGCTCGATTTTTCGTAATCTTCTCTATCCTCGAATTGTTCAATGATCGACTTTGTGATTTTTCAAGGATCGCAAAAACTTTTATCAAGAATACCAGGCCAGCCGAAAATATACGTGTCGACGATACACGACTGGATAACGGCGTGCGCGACTCACGACGGCGACAAAAAGTACATCAACTGCACGCAGTACGACGTGCACGGGCATTTCGAGTTCGAGACGCAGTTGAAAAAAACCACCGTGGAAACGCAGATGAAATTCGTGCACAACGTGCGCGAGGGAGGCTTCTTCTTGGCGTACTTCACGTCCTCGAATTGCGAGACTATTCAGTCGTGCATTAGGAACCTAAACAACTTGCTGGCAAAATTTGACGCAGGAGGCAAGCTCGTGAGCAACAAGACGGAGCGGAAAACAAGCTATATTTGGGACTCTATGTTCGAAAACGCGTCCGGTGATTACTGCGTCTTCAAAAATTCATTTTTTGCCGACAATTACGTGAAGAGAAACGGCAAGAACCGAATGCGCATTAAGCACGACTGCTACAGCGATCACGATTTTTCGTAATAAAGTAACAATATATCGCAAGATGTACAAAAATTGGTCAGTATAATTGTATGAGAACAATAAATTAAAAGCTCCCAATATTACTGTGAAAAAGCATAATTTTTTACGTTCGAAATAGGTATGAGTTGTTAAGACGCGCCTTCATTATTGCGACGTTTAATCGACAAAACGCGGCTATTGTAAATAGAACAATTTATCGACGTTTCCGCGAAGTGACAAAGCGTACTTTCTTTTTGGGTGACACGAGTGTCGGGAGAATGTATTTGTCATCCGGAATGTTCTATGCCATATGTGAAGGAACGGGGTCGCATACAAAAACTGGTTTCGATGAACGGTGAACCTTGCGTCGTTTCGGGCATCTGTCGGCTGCAACAGTCCGAAGATATAAACGCAGACACTAGACACGGGAGATGGACAGTGCAAAGTCACATCTCGATCTGACAGTCACGTTGCGTGTGCTGTTTAGTCGAGGCGCGCGCAGTTTCACGGCGCAAAGATGTTCGCATCGAAAGTAATCTTGGTAGCGTTCGCT